AGGCGGCGGGGCCGCGAAGACGGGCGGCGGGGCCGCTGAGACGGGTGGCGGGGCCGCAGTGAGTGGCGGCGGGGCCGCAGCGAGAGATGGCGGCGGGGCCGCAAAGACGGGCGGCGGGGCCGCAACGAGAGAGGCGGCGGGGCCGCAACGAGAGAGGCGGCGGGGCCGCAGGTAAGGGCGGCGACGGGCCGGGGCGGCTCGAAGCCGCAGGTAGAGGCGGCGCGAAGCCGCGGGAAGGGCGGCGACGGGCCTGGGCGGCGCGAAGCCGCAGGTAGGGGCGGCGCGAAGCCGCCGGTGAGGGCGGCGCAAAGCCGCGGGTAAGGGCGGCGACGGGCCGGGAAAAAGGGCGGCGCGCCGCAGCCGCTAGGGCGGCTCGACGCGACCGTAAGGGCGGCGCGACGGGCCGCTAGGTGCGACTCGACGGGCCGCTAAAAAAAAAAGGCAGGCGCGACTCGAGGCGCGCTTCGGTGGGCCCAAGGAACAGTCCCTAGGAGGGGACCTGCTCTGATTCCATGTGATAATGAGAACGAGAATGGATGAACTATGAAATGAAGTGAGTACAAATATGAAACCCTAATTGGTTGTACCCCCTATGGGATACCCCACTATAGCCTACACAACAGCATAAGCTACAATGTTCTGACATGTAAGTGCTGTGCTCTGTCAGGGCTGTAAATCAGTATGTCGTCCAGGTATACTATGACGCACTTATCTAAGAGTGGGCGGAAAGCTTCGTTCATGGTCATTTGGAAAGTGGCGGGGGCGTTGGTCAGTCCGAAGGGCATGACGGTGTATTCGAAGGATCCGTAGCGTGTTCGGAATGCGGTTTTAGGGCAGTCGGGCGGATTGACACGAATCTGATGGTAACCCCCCCGGAGGTCGATTTTCGAGAAAACCCGGGCTGTGCGCAGTTGGTCGATCAGTTCGTCGGCTCGTGGGATGGGGTAACGGGATTTGATGGTAACCCTGTTCAGTGCTCTGTAATCGATGCACATGCGAAATCCCCCGTCTTTTTTCGGTGTAAACAGTATCGGTGCTGCGAAAGGCGACGAACTAGGGCGAATGAACTCCTTCTCGAGCAGGTAATCGAGCTGCTTCCTCAGTTCGTCCAGTTCGGGCTGGGTCAGTCGGAACTGTCGCTGTACTGTTGGCTGTGCCCCCGGTTCCAATTCTATTCTGTGATCGTGCGGTGGCTGAGGTGGCAGTCCCGTCGGTAAGTCGTCCGGGAAAATGTCGCTGTACTGCTTCAACAGTGCTGCCAGGTCACTCGGTACGTCGGTCAGCAGTTTCTGCAAATCCCCTCCCTTGTCTGATGCCTCGGCTTCCCGAATGTCGACCGCGTACACGTCAGCTCCCGCCGCTACGGCGCGTTTCATCGTGATCGCGTTGACACGCACCGACGAAGACTCAGGCGAGCCCCAGCGAGGTAGGGCGATGTGGTTACCGTTCACTCGCACGGTGCAGTCACCCATCGTCCAGTCGATTCGCGGATTGTGTCGTCGCAACCAATCACGCCCGAGTAAAATATCGGTTCCGTCGAGGGTCGTTGCGAGCATTTCTTGGCTAAATGTGAAGTTACCCCCGCATCGAATCCGAACCCGGTCTACGCGTTCCCGTATTGCCAGCGGCGTGCCGTCTACCAGTCGTGCGTCGATCTCAGGTAAACATCTGTCCAGTGGCAGTCGCAGTTTTCGTGCTGTAGCAGTGTTGATGAGGCTGTGGCTGGCTCCCCCGTCTACGAAGATTTTAACTAAGTCCGTCCCGATTTTCCCACTAAGCAGTATAGGGGTGTCTACCGTAGTACCCTCCTTATTCGGCCGGGTGTGGTCGATTGCGTGAACCGGCACAATCACTCGGTGAGGGTCGGTTGGGTCGGACGAGCGGCGTGACCTGTCAGTAGAGGGCCCGTCTGCTACTGACTCCCAGCGTTTCCCTGCTGCTTGGTCTGTTTCTGCTGCTCAGCTTCCCCCTTTCCCTTAGCGTTTTCCGGGCATTCGCTCTTGCGGTGTCCCGGCCGATTACACGCGAAGCAGCGCCCTTTGAACGGTGCGGCAGCGGCATTCGCGGCGACGGCACGTATCGTGGCGCCCTCGTTCGTCCCACGAGACCAATGTCCCCAGTTGCTGCTACTGCCGTAGGACCCCGGTCTCGGTCGGCGGAAGAAGTCGAGCTTCTCCGCCATAGCGAGAATCTCCTGAAAATCGGTGACGCCGCGAAGCTGAATTTCTTGAGCGATGTCGTGCTTCAGGCCGCCGATGTAGCGGTCGATGCGCTCGCTCTCATGCATGTAGCCCACTTGCTCGCATAGCGCCAGAAACCCGCTGGTGTAGTCCTGGACTGAACCGAGTTGGCGCCAAGTGCGGAGCTTCTGTCGCGCCGCGATCGAAGCCGCAATTGGCTCAAATCGAGCGCGCAGACCTGCGCACCACGCGTCCCACGTGCGATATTAGGGCACCTCCACGAAGTACGACGGCGCCCAGGGTCCGGTTTGTCCTTCCCGTGTCGGTAGAGTCGCGTAGTCATTCGGCTTCGTGACGATGACGCGCCACCAGTCCATGGCGGGTCCTCGCAGCAGCGACACGGCGTAGCGAATTTTCGCCGAATCCTCCGAGACGTAGTTGGCGTCGAAAAACACGTTCATCGTGAACAACCACGCCTGAACGGTAGGACCACCCTGTTGTCTCGGGTCAAAGCATGGCGGACGCTGCGGCTTCAGCGGCATCGGTGACGGCAGTCCCGAATCGTGGGTCGGTGCCAAAATCGTGACGCGAGGTTGACTTGGGGCCGCATTCGTCGCTCCGGGGTGTGTCGTGCCGTGGTCGTCGTCTCCGTCGGGGCGGACGACGCCATCACTGGCCGCGCTCGCGGGTTGCCCCACACTTCCGTGCTGTGATGTCTGTGGTGCGGGCTGAATCGGAGTGCCAGGTGCTTGGGATTGTGCCCTTGTGAGGTCGTTTTGCAGGGACGAGCGTTCTGCCGTCAGCGTCGCAATTTCCTCGGCGCTCTCGCGGATTTGTCGCAGCAGATCGTTCAAATGCTCCTGCGTGAGAGTCGTGACGTCGATGTGTTCGGCCATTTCGAATGACGTCGGCTCGTCTTAGAGCGTATTCCTACGGGGCCACCTCGTATCAAGAATGAAACTGGCTTTTGTTTACGGTATAAAACACCTTATATCAAGAATAGACCGAACTAGCGCACCAATGAAAATGCTCGCACACCCAGAAGTGAACGTGCTGATTTTCCGACGCACGGTTCTAGTTGACACGAAGTCGTCAGTCCAGTGAATGCGGCCGACAAACAGTCATGCGAAACTGCACACGGTGGCAGTCGTGCGCCGCGCGCGAACGTGCAAAGTGTGCAAACTTGTTCATGCTGGGTCGCAACATGCCACATCAGCTGTTGATGGAGTCGCACATGTGGGTTAACCGGCAACTTTTACTGATATGAGGTTTTGGCGAACTTGTCAATTTACAGGCAGGAGTACCATTCTTGATACGAGGTGGCCCCGTAGGAATACGCTCTTAGTCTAGGCGCAGTCGTGGCTGCACGCGTTTACGAGAGAACGCGAGGACAGCGGCTCCTAGGTGCTAAGGTACGTAAGTCCCTTCGAGTGAAAAATCAAAAGTTGATTTCCTGGGGTGCGGAGATGCGCGGTCCGAAAGAAAGGGGCTCTGATACCAAGTGTTACGGGTGCAATGAATCGAAGTAGCGAGAATTGCACTAAGGTGTCAAACGAGTACAAAGATGTGAGCGAAGGCATGAGCGAACATTTATATGCGAAGCATGCAAACGGTAACGCGGTGCGTGCGAGCTAGCCAGTGCTATGCTGGCAGCGAGGCTCGGGCTAGTCCCGAAGCGTAGGCCGACACGGCCGGGCCAGCAGTGCGAGGTTTGGTGAAACAGTGCGCGCGAAGTCGGCGAAGTTCCGTTAGCAGTAACGGGCGAACAACGGCTGTTGCTGTATGCGATGTAGTCGGGCTCCGTAAGGAATGCCGAGAAAATTCCTTACAATACGATAGAATGGCTGGGTTTGATATTTTCAAAAACTTACTTTCAGTACACCCTGATCCGGAATTGCAAAGACAGTCTAGGCGGGATGAACCAACTGACGAGGTTTTGACGGGAAACAAGACGGAGACCAGTGCGTACGGAGGGGGAGGAAGCACATGCTGCTGTGGAGATGGGGGAGATTTGTGAATGGGTCTGATTTTCAACGGAGTTCCCAAGAAGAGCAGCATCAGTCCATGCTCATGCCACCCTGATGCAGCCATGGAATCTGCCGTCAGGTTATCGCAGTCCTTCGTCGTTGTTAGAGCCGACATTCAGAGAACGGATGGGCTTATGAGTTGCCGGGCTATTTCGTCGAGGCGTCCCTAGCACGTTCACGTGACGCGTCGGGTCACTTGCAATTCCACATGTTAGATCTCCATACAAAGCCCGTGGAGCGTAGGGTTGTCCTTCACTTGATGGCGTTATTGTAGTTTCAGATTTCGTGAACCGAGCCGATATATTTTCGCCGGTCCTCTTAGGATTCGATCTGGTTACCAGCATGTTGCTGATTGCTTCGCGGTTAGCCAACGTGTACGACATAATTCGCCGATGCGACGCCTGACGGTGACATCCACGCACAGCGGGTCGAGGAAAGGCAGAGGTGCGCCGTCAGATTGCGGATCTGAGGCTCGCGCACCGTTTATCAACTCCCGCTTTCCACGCATACATTTTGGATGACGTTAAAACTGTGGTCTTCTCCTGTTCTAGCAGCTAGTTTTAGTCTTGCTAAACTCAGCTCATTCAAGACCTGTGATTCCGCCGGAGTCCGCTAACCCTCAGTGCTCGGCACAAGCAGGTTGAGCCGGCGTGACAACAACTGTGACTGTGACGGTAACTGTAACTGTAACTGTAGATAACGGGCGAGCTGTACCTAGGGTCTTTTTTTTTTTTCTCTGAACCGCCAAAGCTCAAACCAGCCTGAGCATTCATCCATCCTCGTTATTGACACAATGGGGGCGGCGGAGTCTGTGCCGGTGTTGGGGGGGCACGAAGAGCTTCTGGATCGCTTTGTGGGCCCCACATCCATCCCCGCGAACGACTTGTTCTGGGAGAAGCTGCTGTCGTTCGCGTACCCGTTGCCAAAGATGAAACCCGCAGACTTTGACGAGGCGACGAGAGAAGCGTGCACCACGCTAGGTGAGCGTCAGTGTCAGTGGCATTGTCAGCTTCAGTATCAGCGTGTTGTTTGTGTCAGTAGTCCGTGACACCAGGCAGTCGGTGCGCACTTAGGTTTTTGCTACCAGCTCACATGCACTCAGATTCTTTCTAAACAAATTTCACGTTCACATCGATCTGTCTGTTTTTGTGGTGTGTGAATCAGTGCCGACCGCTTCGTTGATAACCTCCCCCAACCCCCCATCCTCGCTGTCATGTACCCCCATCCCCTCTCTCCCCCCACACCTCCCCCTTCTTCCCCACCCCTACCCTCCCTCCGCATTTGTGCGGTACCACCGTCGGACGTTCCACTTGGAAGCACTGTTGCTGCACGTAACTCGCCGTCTGCTCGAATTTTCAAGGGTTACTTCTCTGGCTACTTTTCCTCACACCTCCCATTCCCCCCCTCGCCACCTTCCCCGTCCCCATTACCCCCGCTTTTTCCCTCCCGGCCCCCCCACACCGCGCGCTCCCCCCAGCGCTGAACAACCGGCAGACGTACCATTTCGGCAAGCTGCTGCTGCACATGATGCGCAGCCTGCAGCAGGTGCCCGCCAGCCCCGCGGAGATGCCTCTGACGGCCATCAACACGGTTTACTTCACGCGCCTCTTCGTGAAGCACCTGGTGGAGTACTACGACAGCCGCGAGATCTGGGAGCATCTTGTCATCCACCTCTCGCCCGAGGAGGCGCGCGCGTTCGGCCGAGACGCAGGTGCGGGGGGAGGGAGGCGGGGGGCGGGAGGGAGGTGTTGGGGGAGGGGAAAAGGGAAGTGAGGGCTGGGGGCAGGAGGGAGGGGTGATGGTGGGTTGGAGAGGTCTGGAGTAATTCTTGCTGGAATGGGTGGTGTTGAGCGAGGGGAGGTGAGGGGAAGTGGGGGAAAGTGGGGGGTTGTGGGGGATCGTGGGGGATTGTGGGGGATTGTGCGGGCAACACATGTGGTGTTTCAGTCAGGCTCTTATTCTGCTTCCTTGCTTCTGTGCTTGTGCTATGGTGTGCCTGATGGGGATCGGGGGGGGGCTGTGTGATGCAAGATGGTGTGTGCATGTTTGTGCGTTATGGGGGCCTGGGGGTTGGGAGATGTAAGATTTTCTGTGTGCGTATGTGGTTGGTGGGGGGGAGAGGGGAGGGAAGGTGGGGGTGTGTGGTTGTGGCTCTGTGTGTCAGTGGTGTGTGTGTGGATGGGTCTGTCTGTGTGTCTCTGTCTGTTTATATGTGTGCGTGTACGGATGTGTGTGCATGTGTTTGTGTGTGGGTGTGTGTGATTGCAGGGCGGCATGACTTGCTAGTGGATACCGTGAGATCCCTCCTATCCTTCGTTGCACATCATGACGTAAGGTGAGTGAGCCATCAGTAACCACCAACTGTCCCAGTTCTCCCCCTCCCTCCCTCCCTCACTCACCCACTCACTCACTCACTCACTTACTCACTCATTCACCCACTCACTCATCCACCCCTGCAATTAGATCAATTTCACTCCAAGCGTGCTCCTCCTCTCCAACCCTCCCGACCACCTCCCCATTGCCCTCCCCTTCCGCTCCCATCTGCAACGCCTCTGCCACTTCTCGAGTCCCCCTCCCCTCGTTTCCCCTTCCCCTCTCCTCCTCCCTCCTTTACGACCCCTCGCCCCTTGTTCCCATCGCCTCTTCCATCCAATCTCCCTTTTTTCCCTCAACCTCACAACCTCACCATCTTGAAACTTCTCATCCCTTTCCCTTTCCCCCTGCACCCACCAGCGCCACCAAGTACTTGCTGCATCTGGAGGCGGTGAACCTGCTCATTGTGATGATGTCCACTCAGCTGCACTCCTCGCCTGCTGTCGCCGTTTGAGGCGCCTCAACTTACGTTCCCACTTCCCCCTCTCCTTTTCCTTCCCCCCTGCACCCACCAGCGCCACCAAGTACCTGCTGCATCTGGAGGCGGTGAACCTGCTCATTGTGATGATGTCCACTCAGCTGCACGCCTCGCCTGCTGTCGCATTCAACACGGACGCTCACCTCTTTGTCGAGGCTGCCATGAACCAGGCACGTGGGGGGAAGGGATGTGGGAAACAGGGGGGGGGTTGTGCACGGTGAAGGGGGTTGCAATTGTGGTTGTGTGTCGTGAGCGTAGGGCTGCACGCTTCGCCTCGCCTGCTGTCACCTTCAACCACGGACGCTCACCTCTTTGTCGAGGCAGCCATGAACCAGGCACGTGGAGGGAAGGGGTGTGGGGGGAAAGGGTGTGGAGGGAGAGGGTATGGGGTGAAGGGGTGTGGGGGTTGGGGGTTGTGCTTGGTGGTGGGAGTTGGAACCCTAAATGTGATGTTTCTGTGGTCCTGACGTGGCACAGAGCTGCATGCTTTGGCTGCTTCTTGAGTCAACTAAAGATTCGGCTTTCGTCATAGACGCACACCACTCTCTCTCCTAATCTCACCTGCTCCTGCCCTCACCAGCACGACCTGGCAGTGCCGTTTGTCTCGTGGCTGCTGCGCATGTGTTTAGTGCGCATGCCCGTCCCCCCCCCCCCCCCACACTTTCTTTCTGAGAATCGACTCAAAAATCTCAAATCTCCCCCATACCGACCCACCCCCACCAGCACGACCTGGCAGTGCCGTTTGTTTCGCGGCTGCTGCACATGTTTGTAGCACGCATGCCCGTCCCTCCCCGCGTGCCCTTCTACGTCGCTTCTCTCTCCACACGCCAAGGCGTCCTGCGCCGCGTGGGCTCTGCTGCAGTCGCCGTCTTCCTCCTCCCCTACTACACCTACTCCTTCCTCGTCAGCTCCTCCTCCTCCTCTTCCTCCTCCTCTGCTGTGGCAAAGAGCCCGCTAGCAGACAACGCGTTGCTGCTGCTGCTCGCGCTGACTCACTACGGTCCGTCTGTGGGGAGCAGAGAGGCGTGGGAGGAGATGCAGAGGGAGGAGGCGGAGAAGCTGGGGCGGGCGGGGGTTACGGAGGGGGGGTTGAGGCAGGAGCAAGGGCAGGGGCAAGGGGAAGGCGGTGGGCAGGGGCAGGTGGGGAATGGGGGGGGTGTGGGGGCAGATGCTGTGCAGGTTCAGGTGCAAGGGTTAGCGGGAGATGCTAAGGCACTGGAGCAACGGTTGCAGGATGGGTTGAACCTGCAAGAGGCACGGATGGATGGGAAGGACGGGCAAGGGATGACGCAAGGGCAGCAGCAGGATCAGGATCAGCAGCAGAGCCAGCAACAAGAGCAGCAGCAGCAGCAAGTGAGGAAAGCGCGGTGGAATCCTTACAAGTGGGCGATCAACAGCGCGCGAGATGTAGACTGTAAGTGGGTGTTTCGCTCTTTTGGATTGTGGTTTACTTACACGCAATACTATTGGTATTTTGTATCACATGAGTAGAGCTGATTGCAAGTGCTGTTGCGTGTCAGCAGTCAGTCACCATCCCTACCTGTGCTCCCTATCCCACTGTCGTGCTCTCTTGCTCCATCCTGTTGCCAGTGGAGCCCGTTTTGAGTAACAGAGTCCAAGACATCAGCCGCTTTTTTTTAGTCAACTCAAAAGTCCTCTACCATCCCCTGTGCTCCCTATCCCACTCCCGTGCTCTCTTGCTCCATCCGTTTGCCAGTGGAGCCCATTTTGAGTGCAGCAGAAACAGAGACGTCAGCAGCAGTTTATGGCACACTCACCCCTGCCATTGCCTCCGCTCCCTCTCCCAGAGCCACAGCCACAGCCACAGCCACAGGTGCAGGTTCAGGTGCGGGTGTGGGCAATGGCAGTAGCAGTGGCACAGGGTCGTTTACAGGGTCTGGCAGGAGCGGTGTGATGGCTGCTGCTAGTGGTACTGGTCGAGCAGACTCCTATGGCACAGATGACGCAGTTCTTGCACAGGAGCAGCAGCAGCAGCAGCAGCAGCAGCCCTTGTTGGCGCAGGGGCAAGCACAAGTGCAGGGAGAACAAGCAGGGCAGGAAGGACAGCAGCAGCAGCAGCAGCAGCAGCAGCAGCAGCAGCAGCAGCAGCAGCAGCAGCAGGAGCAGGGGGGAGGGGAGGTGCAGGGGCTGGTGGGCGCGGGCAGTGAGGATGCGGTTCGGATTGCCTTCGCCTCGCTGCATGATGCGCTGGGATTGTGAGGCTTCCATACCCCGCCGCCAAACCTGCCAGGCCTTCTTCTTTTTCTTGCCTTGGGTGCTCTTGGTTCCATCATTGCTGCTTTAATGTGCCGTGTTTTCAACTTTTGTCGCTGCTAATATATATTATCAGCTTTTCCCATCACTCTGTCCATCCAGAGTTCAGAAAGGAAAACGCTGACTGACTGACTGACGGGATTGTTTCTGTTCCGGGTGGTGTGTGTGTGCGTGGTGCAGGTGTTTGACTGACGACCGCGCCACTCTGCTGCTCTACTCGCTCATTCATGGCAACTCAGCCTTCCTGGACTACTGCCTTGTTCGCTCAGATCTTGACACCCTGGTGAGCACAGGTAGTGAGGTGAGCACAGGTAGTGAGGTGAGCACAGGTAGTGAGGTGAGCACAGGTAGTGAGGTGAGCACAGGTAGTGAGGTGAGCACAGGTAGTGAGGTGAGCACAGGTAATGAGGTGAGCACAGGTAGTGAGGTGAGCACAGGGAAGGTAGTTTGGTGGGAGGAGGTGGTTTGGTGAGGGGAGGTAATGTGGCCCAAATGTGAAGGTGAGATAGGAGGTGATGTGGCCCAAATGTGAAGGTGTATCAATCATGTCCTTTCTAACTTCCCCTTTCCTGTCGCCCACACAGACATAGCCTTATCCCATCACTTCAGTCTCCCTCCGCACAACCCCCCTCCTCCCCAACCCCTCCTGCTTCCTCCCACTCTCCCCCACTGCACCCCACGCCCTACTCTTTCCACCACACCACCTTCCCTTCTCTCACCCCTCCTCTCGCCTCTGTTTCCCCGTGCCCTGTGTCCTCTTTGCCACGCGACCAGATCATGCCGCTACTGGAGATGCTGTACAACTCTGCTCCCCCCGTCCTGTTCCCCCTGTCCTGTTCCCCCTTCCTTCCCCCTACTCCCCCCTGCCACGCGACCAGATCATGCCGCTACTGGAGATGCTCTACAACGCCCCGCGGCGCACGTCCAACCAGATGTACATGCTGCTCATCATCCTCCTCATCCTCTCGCAAGACGCCTCTTTCAACGCCAATGTCCATAAGCTCGTACGTGCCCCCACACCACTGCTGCTGCACCTGCTGCTCCTGCTGCACCTGCTGCTCCTGCTGCACCCTCTGCTCGTGCTGCACCCTCTGCTCGTGCTGCACCCTCTGCTCGTGCTGCACCCTCTGCTCGTGCTGCACCCTCTGCTCCTGCTGCACCCGCTGCTCCTGCTGCACCTGCTGCTCCTGCTGCACCCTCTGCTCGTGCTGCACCCTCTGCTCCTGCTGCACCCTCTGCTCCTGCTGCACCCTCTGCCGCTGCTGCACCCTCTGCTCCTGCTGCACCCTCTGCCGCTGCTGCACCCGCTGCTGCTGCTGCCACCGACGCTGGCGCTGCTGATGCTGATAAGGGAGCTGTTGCCATGTTTCCCTATGCTCTCCAGAAGTCAGGAACCGGGCACTTGCTGCATTTCCTCTGTCCCCGAACCCCTCTCTCCCATTCCAATCCATTCGCTGGCATCCTTCCCCTCCTCCCTCTGTCTCCCCTTTACCTCTCACTTCCTGCCACAACACAACCGTGTGAGACACTGTGCTGCTCTCGTCAAAATCCCCATCTTCCTCATGCATCCCACCTACTCCCCAACTCTGTAACACCTTGCAGATCCTCTCCTCCGTGCCATGGTACCAGGAGCGACTTCTGAGGCACCTCAAAAAACCACTTCCCCCCGCCCATCCCACTCCCCAACCCTGTAACACCTTGCAGATCCTCTCCTCCGTGCCATGGCACCAGGAGCGCCTGCTCTCCCGCATCTCCCCTTAACCTTGCGCTTAGATTGAGTCATGTAGCCACCCCTCCCATGCATCCCCCCGTGTTCATCATCCCCATGCCGTCATGCCGTGTGTGTATGCAGATCCTGTCCTCTGTGCCGTGGTACCAGGAGCGCCTGCTTTTGAGACGTCTGAAAAGTCTGAAATTCTCATCTCCCCTGCGCATCCCAATCCCCAACCCTGTAACGCCGTGCAGATCCTGTCCTCTGTGCCGTGGTACCAGGAGCGCCTGCTCTCCCGCATCTCCAATTTGAGGCGCCGCTAAAACCCATGCTCGTTATCCCCGTGCGGTGTGTGTGTGTGTGTGTGTGTGTGTGTGTGTGTGTGTGTGTGTGTGTGTGTGTGTGTGTGTGTGTGTGTGTGTGTGTGTGTGTGTGTGTGTATGCAGATCCTGTCCTCTGTGCCGTGGTACCAGGAGCGCCTGCTCTCCCGCATCTCCCTGGGCTCGCTCATGGTCATCATCCTTATCCGCACCGTCAAATACAACCTCTCCAAGCTCAGAGTCAGTGCTGCTGTGCAATATATGCATCTGCTACCCCCCTTCTCCCCCCCCCCCCTCCCCACTTTTTCCCCTATAGCCACCATCCGCCTTCAGCACCCCCCCTCCTCCGTCCCCTCCCCTCATCGATCCCCTCCTCGTCATCCACCCCTCTCTCTTCGTGTCTGTTGGATCGCTTATGCCCATCATGCTTGTATGCATTGTGAGATGTGTCAAATTTTGTGTGCTCCCCTGTCCCTCCTCCTCTTCCTTTGCTCTTCTCCCCTCACACACCCCTGAACCATGCACGCACCCTCCACAGGACATCTACCTACACACCAACTGTCTCACTACTCTCTAGATGACCCTTAGTCCTTTCATTTCCCCCCTTAATCCTACGCTGTTTGAATCTCCCCATGCACACACCACCCATGCATCACACACAGGACATCTACCTACACACCAACTGCCTGGCCACGCTCGCTAACATGGCACCCCTTACCCCTCAGCTGCCTCTCCCCCACCACACACGCCCCTTGCCCGTGCACCCCCATGCACCGCCCACAGGATATCTACCTGCACACCAACTGCCTGGCCACGCTCGAGGTGCCTTTTTAACCTCCGTTCCCCATCATACCCCCACACCACACCCTTATGACACACACAGGACATCTACCTACACACCAACTGCCTGGCCACGCTCGCCAACATGGCACCCCACGCGCACCACCTCAACGCCTACGCCTCGCAGCGCCTCATCAGCCTCTTCCACATGCTCGCTCGCAAGTACGGCCCCTCCTTGCTTCTCGCGTCGACTCCTTGTCCCTCTCTCCACTTCCTTTCCCCTCTCGTCACCCTCCTTTTGATGTGCGTCATCAACCTCTCTCTTCCACATGCTCGCTCGCAAGTACGGCCCCTCCTTGCCCCTCGCTTTGCCTCCTTGTCTCATTCCTCACCTTCTTGCCCATCACGTCACCCTCCTATTGATGTGCCTCATCAGCCTCTTCCACATGCTCGCTCGCAAGTACGGCCCCTTCTTGTCTCTCGCTTCGTCTCCTTGCATCTCTCTCGTTCTCTGTTGCGCTAACTCGCATGCATTCACTCCATACACCCTTTCGTCACGGTCTCCCTTACCTGTTTGCATGCATGTGGTTTTTTAAGCCAACTCGGCTCACTTCTCCCACTCTCGCCGTACTCGCCCCACACCCCATGCTCGCCGCGCTCGCCCAACTCCCCCGCGTCCCCCGTTTCCAGGTACACGAAACTGTCGACAGCAGCAGCACACCCCATGCCCAGCAAGGCAGACTCGCAGGGCAACGCGCAGGGACAGCAATCAGCGGATCAGGATGGGGATGGTGCTGGTGACGGGGTATGTGTGCAGCATGTGGGGGTGTGTGCTGCTGCAGCATGTGGTGTGTGTGCATTGTGGGGTATGTTTGCAGCGTGGGGAGGTGTGTGCAGTATGGGGTGTGTGTGCAGTGTGCACCATGGGGTATCTATGCCGCATGGGGTGTGTGTGGTGGGTGGACCATGATTTATGTGTGCAGCATGGGTTATGTGTGCAGCATGGGTTATGTGTGCAGCATGGGTTATGTGTGCAGCATGGGTTATGTGTGCAGCATGGGTTATGTGTGCAGCACGGGTTATGTAAGCATCATGGATTATGTATGCACTTTTCTCCCCTTCCTGCCTCTCCCTCTTCTCTCTCTCCCCCTCTCCCTCACTCTCTTCTCTCTCTCTCGCTGCGTTCTCTCTTTCTCTCCCTCCTCGTCTCCACCCCTTGCAGCCCACGGGGCTGCACGTTTACACTTACTGTCTCCGCATAGTGTTCAAAATCATTCTTTAGTCAGCTCAAGCATCAGCTTTAAGTCGACTCATAAGTCGACTCAAGCATCACCTTCCGCACTCTCTCCTCCCTCTTCCTGCGCACTCTCTTTCTCTCTCTCCCCCCCCATCTCCCCCCACCAGCAGCCCACGGAGCTGCACATTTACACGGACTTTCTCCGCATAGTCCTCGAAATCATCAACGCCATTCTCACCTATGCCCTTCCACGGAACCCCGAGGTGAACGAAATCACTGCAGCTGTGTGTGTGATTGTTGCTCCCTTCCGTGTCATCCATGCCTGTCCTGCTTGCTCGGCAGACTCATTGCTACCGGTACTGCATGTCCTGTGTCCGTACATTTCCATTTCCTTCTACATTTTCCTCATCTGTTACGTTTCATTCATCTTATACATTTTCGTCTTTTCTTTCGTGTTTCCTTTCCCTCTTCGTCTTCTTTCTCACCTTCTCTTTTGACTTTTGCGAATCACACTTGTTTGTAAGCTCCCTAACCGTAACCTTGTCCTATCCATGCCACACCCCCATGAACACATGGTCTCACACATGCATCATGGCAGGTGGTGTACGCGCTGCTGCATCGCCAGGAGCTCTTTGTGCCCTTTTGTTGTGACGTCTCAAAAGTCATGTCCATAACCCCATATACGCATGCATTCACACATGCACACATGCATCATGGCAGGTGGTATACGCGCTGCTGCATCGCCAGGAGCTATTTGTGCCCTTCCGCAACCACCCCCGCTTCTGCGAGCTGCTGCAAAACATTTTCACGGTGCGAGCTGGGGTAGCTGCCTCTATATGCATGCGTTTGGAAAAGGGAGTGCTTCTGGGTTCCCCCCTGCTCACACACACACGCTCTCTTCCTACCTCTTTTCCCTCTCTCGGTCGCCTCACCTGCCTCCCTATCCTGCAGGTAATTGACTTCTTCAATGTGAGCGTTGGCAACGTGGACATCCCATTGCTGCTTCATGCTGACGCTGAGCATGCTATTGCTGCTCGCTTCCATGTCCATGCTCGCCTCTTGACAACCGCGTTGGCATGCGCTGTCTCAGTACCTACCTACCCACACGCTCTCCCTTACTACCTGTTTTCCCCGTCACTATCGCCCCACCTCCCTCCCTATCCGGCAGGTGAAAGACCTTTTCAGCGTGCGCATGGACGACCATGATGTAGATAGTGACTGGTCCGTGGAGCGAGCACGTGCATGGACAACCATACATAAGCTTGCACTGTCTCGGTGCCAACCTGCCTGCTCACACGCTCACCCTGCTCACACACTCACCCTTCCTGTCTCTTTTCCCCCTCTCAACCACTCTACATCGCTGCCTATCCGGCAGGTGATAGACTTCATCAACGTGCGCATGGACGACTGTCTTGGAGCCTACCTGCCTGCACACACCCCTCAACCGCTCTACATCCCTCCCTGTCCGGCAGGTGATAGATTTCTTCAACGTGCGCATGGACGCCCATGATGTGGACGGTGACTGGTCCGTGGAAGCGAGCGGGTGTATGGACGATTGTTTTGGTGCCTGCCTGCCTGCCTGCCTGCCTGCCTGCGCACACACTCAACCTCCTCATACACTCAACCTTCGTATCTCGTGTCCTCTCATTCCCCCTTTTGTTGCCCGGCAGGTGATTGATTTCTTCAACGTGCGCATGGATGACCATGATGTGGACGGCGACTGGTCCGTGGAGCGAGCGAGTGTATGCACGACTACACATAACCTTGCACTGTCGCAGTGCCTACCTACCGAGATGCTCCCCTTCCTGTCTCGGTCCTCCCTTGCTTCCCGGCAGGTGATTGATTTCTTCAACGTGCGCATGGACGACCATGATGTGGACGGCGACTGGTCCGTGGAGCGAGTGTTAGACGTGGTCATTGCCAATGCACGCACGTGGCGGGGCGAGGGCATGCAGGTGAGGCATTCGCTTGACCATGGTAGCATTGTGCATGGTGATTGGTGCATGGGTCATGGGTTGGGTCATGGGTCAGGGGTGACGGGTCATGGGTCATGATATGCTGGTCTGGCCATGATCATGGGCAATCCAATGTAAGCGGCCCCCCATTCTCTTCCTTGCTCTCCTTCCCCATGCTGAGTGCCCATCAGTCAGATGTTCACGAAGCTCAAGTTCACGTACTAGGAGGAGATGCATCCATTTCAAGACGTCCCCACTTCCACCTTCCCCTCCCCTTCCTCTCCTTCCGCTCCTCTCCTTCCGCTCCTCTCCTTCCGCTCCTCTCCTTCCGCTCCTCTCCTTCCGCTCCTCTCCTTCCGCTCCTCTCCTTCCGCTCCTCTCCTTCCGCTCCTCTCCTTCCGCTCCTCTCCTTCCGCTCCTCCTCTCCTTCCGCTCCTCTCCTTCCGCTCCTCTCCTTCCGCTCCTCTCCTTCCGCTCCTCTCCTTCCGCTCCTCTCCTTCCGCTCCTCTCCTTCCGCTCCTCCTCTCCTTCCGCTCCTCTCCTTCCGCTCCTCTCCTTCCGCTCCTCCTCTCCTTCCGCTCCTCTCCTTCCGCTCCTCTCCTTCCGCTCCTCTCCTTCCGCTCCTCTCCTTCCGCTCCTCTCCTTCCGCTCCTCTCCTTCCGCTCCTCTCCTTCCGCTCCTCTCCTTCCGCTCCTCCTCTCCTTCCGCTCCTCTCCTTCCGCTCCTCTCCTTCCGCTCCTCCTCTCCTTCCGCTCCTCTCCTTCCGCTCCTCTCCTTCCGCTCCTCTCCTTCCGCTCCTCTCCTTCCGCTCCTCTCCTTCTGCTCCTCTCCTTCCGCTCCTCTCCTTCCGCTCCTCTCCTTCCGCTCCTCTCCTTCCGCTCCTCTCCTTCCGCTCCTCCTCTCCTTCCGCTCCTCTCCTTCCGCTCCTCTCCTTCCGCTCCTCTCCTTCCGCTCCTCTCCTTCCGCTCCTCTCCTTCCCCTCCACTCCTTCCGCTCCTCTCCTTCCGCTCCTGTCCTTCCGCTCCTCTCCTTCCGCTCCTCTCCTTCCGCTCCTCTCCTTCCGCTCCTCTCCTTCCGCTCCTCTCCTTCCGCTCCTCTCCTTCCGCTCCTCTCCTTCCGCTCCTCTCCTTCCGCTCCTCTCCTTCCGCTCCTCTCCTTCCGCTCCTCCTCTCCTTCCGCTCCTCTCCTTCCGCTCCTCTCCTTCCGCTCCTCTCCTTCCGCTCCTCTCCTTCCGCTCCTCTCCTTCCCCTCCACTCCTTCCGCTCCTCTCCTTCCGCTCCTCTCCTTCCGCTCCTCTCCTTCCGCTCCTCTCCTTCCGCTCCTCTCCTTCCGCTCCTCTCCTTCCGCTCCTCTCCTTCCGCTCCTCTCCTTCCGCTCCTCTCCTTCCGCTCCTCCTCTCCTTCCGCTCCTCTCCTTCCGCTCCTCTCCTTCCGCTCCTCTCCTTCCGCTCCTCTCCTTCCGCTCCTCTCCTTCCCCTCCACTCCTTCCGCTCCTCTCCTTCCGCTCCTGTCCTTCCGCTCCTCTCCTTCCGCTCCTCTCCTTCCGCTCCTCTCCTTCCGCTCCTCTCCTTCCGCTCCTCTCCTTCCGCTCCTCTCCTTCCGCTCCTCTCCTTCCGCTCCTCTCCTTCCGCTCCTCTCCTTCCGCTCCTCTCCTTCCGCTCCTCCTCTCCTTCCGCTCCTCTCCTTCCGCTCCTCTCCTTCCGCTCCTCTCCTTCCGCTCCTCTCCTTCCGCTCCTCTCCTTCCCCTCCACTCCTTCCGCTCCTCTCCTTCCGCTCCTCTCCTTCCGCTCCTCTCCTTCTCCAATGCTGATTGACCCATCAATCAGATGTTCACAGAGCTCAAGTTCACGTACGAGGAGGAGATGCATCCCATTCAAGACGCTCCATCTTCTCTTCCATTTCCCTTCTCACCTTCCCCTGTTGTTCTTAATGACCCATCAATCAGATGTTCACGGAGCTCAAGTTCACGTACGAGGAGGAGATGCATCCAGAGGAGTTCTTTGTGCCGTACGTGTGGACGCTCGTGGTGGCGCATAGTGGCATCCCCTGGAACCCCGACTGCATTGCCATGTTCCCCGTCCGCTCCTCCTCTTCCGCCGAGGTGAGCAGATACACACCCCGAAACCTGAGTCTTTTGAATGCTTCCTTGAAGCACGACTGCATCGCTGTGTTCCCCGTTCGTCCGCTTCGCCTTGGCCGAGGTGAGCAGTCTCTTTTCTGGGCGCGCTCCTCAAGCAGGAGACACGCCCCTAGCAATCTTTCCATCAGTATTTTTGCGACGTCTCAAAGGTCGTTTTCCGAGCGCGCTCCTCAAGCAGGAGACGCGCTCCTGGCAATCTTTCCATCTATATCCCCTGGAATCCACACTGGCGTGCGGCTTGTGGGTCGTAGCTTGTGGATCATGGCTCATGACCCATAGCGTATGGCACATGGCCATGGCACGTGGGTTTCTAACACATGATCAGGCAATTTTCAGAGGCTTGAAAAGCTGGCCTGTGGCGTGTTAACAAAAGGCGCTGGCACCTTCCATGTGTGCTTGACACAGAACCCTCCCCCCTCCCCACCACCACTCGTCCGCAAACTATTCTATGGCAATCTCCCTGTGTCTCTATCTCCTCACTCTCTCTCTTTCCCCGCTTTCCCCGCTTCTCCTCGGCTCCCCCCTCCCGCACCACCGGTGTTCCTGCCGGCATCAGCATTTGGAGGATATTTTTGACGCCGATGCTTTTGATACGCACTCTGAAATGGGGCCCACGCCAAGAGAGGAGGTTTGAAGGCCGAGGAGGAAGGGTGGTGAGGCTTCGGGTGAAGGGCCTTGGGGGAAAAGGTGAGAAGTCTTGCTCACTGGTGTGCCTGCATCAGCCCTAGGAGGTTATTTGTGACGCCGATGCTTTTGATACACGCTCTGAGATGGGGCCTACGCCACGAGAGGAGGTTTGATTGGAGCCAAGGGTGGTGAGGGGTAGGGTGAAGGGCCTTGGGAGGAGGGGTGGTGGGGGGCAAGAGAAGAGGCAAGGGGTCATTAGAGGCTTGAGATGGTGAAGGTGTAGGGGGGATGAGGCTAGTTGCCTGGTAGAGAGAGGGAAAGGGAAGGAGTAAGATAAGGAGGTAGGTTGAATCTGGAGCATCTTGTCATGGAGCAATAAGGAGGACAGGACCTGAAATCGGAGACCATGAGTGTCGAGGTGGCTGCTGCGCGCTGCAGTATTGATGGTGGCAGTCTTGTGTTCCTTAACTCCTTAGGCAATTGAAGTTGTGTGTGTGTGTGTGTGTACTCGCTCAACTCTACACTTGATGGTAACAGGGCTCCTGCTTCTGTGCTCCCACGTGTCTAGTGGTTATCGTAAGCGAAACATGTGCCTCGGGGCATTGCCATCACGTGGGGCATGTGCTTGGTACTGTAACGGGTTCTAGCACTTCACCATTTGTACCCGTGGAAGTAGAGAATGCTGGAACACGACCAGCCGTACAATCTGAATGTTGATGTGGTACCTCCTCGAGGCGGCAGTTTTGACATACGGACGGTACCGTAGTAACTGTCTTGGCTGTGTCACATCGGTATCATGGAGGACCAAACCATGAGATACGGTGCCAGCATGTGAAGACCTCAGCAATTATTTTTCCGTTTTGATGAGGCGGCATCCAATTGATCAATATTTAGCCTTTCATTATTCAACAGTCATTTTGGCCATTTTATGTAAAGAGCAGGATTTTCATGTGGTTTAATTCATTATATTTTGTCTTCCGGGTAGAATCGCACAGTGCGTTGTTGTGTCCCTTACCAAATGCTACGTTTGGAAGCCTGTCAGGCACGGAAACGCGCGAGAGTCTCTTGTAGCTGCACGTAACAGTAGAAAGGATCCTTGTCGGCTTGCATCTCAAACCCTGGGTCTGACGTCCGCGCGAAATTGTTGGTCGCACACCGGCAGAATGCACGACCTTCAAGCCGTCAAGTTCAGCCTCTTGCCGTTGAGTTCCAGCTAGTCGTTGAATCGAGTGCGCGCATGAAGTGACGATCACGAATGATGCCGACAAGCGACAAATGTTGAAACATTTCAGTCGTCGTGACATACTTCCCAGCGTCGTGCGAAAGAATGGTGTGTTGCGCCTACGAATTGCTGGCGCTCAAATCCGAACCGCTTTGGCAGGCACGAACCAAAACAACCAAACCCAAGCCTGCCTCACTCCCTCCACCATCACCTCACAGTAAATCTGCATTTGCCAGGGCGTCCGGTCGACCAGAAAGCGCGAAACCCTGGTGTCGTGGCGCTCTGACTGCGCGGAGGACTGTTTGTTCACCCTAGGTTTCCCGACATGCGAAAGTTTTCAAATCGTAAGCTGCTGCCCGCTCACGATAGCCTACCCTGGTTCCCTTCAACAGAGGGGGTGCTTTCTTTTCTAGGGCGGACCGCGGCCTTCGATTTGACAAACTGGGCAAGCTGGGGTGAACGAAAACATCCCGCGTCGCGCGAGCCTGAAAGGGCTCATGTCGAGACCAACCAAAAAGGGGTCAGCCATTCCCGTTCAATCACAGTTGCAATCAACGTATTCCTTTGGCCTTAGCCCCTTCCGTCTCGCACATTTACAGGATCAAAGCAGGGCGCCAATTTTGCTGGGAAGTTTTGCCTAGCCAGTTTTCTTTCAATCTGATCATTCGAAGTGAACTTCACGCCAACCCTAGCATCCCAGCTTTGCCTCAGGAGTTTTTCTCCCAATACGGCGGCTAGTCACTCTTTCCCCTCATTATAGAGCTTCCTGCAGATCAAAGACGTTCAATCGTAGATCACTCCACGCGAACCCCATCGCCATGGCTCGTCGCATGGCGCTGTGCATACTCGCGCTCCTAACGGCCTCCACCTTCTCCTTGCACTGCAGCGCGAAATTTCTCTACGACCCACCTCCGGGCTTCACCGCGCCTCCCGATACCGTGCCGCTCCTCCCCCCTCCGGGGCCCAAGCTACCCGACCCAGACGTCGGCACCATCGCGAGCCTCGCCGACGTGTGCAAGGTCTGCACTTCTAAACCGTACACGCAGGACTGCATGGGCGACTTCACCGCGCGCTGCCTCAAAGCGCAGAAGATTTACCGCGAGAAAATCCTCGGCATACCCGATAACATCTGCCATTGCTACCAGGCTATCGGCACTGAGCTTCTCGATTCCTGCCCCGGGGCCGTGAAGCAGCTCGCGTGGCTGGGCAATTGTGATAACTTCTGCTACTATGGCGTGCGCTGCCCGATTATTTTCGCGCTCTACAGCCTCGCGTCGCCCAAGTACGCCCGCCTCGCGCACGACAACAACCCCAACGCGCCGCAGCCGGCGGCACGCGGGTCCGCGCTCGTCGTCGTCAAATTCCGCATCGACCAGGCGGTCGGTCACGATATATGCTACCGGTTCTACCCGTCGGACGACTTACCGGCCGTCAAGTCCGTCGTGCTCCACCACGCAACGATTTCGCAGACCGGAACAGCTTTGGTGAAACTGATGGCTTCTGGCAGCAGCCCGGCTAAGGCGTGCATTTCCGTGCAGCACACTCTAATTAAGGCCCTTAACGACAACTCGACGTCGTTCTACGTGCAAGTTAACACCGTCAGCGGCGTCGTTCGCGGGCAGCTGGTCGCGACGCCGCGGCTCATGACCGCCGCCACATCAGCCGAAGCTGGCGCGCGCTGCGGCGGAAAGCTCTGCATGGCTGTCGCTGACATGGCGTTTTCGCTCTATTCCGCCAAGTACCAGCTCAATTTCTCACGTGCCGTCGGCCCTCGCACCGCTGCGAACCTCGTTGCTGGTGGTAAGGGTCAGAAGGGAGGAAATTACCTTGTGAGCTTTTACGGTCCCGGGAAAGCCGCAGTCAGCGATATGAACTCCGTGACTCCGGATCCTAATGCCATTCTCGAGGTTCTTAAAGACCCCCCCGCGCATTATCTGAACCTCTCCACCACCGGTCAGCCGACGGGTGCGCTTCGCGGCCAGCTGTCGGATTCGCTGACGGTTTTCGCCGTGCTGTATGGTTACCAGGTGCAGCCACCGTCGGGGATTTCGGGAACGGGGGTGTTTCTCGCAAAGATCGGCGGAGGGGGCATCTGCTACGAGTTTCAGTTCCTTAACGTGCCGGTGCAGCCGACGTACGCTTACCTCCACCGCGCCACGTACTCGTCGCGCGGCCCAATCGTGTTGTCCACAACCCTCGAGATCAGCAACAAGATGAAGTGCTTGCAGGCTGATACCGAGCAGACGGGTTCGATTATTACGAACGCGGGAGAGTACTACGTGCAGGTTTACACGGAGAAGTTCAACAAGGGGCTGCTTCGCGGACAGCTCTACGTCGCACCCGCACAGGTCGTGCAATAGGGTAACTTAGTAACCTCAATATTAATGACTCGTCGAGGGCTGGCGAAGGGCTACTGGTGGGGAAACCATTGGGGCGTGTGGGTGGAGTCGATTACATGTCGGGAATATGGCTCGCGTCATCGTGGTTCGAGGCGCGCTGCCTGGGAAGAAACAGGGCTGACCTCGCTAGTACGGTTTATCCGTGCCAAGCATCGAGTGGCTAAATAGCTTGTGTCTCTATGCACTGTCAGGTTAATCCGAGCCTTCGTAGAGGTTAGGAATAATAATTGTGCAACATATTTTGTGTAGCATGTCAATTATACCCCAGCTTAGTACCGCGTACCAGCATTTGACTTCACTCAGTTCTACCACACTGCACCAGTACAGCTTTTTAAAAAAATGGCACTAGTACAGCTTTCAGAACAATTGTCACCAGTAGAGCTTTCAGAAAATTTGGCACCAGTAGTGCACGATCAAAGCAATGAACTAGTATGGTGCTGGATTTTTAGGTACTGCTTCTATGGTGCTTGATTTGTAGGTACAACTGCTGCAATAGTGCTCGCTTTGCAAGTATGGCGCTAGTACACCTGCTTCAAGTCACGTTTCCCAATTTGGAGTCTTTTCACGCCGACACTTGTCCGTTGTATGAACCCTGTAGAAAAGCTCTGGCAGTACACGCTCGTCTGATTCTGTGCGCAGACGATGCCACACCAAACGCTCAACTGCTTCTAGTAGCGCCCACTCATGCTTGCTGCTGCTGCTGCTACTGTGCTTGCTGCTGCCGAGACGCCTGTGACCATCTGATGTGTCACTCGGACACCCATGACTGCTCCTCATTATTCCTGTTTCATTGCCTATTCCCGCATCCTGTGCCTGCTCTGCTGCCTTCCCTGAAGCTACGGCAGCAGCGGGTCTCCAACTTGTGACATTTGACCATATGGTACCAGAACTAGCTTCTTTCACGTCCAAATGACCGCTCCAGAAGGCTCGTCCTCCCCTTTCTCTCCTTTGCCCCAAGCCCTTTAGTACACTGCTCCTGCTGCTGACACCCACTGCCTTGAGAGAACTTTCCCTCCTTTCGGCTGCTGCGCAATCCCAAGCAACGGGCTCACAAGTAGCATTCTCAGCCAAAACATCAACAACAGCACTGGCACCAGCATCACTGCCAGTAGAAGCATCGGTGGCTGAAAACAGAACTGCTGAAGCAGCAGAAGTAGGCTCTTTAGCGTTATTTTCCACGCCTCGATTGCCGTCATGGCCGCTGCAGCTGCTCCTATCCTGGCTTCCCCTCCTATTCCTACTTCCGCTCCTGCCAATTCTGCTGCTGGTTGCATCGCTACCACTAGTCGCTGCTACGAGGTTGCTTATACCCAGCAAGCCCCCAGCGCCAGCATCAAACTCCTCACCGACCTCTAATCCCACCTCGCCCGCCAATTGACTACAGCCGTTGACACACCCCGCTTGTGGTTCAGGATTTCCGCTACAATCTTTCTTACCAGAGACACTGCTGGTAGATACGCTCTGGTCCGCACTATTCCTTCTCCTGCGCCGAACAATAAACCCTTCTTCTCTAAACGCGTCGTCCTCCTCATCCTCCGAGCTATCGCTTCTGAATCTTCCCCCCACACGCAAATTGCGCGCGTAACAGTCGACCTCTATTTCCCCGACTTCCCCTCCGCGATCCCCGTCAACGGTCGCAGCCACGCGCCTCTCCTCATCCTCCGCATCGTCCATCTCCCCAACCACTTTTTCCTGCCACTCCAGCAGCAGCAGCGGCGTTTGCGGCCGGTCCCAGAAAACCTCGCTGCCTCCGTTAAGCTCGCCGCTCGCGCCGGCCGCATCGAAAGCGTCGGAGCTATCACGCGTGGACGAGAGGCCATAGCCTTCGTCACAACACGACAGAGAGAGCGAGCACGGGGAGGAGCAGGAGGAGGTGGCGTACGCTGGCGGAACGGACTGGCGGAAAATGGGCGCAGACATGGGGATGACCGGGGAAGCGGAAGCGGAAGTGGACGAAGAGGGTATATGGTCAACTGGAAACGCTTCCCCGCAGCCCTGCCCGCAATTCTCAGCGCACCGCGCATTCGACGTAGCTCCCCGCGCGGAAGGGCCCATGATGCTTTCCGCCGACCCCTCCATTCTTCCGCGCGATCCCGCACCACCTGCACTCCTGCAGCCCGCCTTGTCACAAGAGTTACCATCTCCATGCGCAATTTCGCTAGGATGTTGTTCGCATCTCCGTTCGTCAACCGCGACGCATGCTGCTGTCTCCCCGTCCTGATTTTTGCCGCGGCTGTTGCGGCTGCGGAAGCGGCTCGCCTGCGCTTGCCGATGCGCGTTCGACTCGGCGGCGTGAGCGAAGATGTCGCGAAGGTCGTTCTTAAGCACGTGCGGCCGCGTGCTGAGCACGTGCCTTGCCGCTTTAGTTGCGTTAGCACCCATGTCGCGCGCACCTACGCGGACTAATTCAATCTAGTTGCCTACTCCGATTTGCTACAATCCGTTACTGTTACCTGTTACACTATTTTCTAGATCATCCGCACTCGTAGACTGCAAACTAGCAGATCGGCTTCTCTCAATAACATGTAGACGGCTCCAGTTCGTACTCCCCAGTTTGAGAACTCAATTGTTGAGATCCTCTGTTGAGCTTATTTTCCTGTCGTGGATGGACTCGACTTTTTCTGCGACCGTCAGCAAGTTCCTAACGTTGTTGGATCGGGGAAGAAGAGATCGTGGACTTATGCCTTCCTGATTGAAGATAGAAGACTCTGGGAAGCGAGGGAAGGGAGGATGGTGCAACAACCATCGCTGGAGCGGAGGAGACACGTGATAGCAAGAGAAACAGAAACCTTCTTGACAAGCCTGCTCGTGAAACAGTGCTTCCCCAAATTCCCAAGCTTCTTCAGAGAAACGGAATCTGGGCCGATTCATTTGACGATATTCTCGGAGCTGGCGAAACTAATAGCAGGTGACGACTTGTTGTCACCATGTAACGAAACCATTGCGACATGACTTTGCATTGAACGATTGTCGTTCCTGTACCTTTCCATCCCTGGGGTTTGGGCGAAAAGTGCGGAGCGGACCCATCCGCAACCGCGCAACTCTCGCGCGTACAGGCGCGTCGGCTGCTTTGACGCCCAGGGTCAGCGTGCTGCGAAAACAGGGTTACGCGTTGCGACCCTAACGACCACCAGACGATCGAAACGGAATGCTGCGACCGGGCGGTCAAATCGTTGGTCGAGGTTTCGTCCACGGAATTATGGCGATGCACTGAAATCTGAAGAGTGACGCGTTCTGGCGATTTTCCGTTTTCTTGTCGCCAGGAGAAATCCGTCAGCCGCTCAGGCAAAGCCACCAGGGCGAGTCGCGCCGCCCTAGCCGGCAGCGCGGGTCAGACCTTCCGCACCGACGTCTCTGGTTCGGAATTCCGCGCCACTTTGGCGTCGCTAAGGTGCCAGAGCAACTGGCGTCAGTTCAAACGGTGTGGAGCCGAAGGCTAACTGCAGAGCGGTTCACTGGAGCTGTCATGACGGTCGATTCGCTCCCAAAACCGCCACCATTCAGTTGGTGATGACGCAATTTGAAGAATACGTGAGCTGGCGGGTCGAAGAACGCGAGCCTATGAACTTGGTCAGACCAACCTGTAATGCGGCGTGATTGACTCATCAGAGGATGATCTGGCAGTCCTTACCGCGATAGACAACCATAGCAAACCGAAAACCGTGGCGCAGGGCGGCTGCCATTTTGGACCCTACAAAGCAAATAAGTGGTTCTGTTCTATGCAGTGAGCCATATTTATCGCATGGTTCTATTAAAAATTTATTATACATACATGATAGAAACCTTAATTGTATAATTCATGGGCAACCACAGAACCAAGAACAGCCAATCTAAGCATCTCTTCCCGATTATCCATGCCCTTCCAAAAATGCCGAACCATGCGCCCATCCGGGCCAGTGAGTTCCAAAAAGGGAACAATGACCATGTTTTTGCGATAGAAGGCAGCCAATCGAGCAAGGCGACGTTGTTCCCAAGGGTGCTCCCATAGAGATTCACTTTCCTCTTGCTCCCTGTACCAAACACGCAATGCCTGAGAGATTGGGGAAGGCAAACACCACATGTGAAGGAGCAGAAAAGACTACACAGCCTTATACAAAGACATTATTGAACATAAACGTACAATGCATTTTGCCCAAGAAGAGCGACACACCACTTAGGAATAGACTGCGCCAAAGCAGGCTTGTTACGCAATTGCCTCCAAGTGCAGAATTACCTGCCTAAAGCAATGAGCGAAGCAGCAACGCCACATGGCTCACCTCAATCGCAGCAGCCGACCATCTCCACAAGGAGACTCCAGCATTGATGAACTGGAGACCAGCTTTGAACAGTGCCTCTGCCTGGGCATGCGGGCACTGCGGTGACTGTTGTCGAGTCGACTCAAAAGCCACTACAGCTCACCTCAATCGCAGCAGCCGACCGTCTCCAGAGGGATACGCCAGCATTGATGAACTCGAGATCAGGGTTGAAAAGCGCCTCTGCTCGAGCATGCGGGTACTGCGAGTAACGGTCGTCCACGTTCCGGGGGAAGAGCGCAAAGACTGCATCCTTGTCGCCGTCGTCAGGCAGGAGGAGCGTGGCTGGGTCCCGAGGGAAATGCGTCTGGTTTACCAGACTAGCCCCGTAATCCTTGGGTATCCAGTCGAAGTAGCCCTGCATGAGAAGTAATTGCATGATCCGATTGGAGAAAGGAATGCAAAAGGAGAGCAGACGACAGAAAGAGAGTTTGAATGCGTTGTTGAAGCCGAAAAGAACCAAGACAATGATTGAAAGTTGAAATCCAACGAGACAAAGAAGAATTGAGAAGAACTGACGTCGATTTGCAGCTGGGAGAGCCAGGATTCCACAGAGAGCTGGTGGGTGTTGAAGCGGAAGTAGGCGTCAGAGTCAATGCAGAAGGCCCACCGGCAGCAACACGTGAGCTGCTCCTGGATGAACAGCACCTGCGCAGCAGGCATGGCATCATACATGCCAGGGTTTAGGGTTATTCCTGAGTTGTTTGTTACGTTGAACCAGGAAGAGTGTTAAACCGCTGGAGTGAATCCAGGAGTCGCCTGGCGACCCATACCATAGTGGGTTTGTTGGTTACCTTGAACCATGAAGAGTGTCGATCTTGTTGGTATTTTTTAGCCGACTCAAAAGTCAGCTCGACCACTACCATTTTAATTTTGTTTGTTACCTTGAACCATGAGGAGTGTCGATCTTGTTGGTACCGCGTGGGATCCATGACAGCAAATCGGTACCCATGCTTGCGCGCATAAGCCCTTGAGGGGGAGAGGGACGGAGAGGGGAACGGAGGGAAAGGGGAGTGAAGGAGATGGGAGAGAAAAGGAGATGGAAATAGCAGCTGTAAATGCTGGGAGGATGGACTAAACTTAACTGCTCTGACACAGACGGGGGGGCCTTACGGAAGAGACACCAAGGAGATATGGAATGTGTATGCCTTATGGTCTGAACTAAGGGGGAGAGAATGACGGGTAGAAGAGGTCACATGGGACAAATCAGTTCGTTGCAGTCATCATTCATTTGGTACCATCGTTATCGATTGTCGAACGAATGCAATGTAGAGAAACCATGTGACGTTTGAGTCGACTCAAAATTCACCTCCATGCAATGTAGAGAAACCAAACGACTCAAGCGAGCCAATCCCATTGCCTTGCACACTCTTCTGCTCTTTCCTCTGCTGCTTCCCTCTGCCAAACGCATCCTTCATTCTTCCACTTGCGTCTCCCTCCTTCCTCCGTTCCATCCTCGTGCCACTCACCGGTTGATAATCTTTGAAGCAGCCCAGTACGGCATGTTCTCCCCGTTCTCCTCCATGTAATTGTGAGGGTAGGAGGAACCAGAGTCAGGATCACGGCCATCTGATGAAGAGGAGGCGGAGGAGGCGGAGGAGGAGGGGTTGGAGAGGGGGGAGATGGGCCAGGGGCCTGCTATGTGGGAGGCGTTGAGTGAGCGATCGTCCACATAGAGAATGCAGCCTGGCAGGGGACGAGACTCGTACTCTGTGGTGGTGGTGAAAAAGGGAAAAAAAAAAACCGAAAAAAAGGGAAAAAAGGGATGGAGGAAAGGAGATGGGTATGCGAGGAACTTAGTGTGCGGGGACAGAGGCAGAAGCTCCAGCGAAACAGCTTCAGCACGGGACTAGAGAGGCGGCGAGCTTGGGAGAGGGCCATTCAAAAGCAGTGGCATTCAGGGCCTGAGAGGGCCCACTCCAGCAAGCAGCATGAGGTGAGGGGATCTTAAAAAGGAACCACAACTTTGCAAAGGAAAGCCATCTGACTCTGAAAAATAACATTCAATGGAAAGCTTTGAAGGCAGGCAGGCTGCCATTGCACATTCCACCCACCTTTGAGGCTGGCTGTGAGACGTGATAGTTCACGCAGTGTGGCTCGGTTTGACTTTTGAGTCAACCCAAAAGTCAACTCATTTTGAGTTGATTCAAAAGTCCACCCACCTTTGAGGCTGGCTGTGAGACGTGATAGTTCACGCAGTGTGGCTCGGTTTGACTTTTGAGTCAACCCAAAAGTCAACTCATTTTGAGTTGATTCAAAAGTCCACCCACCTTTGAGGCTGGCTGTGAGACGTGATAGTTCACGCAGTGTGGCTCGGTTTGACTTTTGAGTCAACCCAAAAGTCAACCCATTTTGAGTTGATTCAAAAGTCCACCCACCTTTGAGGCTGGCTGTGAGACGTGATAGTTCACGCAGTGTGGCTCGGTTTGACTTTTGAGTCAACCCAAAAGTCAACTCATTTTGAGTTGATTCAAAAGTCCACCCACCTTTGAGGCTGGCTGTGAGACGTGATAGTTCACGCAGTGTGGCTCGGTTTGACTTTTGAGTCAACCCAAAAGTCAACTCATTTTGAGTTGATTCAAAAGTCCACCCACCTTTGAGGCTGGCTGTGAGACGTGATAGTTCACGCAGTGTGGCTCGGTTGCTTGCCGCTGCTGACGCTGCCAGTATCCGCACTTGCTCCTGGAAACAGCTCCCATTCCCAGCCCACCGTACAGCACCATGCAGCACTCCCCATCCGTCACAGCAGCAGCATGCAGCACACCCCACCCATCACAGCATCATGCAGCACACCCAATCCATCACAGCAGCATGCACACACACAGGTAGGCTCATGAGAAGATGCGTGCAGGTGAAAAGCAGGCGACAGGCGCGCGTGCGTGCCAGAGGGGACGCGAGAGCGCGGGAAATTGCACGAGTGAGTGAGGAGGTGAGTGGGAGGAGGGAGAATGAGAGAGAGGAAGGAACATCGAGAGGGAGAGGGCACGAGAAAGGGGAGGAGGAGAGGAGGGAAGGGGAGGGAGGAGATATTAATAAGAAAGCGAAGCGGGGACGGGAAAGAGTGAATGGGGAGGGAAAGGGGGAAAGAGGTGGGAGGGGGGGGGGGGGGGGGCGGGGGGGGGGATAAGGGAGGCATAAAAGTCCATACGCGAAGGAAGCGGGGAGGATGGGTAGAGGAAAGAAGAAGAGAGGGGGATGTGGGGGGGGGGGGGGGGGGGAGGGGAGGAGGGTGGGGAGGAGAGGGTAGTAGGGGGGAGGAGGGGGGAATGGCGGGAAGAGAGCGGGAGAGTGTGTGTACTTGAGCGAGGATATCGAGCCAGCAGTGCACGATAACCGCCACCGCCACCGCGCCTGCAACGGCCGCCGTTATAGCTGCTCCTGATCTGCCTCTCCGCCATGATCCCGCCGCTTCCACCGATCCCGCCGATCGGCCTGCTCCTAATATTCTCCAAATCCATCCTAGCCATGTCCATCCTGCTGACGTAAATGTTCCAAATGATCTCCGGGAATCGCTTCCATCCGCGTGTCTCGTTCGCACGAATGCACTGCTGAGTCGCGAGGCGATCCCGCGGATTCCGCCGCTAAACGCGGAAGTGATCGCCGCGTAGGTTGACTCGCCGGACCGTCTAATGCGTACGGAGCGGCGTTTACCGCGGGATGCTGACGGAATCTCCGACGTCGATCGCACTGACGGCATGGCTTTCGTTTCTCGCCGGGCTGTGTTCCTAACCACTCTGAACCGTTCTCTGCCGGAAGTTACCCTTCCAAAAGTGATGGATGAATCTCTGACCGAATTTCTTTCTCAACTATCAACCCCGATCCGATGCTTGATTGGTTCTATCCATCGGCTCACTGGCTGTAACTCGCTGCGAGTGAAGCTGTTCACTGGATCTAGATGCACGATTCATACTCTATGCGTGCGAAGGATACAAGGCATCGCCTTTTCGTGCATAAAACGAGAGATCGAGAGGACGTAAGCACGAGGAGTCACCAGCTGCTTTCCTGGAGGTACTTGTAAAAGGCGTTTCTCGCACAACATTTTCGTGTGCAGTTGTGGAATGTGTGTGCTTCTCTGGTCTGGTGCGGTGGCAGCAGGAAAAACTGCCGTTCGCATAATCAAACCTCCACGGTTCGTATGTAGAACTTAGAGGTACCTCTTGGTTTTCATGAGTTATAGGCATTTTAGTTCGCGCGTGTGCGGTGAGAATTTTAGCAGTTTAGACTTGAACGAGGGCGGGTGGTTTCTGGGTGAGGTTGCGACAACGACAACCACTAGGCTCCGATTTAATTACTTCGTTTTTGCGTAGAATGTGCAAGCCAACCAGAGTCTCTGTTATAATAATATTTTCACACATTTTTGAAACGTTGTACTAAGCTAAAACTATACGTCCCTGGATATATATTTTTTCATATATTGATCCACCAGCAGCGATGACTGAATAATCGTTGTCATTGCATACATAAATATATGTGGATTTTTTATGCTCCTCCTACACGAAATATTTGATGCAGCTGCTACACGCAACTTTGTTTCATTCACAACAACCCGCACGGCATGCCGAATTCCGCATGACTCCACCCGTGCGTGGAGCTCAGAAAGAAAATCCGTCATTCCGTGTCTTGACTAGTCTCATTCCGCCATTGCATCAGTTTATGCGGAGAAACTGCTCTAAACCAGGCTGGCACGTAACGCGTTTTGTCGATTCTGCGCTGGGAGAAAGGTTCATGCATCCATCCCTCCATCCTCTTCGACGACCTCCACCTCCTTTCCGTGCTGCTTCTTCCCAAGCATACCTTTTAATAGAATCTCGCATAAACGCCTAGCATAGAAAGAAGTTTACATAGAAGCTCGCAAGTGTAAGCTTGCAAGGAATTTCGCAAAGAAGCTTGCAAGGGAGCTCGCATGGGAGGCGAAAATGAGGACGTCGCAGAGCGAGGCGCGAACAGCAGCAGCGCCGTATCCAATCAGGTTCTGACAGCAGCAGCAGCAAGCGGATACGCCACGGGAAGCGCGGGGAAAAGTGTTAGTGGCGGTGGACGCGGCTGCGGCGGCGGCGGCGGCGGCGGTGGCATTGGCGATGGGAGAGAAGATGGAGCGGGAGAAGGGAGCGGGAAGTGGGACGGAGGGCGAGAGGAAGGTCGAGGGGCGCTGGCTGACGTGGCACTGGCAGGGCACCCTGACGACCCGCTGTCGTGGTCTGTGGAGGTGAGGGAGGTAGAGCGAGGGGGGCTGGATGGAACAGATAAGGAAGCAGGAGAAGAAATGCAAGCGTTATAAAAGAGGTAAGCGAAGATAAAGTAGACCTCTTTTTTTTTGGGGTGGGTGGGGGGGGGGGGGGGTGGGGGGGTGTTCTTGTGGCAAGTGGAATGTGGGCGAGTGGCTGCAGCACAGCCTCCAAATCTCACTGCACCGATGCACCTGCACAATGCACCCGATTCGCACACTCATGCCTCTCCCTCAACCTCCCTCCCACGCCTATTCACTCGGGCCCCGCAGGGCGTGGCGAGTGGTTGCAGAGGGAGGGCTTCGGCGAGTACAGGGGGGTGTTGGCCACGCAGCAGATCAACGGCCGAGCACGGGCGAGCTACAGTTGAAAAAGAAAAGAAAAACTCTAACACACCTCCCATCAACCCATCTCCCCGCAGGGCGTGGGCGAGTGGTTGCAGAGGGAGGGCTTCGGCGAGTACAGGGGGGTGTTTGCCACACAGCAGGTCAACGGTGCTGTGCTGCTGCTGTTTAGCGAAAACTTCAAAACATCTCCTTTCTTCCTACAGGGCGTGGGCGAGTACAGGGGGGTGTTTGCAGCGCAGCAGGTGAACAGGCAAGCAGGGGCCAGCTGAGGAGAGCACAGGGGAGCGCGTTTTCCTTCTTGATTCTAACGCATCTCCCTTCCTTGTCCCCACAGAGCGTGGGCGAGTGGCTGCAGAGGGAAGGCTTTGGCGAGTACAGAGGGGTGTTTGCCACACAGCAGGTTAACGGCGCTGTGCTGCTGCGGCTGTCCCGGGAATCCCTGGCGGAGCTGGTGCCGTCGCTGGGACCCAGAATGGCCGTTCTGGACGCTATAGAAAAGCTGCGAGGTGCGCTACGGGGGGGATGGGTGGGAGAGTGAGTGTGGGCCGGGTGGGTGGGAGAGTGGTACAGGAAGGCTGGATGAGAGGAGCTGGTGTTGTCGCTGGGGCTGACTTTTGAGTCAAAAGTCAGAATGGCCGTGCTGAACATAATAGAGTGAGGGAGTGTGTGATTGCGTGAGGAATGAGCCAGGAGAGCATAGGGGAGGGGGGGCACCTATTGGCTGAGGTGAACCACAGGGAATGTAAAGAGGAGGGTTGGTTGGATAACAAGAGGAAGGCACAGGGCCGTCTTATTAAACGTCAAATCTAGCCGTGTTCCTCTTGTTTTTTTTTTTCTTGCTGTAATCTTGTTTATTCTCCCCCCAGGGTGGAAGGCAGGACCACGGCACGTGGGCGAGGGGCTAGTATCGGGCTTGCATGCCTTTGCGGCAAAATTCGTGCATGGACTGGATCACCTGCTGGTGGGTGCAGTGCGGTGCAGTGCGGTCTGGTGCAGTGCAGTGCTGTGGTAGTGGCGAACCCCGTGTGTGCTGCTGCCTCCATGTGGTTCCTTGTCATGCTGTGGTCTGGTCCGTCAGTGTGTTACAGCATGACAAGGAACCATATGCAGCAGCACACATAGAGCAGCACACATGCAGCAGCACACATGCAGCAGCACACATGCAGCAGCACACATGCAGCAGCGCACATGCAGCAGCACACATGCATGTGGTTCCTTGTCATGTAAGGTCTTGTCATGCTGTGGTCTGGTCCGTCAGTGTGTTGCAACTTACAATCGTGCTCTGTCTGTGCTACGTCCTTAACTAACTCCGGTATTGATGATACGGCGGTGTATGCCGGGTCATCTGTGCTCTGCACATGCGCGTGTGTTGATGGGGACTGGGGGATGGGAGGGAGGAGGGGTGCATGTGTGTGTCACGTTTGTGTGTGTGTGCTGTGCTGTGCATGTGCTGTGCATGTGCTGTGCATGTGCTGTGCATGTGCTGTGCATGTGCTGTGCATGTCATCGCATACACCTGTTGTTGCCATGCATGTGTGGTTTGTGTGTGTTGCGCATGTGAGAGGGAGAGGGGTGCGTGTGCGTCGTGTGTCACGTGTGCGTGTGTCACGTGTGCGTGTGTCACGTGTGTGCTGCGCTGTGCTGTGCTGTGCATGTCATGTCATACACCTGTTGTTGTCACCTTCCTTTGATGCACCCTTTGTTGCTATGCAGAACGACCCTATAGAGGGTGCATCAAAGGAAGGAGTATCGGGACTAATGCACGGCCTCAGTATGGGAATCACAGGGTAAGTAAGCCGGTCCTCTTCCCCCACATACACTCTCCCTCACCCCTCCCATCCCATCACACACCCCCACACTACCCACACACCCCCTGGAACCCCCTCACAACCCCACACACCACCCACACCCCCCCCACACTCCCACTCCACCCACACACCACTCCACTCACACACCACTCCACTCACACACCACTCCACTCACACACCACACCACCCACACCCCCCCCCACACTCCCACTCCACCCACACACCACTCCACCCACACACCACTCCACTCACACACCACTCCACTCACACACCACTCCACTCACACACCACTCACACACAGCAGCTGGAAATTTCACTGAAACAGAATGTTCATTACCCCTGCTTCTCTTGACCTTGTCTGTCGTAACTCCCCCGCCTGTCTTGTCTCCCTGTCCCCCAGCGCCATCAAGCATCCAGTAGAGGGAGTGGCGATGCTCTCGGCTCTCTCAGCAGATAGGAGCGTCACCGATACAGAATGCTCATCTCACCTCCCATTCTCTCTTTACCCCCTCCTCCCCTTGCCTCAACTCAACTCAACTTCCCCAGCGCCATCAAGCATCCAGTAGAGGGAGTGGCGATGCTCTCTCAGCAGCTAGGAGACGGTTTCCGCCGTACCCCCGACGCGCTCTTCGGCCGCTCACCTGCACTAGAAGACAAACAGGGCTCCGCTCCCCCCTCCCCCGTCATCACTCCACTCCCCTCCTCCTCCTCCGCCTCCTCCTCCGCTTTCTATGGCCCCCCCTCCGCCTCCTCCCCCTTCCCTACCTCGTTTCCTGGTTCTTCCTCCCGACAGGAGGACCCTGTGGGGCTGTTATCGCACCCCACCGCACTGCACCTAGACCCAGCGTTTGGGTCCTCCTCCTCTGTATCCCCTTCTCAAGCTCTGTCCCGTTATAAGCCCAGCTCGTCCCCTGGATCAGCAACAACGAAGCTAGGCTCAGGGATGGCTGTGGGGGACGAGAGGGGAGCGGGGGAGGAGAAGGGGGAAGGGGGCGGAAGGGGGGGAAGTCCTGGGGGAGGGGGAAGCGGAGGAGTGGGGGGAAATGGAGGAAATGGCTGGGGAGGAGGTGGGGAGGGTTCTGAACGGCCGGCGTTGACAGGGGGGGAGAGTGGTGGTGGCGGCGGTGGTGGTGGGGTTAATAGTAATAGCGGTGCTGGTGGGATGGTAGTGACGAGTGCTCCCATGATGGTGAGGAGGATAGAAGAGGCGAAGCCTGACTTTCTCAAGGATGAGGGGGATGGGTCGCGGCCGGCACACATAGGGGAGGGCATTCTGGTGGGCATGCGGTGCTTCGGCAGCGACCTGTATGATGGCATTACTGGGATTGTGGTGAGTGGGTGGGGTGGGGTCGGGTGGGGTGCAGTGGGTGTGGGGTGTGGTGCACACATAGGGGAGGGCATTCTGGTGGGCATGCGGTGCTTTGGCAGCGACCTGTATGATGGCATTACTGGGATTGTGGTGAGTGTAAGGGGTGTGGTGAGGTTGGGTGGGGTGGGGTGGAGTGGGGTGGGGTGGGGTGGGGTGGGGTGGGGTGGGCATGGGGCCTGTGTGTAGCTTTGCACGAGCAGCGACCTGTATGATGGGCTCACTGGGATAGTGGTGCGTGGGTGGGGTGGTATTGGATTGGATGGGGTGAATTGGGGTGGGGTGGGAATGGGATTTGTAGTGCACATGGCCATTAGACAGCTAATAGCCGTAGCTTACGCTGCACTGCACGCACATGTACCATCTGTGCGCATGCATGGTATGGACTCACAATGTTGTCTCTCTGCTCATTCATCCCCCCTTGACATTCATGCGCTCATGCGTGCACCTCCCAATGCACGCATGGATGCATAAATGCATGCAGACGGAGCCAATGAAGGCCATGGCCATGGCGCGAGACAAGGGGTCAGGGTCACCCGCAGTGCCGGTAGCTGCGGCCTTTTGAGGCACCTCAAAAGTTGCATTTGTTCTCTCCTTGTATCCATTCATGCATCCATGCATCCATGCATCAATGCATGCATGCATTCAATGCCTCCAATGCCTCCAATGCATGCAGACGGAGCCAATGAAGGCCATGGCCATGGCGCGAGACAAGGGATCAGGGTCACCCGCGGTGCCAGCAGCAGCAGTCATGCGAGGGCTGGCTAAGGGACTTGCAGGGTCAGTCACTGCAGTCAGTGCAGTCAGTGCAGTCAGTGCAGTCAGTGCAGTCAGTGCAGTCAGTGCAGTCAGTGCAGTCAGTGCAGTCAATGCAGTCAGTGCAGTCAGTGCAGTCAGTGCAGTCAATGCAGTCAGTGCAGTCAATGCAGTCAGTGCAGTCAGTGCAGTCAGTGCAGTCAGTGCAGTCAGTGCAGTCAGTGCAGTCAGTGCAGTCAATGCAGTCAGTGCAGTCAATGCAGTCAGTGCAGTCAATGCAGTCAGTGCAGTCAGTGCAGTCAGTGCAGTCAATGCAGTCAGTGCAGTCAATGCAGTCAGTGCAGTCAGTGCAGTCAGTGCAGTCAGTGCAGTCAATGCAGTCAGTGCAGTCAATGCAGTCAGTGCAGTCAATGCAGTCAGTGCAGTCAGTGCAGTCAATGCAGTCAATGCAGTCATTCCCACTTGTGCCTACCGCGTTCTCGTCTTCTCACTCCGTTCGTTCTTCAGAGCCCTTCTTCTCATCCTCGTCCTGCCCACGGAGCCCCAGATAGGAGCCATGTCTTTACATGGCAGCGACTGATTCAACTGTAAATATTGTTGTTCAAAAGACTTCTCACTCGGTTTGTTGTTCAGAGCCCTTCTTCTCATCCTCGTCCTGCCCACGACGTCGACCTGTTTCGTCTTTTATGTTTCTGTAGACAGAACGTCCTTTTCAAGTTAATGGCCTTTTTTGCCTGAGTGTATCCGTTTTCTTGCGTGTATGTGTGCGTGCGTGCGTGCGTGCGTGCGTGCGTGTGTGCGTGTGTGTGTGTGTGTGCATGTATGGCCTCACTCCGTCATGCCTTGTCCAATGTCTGCCTCAAATTCTCATTCTGCAACGCTCACCAGTGCAATCTGCAAGGTACGCCCTCTCTTACTCTCTCCATCTTCCCACAATGTGCAACAGTGTCTATACTTTTTTTTTTTTTTTCCGCACACTCTCCCATCCATCTCATCCATTCCTCGCGGGTACGTCCGCCCAGCCGCCCAACCCTGCCACATCTCCTTCTTTTATCTTGCATCTCTCGACAACATGTAGCAAAGGGGGCTTTTAGCTAGCAAAAGCAACAGCAGAGGGAACAATTGCTCACAATGGCAGGAACAGCACCGTCACAGTTTACTCTCTCAACCCTCTCTTCTCAAACCCCCTGTCTTTATCTCCTCTTCCTCGTCTCGCCACCTACAGCCTGTAGCAGGAGGCTTCAGGGGCAGGTGCTACATGCGACAGTGGAGAGGATAATAGACTGTCCCCTGTCCCTGCCACAGACGATTCTTAGAGGTCTCTTTCCCAACCCCCAGCCACCCCACCACACACCCCCCCACCCTCCTGTCTTATCTCTGCCACCTCTCACCACAACGCCAGCCTGTGGCAGGGGGCTTTGAGCTGGCACATGCGACGGTGGAGGGGATAATAGCCACGCCACAGACGCTGGCAGCGGCAGCGAGGGATGGGCCGGCTATTCAGGACACGCCCACGTACCAGCGCCTTGCTGCTCTGCGCCTGCTGCCAGGTGAGTGTGTGCTCTCTCTGTGTGCCTGTGGCAAGAGCTTAGGCGCCTCATAACCAGCCATTCAGGACACGCCCACGTACCAGCGCCTTGCTGCTCTGCGCCTGCTGCCAGGTGAGTTGAGCTCCTTCCTACCTCCGCTCTCTGTGTATTCAAGAGTTGGTGTATATGCTCGAGACTCACCAGGACACGCCCATGTACCAGCGCCTTGCTGCTCTGCGCCTGCTGCCAGGTGAGTTGAGCTCCTTCCTACCTCCGCTCTCTGTGTATTCAAGAGTTGGTGTATATGCTCGAGACTCACCAGGACACGCCCATGTACCAGCGCCTTGCTGCTCTGCGCCTGCTGCCAGGTGAGTTGAGCTCCTTCCTACCTCCGCTCTCTGTGTATTCAAGAGTTGGTGTATATGCTCGAGACTCACCAGGACACGCCCATGTACCAGCGCCTTGCTGCTCTGCGCCTGCTGCCAGGTGCGTTCCTGCTCGCTTTGTGTGCGCCTGCTGCCTTGGCCTGTGAATAGACTCAAGAGCCACCAGGTCACACCCACCTACCAGCGCCTTGCTGCCCTGCGCCTGCTGCCGGGTGTGTCTCTTCCTTCCTGCGTGCTCTGTGTATCTGCTGAGCTGATCCTGGCACATTTTCCAGAGAGCTTTGTGCGCCCAGCCCACACACCACCACCTTGCTGCCATGCGCCTGCTGCTGGGTGCGTCTCGTCTACTCTCCTCTGCTGTTCTGCGTTCTGCACCTGCCGTTCTGTGCTGCGTTTTGCACAAGACCTCTCTTTGAATCATGATCTCCCTATTCTCCCTGCTCCCTTCTTCTCCTCTCCCTCCAGCACAATCATCGGAGGCCATCTCGTGCATGGGGCAGGCAGCACAGCACGGCAGCATGAGCCCTGCTGCTGTGCTTTCTCAAGGACTCTCTTAGAACTTGATCCCTTGTTCTTTCTTCTCTCTCCCCTTCCCCCTCTCCCCTCCTCCTCCCTTCCTCCAGCGCAATCGTCAGAGGCCATATCGCGCATGGGGCAGGCAGCACAGCACAGCAGCATGAGCCCTGCAGCAGCAGCGCTGCAGATGAGCGAGCTGAGCCACAGGGGGGAGATGGGTGCGGGCACGGGTGGGGTGTGAGTGAGTGGGGTGTGAGGGACTAGGTGGGGCGTGAGTGGTTGGCTCCTGTGTGTTTGCTGCAGCGCTGCAGATGAGCGAACTGAGCCACAGGGGGGAGATGGGAGCGAGCACGGGTGGGGTGTGAATGGTTGAATGTGTGGTTGAGCGGTTGAGTTAGTGCTTGAGTCGGTGGGGTGTGAGTGAGTGGGGTGTGAGAGGAGAGAGTGAGTCGGTGGGTGGGTGGGTGAGTGTGCGAGTGAGTGGGTGGGTGGGTGGGTGAGTGAGTGAGTGAGTGAGTGTGTGAGTGTGTGTGGGTGAGTGAAAGGAGAAGTTACAAGAGGAGTCACCAGCAGATGAGCAAGCTGAGCCTCAGGGGGGAAATGGGCATGGGTATAGGCAGGGCACGGCAATGAATTGCCCTTTATTTGCAGGTGTAAAACTTGGAGTGCATGTACCGTATATCTGGCTGGTGGTGTGGTGAGGTTGCTGTACAATTGATTGGGCACATCAATGCTAGTGTTTCCACTTCATTGTTGTTCCCTTCATGTGCATCACCATCCCCTGTTTTGCTTGTAATGTGGATGATGTTTTGCTACAATGAAGTATTATCGGGGTTACATAGGGGAAACATGAAAATGTCTCTGTGTCGGTAACCGTATACCGTAACTGTAAACAGTATCACGTGCAAAACAGCACAAAGCTTGCACATACAATCTCATCGCATAACGAGTACACTAATGCAGCACTCTGTAAGGGAGCCACTCTGGCTGGGATTGTGCAGTAAGAGTTGATACCATACCATACTGTAAGTGTGTAACACGGGTCGGGTAGGATCAGAAAAGAGCTCAGCCCATCCTTCATCCAAGTTCCCTTCCTTCCTTCCCATCCCCCGCTTCCACACCACGCATCGCACACAAGAAAGCGGGGAGGGGGGGGTTACTACCTACTTTGGAGGCACCTCAGCAAAAGGCCCCTACCTATACACACACCATTCCCCTGCCACAGGCTCAGCTGATCACTCCACTCCATTCCTGAAACCATGACCTGAGTCAACGGTATGCAATGCAGACACAAACCACGCAGCTGGCGGCAGGCAGTCCGTTTCAGAAAGCCCCTCAAACACAGCAGGCAGGTCCGTCCACTCGCTAGTCCGTTCCCCAGGCCACAGGTCACAAACGCCCCACCCACGCCCTTTCTCCACACATCTGAAACAAGCCCGTTTCAGAAAGCCCCTCAGACACAGCAGGCTGGTCCGTCCACTCGCTCGTCCGTTCCCCAGGGGCCAGGCCTCGCACACGCCCCACCCACGCCCTTTCTCCACACATACGGTATAACTGAAACAAGCCCTCTTCATCACGCCTATCAGGTTCCTCCTCGCGTCTTCTCCTTCTCATGCTTTCACAAGCCTGAAAGCTCCCAAGGGATCCCCCTGACAGCCACCACACCCCTCCCTCACGCCTTCAGCTCTGTCGGAATGCCCTTAAAAGCCTCAAATGTCTGAATCGGATACTCGACATGCGGCAACAACGCCCCTCCACTCCCACCCTCCCAGCAATCCCCATAGACCCTTGTCACAGCCTCACCCACCCTCCCTCAAGCCTTCAGCTCCGTCAGAATCCCCTTAACAGCCTCAAACGTCTGGATCGGATACTCTTCATGCGGCAACAACGCCCCTTCAACCTCCACATACCCCGCCACGCCCGCCGCCCCCTTGGCAGCCTGCATCTCCGCCTTGCTCCGCCTCGGGCAACCCTTGCTAGCCACCACATATGCCCGCACTCCCTCTTCCTCTGCCCGCGCAAACATCCCAACAAACTCCTCCCGGGTCTTCACGCTGTCGAGAAGACCCGATACGAAGGATGCGGGGGCGAAGCGGGCGCCTGGGCGGCGCGTGATGGAGGTGCGGGAGTCGAGGAGCGAGGGCGTGACGTTGTCTGCGTCGGCGTAGACGTGCGAGAGGTACTGCTGGCGCATGTTGCGCGGCGAGGTGAGCGCGAAGCGGTAGAGCGCCCAGCCCAGAGCTGGGGAGCGCACGAGCGATCGGAATATGGCATAGCTGGAAGGGAGAGAGGGGGGGAGACAACGAGGGAGAAGGAGGGGTGAAAGCAGAGTGAATGGAGGATGGAGGAAGTGGGTGGGAGATGGAGGGGAGGGAAAGCGGGGGGAAGAGAGTGGAGGAAAGGAAATGGCAGGGAAGGGGAAGTGGGGAAAGAAATGGGGGAGGGGGGAATGGAAGGGAAGAAACCAGCCCTGGGTTCATCCAAAAACCAGCACATGAAATTGAAGAAGTGTTTTGAGACGTCTCAAGAAACCAGCCCTGGGTTCATCCAAAAACCAGCACATGAAATTGAAGAAGTGTTTTGAGACGTCTCAAGAAACCAGCCCTGGGTTCATCCAAAAACCAGCACATGAAATTGAAGAAGTGTTTTGAGACGTCTCAAGAAACCAGCCCTGGGTTCTTCCAAAAACCAGCACATGAAAGCACAGGTGCCTTGATGCAGGCAGATGAGTGGAGGCGCCAGTACATCTGCTCTCTGTGTGCCAGAACAGCCAGAACAGCCAAGGGAACACCAAGGCCAGAGTCCCAGCCCAGGTTCTGTCTGGCAACTCACCGCACCGCGCCGCGGATGCATCTTGTCGTCGGTATGACCGAACACAATGGACAGCGGGGCAGCCACCACTGCCCTGCCACCACTCCCTGCACGTCCACCCTCCCCTCCCCACCGCATTCTCATGTTACCACCTTCCCTTCTCACCGAGGACGCATCTTGTCGGTATGACCAAACACAATGGGCAGCGGGCCAGCCCATGTGGGGGCCACCACAACCACTCCCTCCACGTCCACGCGCGCATCCCCCCTGCGCTGCTACCTTGAGGCAGGAAAGAACCATCTGCTCCCCCATGCGTAACTTACCGAGGACGCATCTTGTCGGTATGACCAAACACAATGGGCAGCGGGCCAGCCCATGTGGGCGCCACTGCCACCACTCCCTGCACGTCCACGCGACCCCCCTGCGCTGCCGCCTTGAGTCGCCCGTCCGCCACGGCTTTAAGTGCTGCCACGGGCGCGTGCCCCGCTCCCACCAGCACCACTCGCCTACCGGCGCCTGGGGGGTGCGGGAAGGAAGGGAATGGGAATGGGAATGGGAATGGGAAGGGACAGGGGGCGAGGGTGGGAGAAGAAGGAGCAGGTGTTGAGGGGGTTACGGAGGGCAGTGAGGAGAGAGGGGCGTGGGGAGGGGAAATAGGGAAGGGAGATGGGCAGGGCAGGCGGGGGGACGGCAGGCGGGGGGAGGGCAGGTGGGGGGAGGGCAGGTGGGGGCAAGGCAGGCGGGGGGAGGGCAGGTGGGGGGAGGGCAGGTGGGGGCAAGGCAGGCGGGGGGAGGGCAGGTGGTGGGAGGGCAGGTGGGGGAGGCCAGGTGGGGGGAGGGCAGGTGGGGTCCCCCTGACATGTGATGTCTTGAAAGCGAGTGGATAGGGGAGCGGAGGACGGGGTTGATGGGTGCTTCGCGCAAGGGGCGCAAGTGAGTGTTGGGGCAGAGACAGGCGGAGACTTTTGAGTCGACTCAAAAGTCACCTAGGGGAGCGGAGGAGGATGTTGATGGGTGCTTCGCACAAGGGGTCCAAGTGAGTGTTGGGGTAGGGACAGGCGGAGTGGGATTGAGAGATGGAGGAGGAGGAGGAGGAGGAGGAGGAGGAGGAGGAGGAGGAGGAGGAGGAGGAGGAGGAGGAGTAAGTGAGAATCCCATCCCATCGTATGTGCACGGTCAGTCCAAATTTCCTGGCCTCCTTCACTCCCTTCCCCTCTCCCTCCCACGTTCTCCTCCCTCCCACTCTCCCCATCAGCTGCATGCATGCACTCCCCCCGACTCCTCAACAAACTTCCCTCCTACTCCTACGAAGCTTCTCCCCACTCCTCATCACCATCTCCCACCACTCCTCACCGATGTGATTAACGAAGTCCACCAGAAAATCCTCCATAATAGCCGCCGTGTACTCCAGAGCCGGGCGCTCCGACTCGCCAAACCCAGGCCAATCCAGAGTCGCCACCTGGCGCCCTCCCTCCGCGGCGCTGGGCGGCGCTAGCGCTGCCACGTCAGATGCCACGTGGTCCCATTCGTCGACAGTGCTGACGTCGGAAAAGGACGGCAGGAAGAGGACGAGCGACTCGGGGGGGTCCGAGCCGGAGGTAGGGTAGACTACGTAGTTAATCTCTATGTTCGGTTGGCCGTTGGCGCGCTGCCACGTCCACGAGCGCTTTTCACGCGACTGTAATAGGAGTTAAGAATGACGAGGCGGGTGGCAGGGGAGAGGCGGGGGGAGAGGCGGGGAGATAAGGGGGGAGGATGGAGTGTAGTAAGAGGGAGAGAGAGCGAGGGAAGCGAGGGAGCGAAGCAGTGACTTGAATTTGTTGTACAATGCTATACGGGTGACCTCGAAGAAGGACGCAGTGCGGTTCGGAGACCTCTGACCGTTGGGACAGTTCTAGAGATAAGAACGGGCGATCACGAACCCGGTAGAGCGGATGAGTAAAAAGGAAAACAAGGGTTTGCCAGAGCCAAGAGCGGACTCCGATGTGTTTTGAGTCGAGCTCCGATGTGTTTAAAGTCGAGCTCAGACGGGAAGAAATCTGTGCTTGCCAGTGTGAAGGCGCGAGAAACTCGCAGAAGAAGCTCGTAAGAAGCTAGCTACCGACCTTATTCGAGCCCATCCCTTGTGTCGTCGCCTCTGCAGCAACAGAAGCCGCGACTCGCAGCCCCCGATGTCCATGGCGCCCCGGTGGAGGAGCGGTCACCGCAGCGTTAAGCGCAACGAACGCGGGGCTTTGCGACGTCCACGACAGCGCGGAAGCCTGGGGGACGCGGCGCGCATACGCGCGCGGAAGGAGGCAACGCGTTGTGACGGAGGTCGCGGATGCGACTGGAGTGAACGATAGCGCAGCCATTACCGCGAAAGGATGGTGGTGAGGATCAGACGGGGGACTAATGAGAAATAATCGCACGACAGAGCGAATCGTGGCAGAAACGAGATTCCTGAGCGGGAGTTACGCAGGAGGAAAGTGCAGGCAGTTGCCGAGAAGTGTGCGCAGGCGGATTAAAAGATTGAGAGTAGTATGCGGAAGAAATACAAGAATGGCTGGGTATAATGGAACTGATGATGGGAATCTGGGCGAAAGAGCTAGCGAGGCGAGTTGATGCGAATTCCAATTCCAACCTGTTTGCGAAATTGAGTGGCAGGAGCGAGATTGGACGAGGCGATTTTCTGTTCACGAACTCGTTGCGTCAGTAACGAAAAAATAAGATTCAACTGGAAGTTACATCGAGGTACGTTCAGATTGGTTGACGAGGCAGTCACAAGGATCTCCACGTGGACGAATGTGCCGCTGAAACGTGGTGCAGGATGCTTCTGCTGTGAAAACATTGAAATAATATACACAAGCTCCTATAGAAACAATAGGATTGTGATACACTTATTCTTGTCTTGCAATAGATTGTTAAAATTCATGAGTAATATGAGAACAACGTCAAACCGGATACATAATTTAGATACAAAATTTTCATACATGTAGCAGAGTGTGCACATGTGCCAAGTAATATTTATTTCGATCACGGGAGGAATATTTACTTTGTTGTATACACATATGCTAACAAAGTGATATTCCTGTGTTAACGCAGACCAGGGATGGAATAATAAGTTCTCACTGGATTCTGCATGTAACTGTCTGGGGTTATTCAACTCCTGATATAAGCAGTTCTATTCTGAAATAATCGAACTGTAATAGCTTAAAGTCGTAACGGAGCGTCATAGTTGAGAGCAAGCACAGAAGAAATATCTCTCCAGCCAGATATTTATGCTTCCAATGGAGTTCATTCCTGGCTATCTCTGATTGGTCTTGACTCCCTTTATGCAAGATACCGGTACCACTTCCTGGGCGGTTCTACGGAAAGGGATACCCTTTTTGTCGGAAGCAATCTAGATATCCTCTTTTTGGCTATGTGCCACGAAGGCTGACCAATTTTTGACGTGGTCGCAATGAGTGATACAGACATGTGACAGATGATGTGGCTGTTCGAAGAAACCATGCCCCCGAAGACCTTCGATTCCATAAAGATCCACAACAAGAGCTTGTGTTCGAGAGCGTCCCCCACCTGTTTTTTCTTCGAGAATTCCTTCTCTAATACACCTGGTCCGCGGTATTTTAACCGCCGGTATCCTAACCAAGTTTGTCGGCACGCTGGACGTTTCTTGTTGGGTGGCCAGAAATCGCTGTTCACACTTGACCGAACCAAGTTGCAGATTGCCAAGCCTTTTTTTGATATTTCAGCTGGCGCCTTCCACGCGGCAAGCAAATTTCCCCATCCGAATTTTCCAAAAAGAATCGTCACCGTCGATGATTTACTTTCCCGACTCTGGAACATTCCAGATGGCGAAAAGAGCCGAATTGCTCCTTTTGAGTAGTGCTGTCAAAACTTTCCATGCTGTTCAGATATTTGGTGGTGAAAATAATGACCGAAATTTTGCACCCTTATCTTCACCACGGCCAGATAATCCAAAATCCTGCTACCCATTTTCGCGCGGTTAAAATACCGCGGACCAGGTGTACCCAATTTAAAATTCGTATAAATGATGAATACTGCCATCTTGACAGCCATACAGCCATCAATGTGTTTTCTGTAAATGCTGAACTAAACCAATTTGCAAGAGTAGATGTTTCACTTCTGCCCGTTTTCCAATTTTACTGTACTTCTCATTCGTGCTGCCAGCCAAACCGTTCGATGGCGTCGATGGAGACAAAGCTGTGATTTCTGGTGCAGATATTTGTGCCTAGGACGGATTTCGCAGCATTTCAACTGAGGTGTTGGACTTCGCAATTCTGCCGCATGCAATCTGTCGACGATACCTGTGAGTACCGATTGAAAAATGTACTGTCTACCATAAATACCTGGACAACTCCATCCTACGCCAGCATGGACTCAGATATTTCCCATGTCACACGCGAATGGAATCCGGCATACTTGCCGAAAAGGAATTCACGTGATATCTTGTCGCAAGTACGTGTTTCGTCCCGTCGTGATGTCTTCAGTGACGTCAACCTTTGCGCCACCTCCGCGTCGCGGTTCTCAATATCCTCAAATTCTCACAAAATCACCTCTCTCATCCCAGCCAAGCTCCCCTCACTCTCCCCCCGATCCCCCCAAACTCCCAGTTCCCCCCTGCCCAAAGCTCCACTAGCAAGCCTGGCAGCAAGTTGCGTTGCTACCTATCACAGGCTTCCACATTTCCCTTTCCACTGCCACCGCAGCAGTCTGAGTTCCTTCCTCAAACTGCTGCCCTGTCATTCCCTTCAAACAATTTGCGAAAAATCCCCCGATGTGAATGCAATTTGCGAAAAATCCCCCAATGTGAATGCAAATGGCACGCGGCTTTTATGCATCAGCAGCAATTGGTCAGGAAGAATGCCATAGGAAAACACGGTGTGCTCTGTGGGGTCCAGTCAGTGACCAATCCAGCCATAGAGCTCAAACAGATGAAAATATCTACCAGTGACCCTCCCGTTCCTCCTGTCCCATCCCATCCCTCGAAGAATACAATACGAAACTATCTCCAAAGTTCCACACGGAGAATTGGTGAATGTTTCGGCGCGTTGAAAACCACACTTGTGAAGGAGAACATATCTGTGGCTTCATTCTCGTGCGAGTCTCTTCCTGTTCCATCCCATCTCGAACTTCATTTTGTTAGCGAGAGTTCACAAGCTGATTAGGCTGCCGACCAGCACCGGCCCTTTCGTAATACCAAGACCGTCGTAATAGTCTCAGCCAGTCTCGCGTGCCTCCCACGATTGCATCTCGAACGGCGAAGGGCACCGATTATTATCGCATCACGTCGGTCTGGTCTTCAAAGTTGATCTCCACTCCAAGTTCCTAGAAATCGTTAATCCAGCACAAGTGCTAAGGGGTCTAACTAACCCAGCCCAGCACGGAGTCACCCTCCCGCGATGTTCCGATTATCATCGCCCCCAGGCGCTAGTGCTGCTTCTGCGATGGTCAACGGCGCTTGCTGTCCAGGCCATCCGCAAACAAAGGCTCCGGGTAACACGGAGACGGGACGCGGCGCGCTGGATAGGCCGTCAGGAAAGCGGCGCCTAGGCCAGCAACTGCCGCAGCCGCAGCCGCAGCCGCAGCCGCAGCAGCCGATGCTGTGGAAAGCTCAAAGCCATGCGGCGGAAGGAGGAGCCGCTGCCGGCACGGGCGCGGGCACGTTCGCGGGCGCTGGCGCGGACGCGGACGCTCACGCGGGCGCCCGAGCGGGCGCGGATGCGGGAGCAGGCGCGGCTTTAACAGGCCCGGGCCGTTTCGTCTGGACGACCTGTTGGACCGAGGAAGCTCACAAGAACTTTCTTGACCTTATCGAAGCGGACTTCGTGCGGCGAATGTACTCCCGGCAGTACTGCCACGCCGATATTTGCGGCGTGAATGACGCCGGAACCGGCGGCGGCTGCGGCGGCGGAGAGTGTCTTGTGGCGCAGAAACCGCGCGGCGGAGGAGAAATAGGCGGCGGAAGCAGCCGCGCGGCTGTAGCTGCGCCGTTCGAAGCGCCTCAAACGTCTCAGACAAGTCAAAGCGGCAGCGGAGGCGGCGGCGCGGGATTGCCCGAGGTGGCGTGCGCCGGTGTGGGAAGCAAACGACGACGGCACGGCGAGGAGGGGTCGCACAGCTGGCGGGAGGCTACAGGCGACGCAGCCGCTACAGCCGCTACAGCCGCTACAGCTGCTACAGCTGCACGAATCGGCACCAGTTGCGCTGCTGAATCGGCGGATGTAACAATGAGTGTCGCCTGTAGCAGCAGCGCGTCTGGCACCTGTGCTACCGGCAGTAGCGAGGCCGACAATAGCGGGGATGGCATATCCGACGATGCTACTGGTGGCAGGAGCAGCGTTGACTGGGACTGTGATAGTGAGGATTTCACGGCGGTTCTTAGGGGGTATGGCGAGGAGGGAGAGGAGAATGCGAGCAGTTGTGATAGCGTGTGTGGGGGAGGGGAGGAGGTGGAGCAGCGAGTGCGTGTGTCTGGTCTTACTCCGGTGCCCGCTCCTCCTCCTGCTATGGCTGCCGCTGCCGCTGCCGCTGCTGTCGCCGCACCTGCTGCTGCTAATGCCGAGCTTGCTGCTTATGGGGATGCAGGCGAAGAATCGGAGGAGGCTATGGGTGAAGGAATGGGCGAAAGTGGCGACGAACGCGTCTGCGAATGCAGATTCGAGGGAGCTGAGGAAGCTGTTACAGCAGCAGCGGCAGCACACATGTTGAGCCGACCGAACGTGCTTCCCTTTGCTGCTGCTGCGCCCTCCGCGCCCTCTGCGCTTCTTGCGCCCCTTGCGCCCCTTGCGCCCGCCGCGCCCTCCGCGCCCTGCTGTCACTGCCTGCTGCCTGCCGCGCCTCTCACTGCCTATCATCCTGCTGCTTCTCCTTCCGCCTTGACCCCTTCCTTCGCCTCCTCCCTTCCTGCTTCCATGTCTGCATCGCCTCTGTTATCTGTTTCTGCCGTAATGGCGCCTGCTGCTGCAGCAGCTGCTGCGGCTGCTACTCCTGCTCCTTCTCCTCCTCTACTTGCGCCTCTTCCTCTCTTCCCTACCCATGCGCCTTTCCGAAGCCCTTGGATCCGTCGGTTCAATCACTACCAGCAAACGCCATCACTGTCACCAGCACCACCAGCAGCAGCAGCAGCAGCACCAGCAGCAGCGGCAGCAGCAGCAGCATCGTGCTTCTCATTCCTAGCACCGCTTGAAGCAGAGGCAGGACGTCTTGCTGCTGCTTCTGTAGCGGCAGCAGCGGCAGCAGCAGCAGCCAAGACAGCAGCAGCAGAAGCAGCAGCAGCAGCAGCAGAAGCAGCAGCAGCAGCAGCAGCAGCAGCAGCAGCACAGAAGGGTGGGGTCAGCACCACGTGCACCTTCAACACTAGTATAAGCCCTAGACCTGACACTCTCCATATAGGAACAATAACTACTATCACCGAAATTGGCCACCGCTTAGCTGGCAACTCCTTTGACAGCACCTGCTGATTCCGAGCTCACTGCTGGTTTCACAGTTTTACACGTGGTTTCACAGTTACACGATTTCAAGATTACACGGTTACACGGCTACAGTTACCATATATGGTAACACTCACACTGGTGCTGCTGCTGATCCTCCTGATCCTGATCCTGGTGTGCGTAACTAGGGTAGTGGATCACACTAATTACCTACAAGGAGGTCGGTCCTGCTTATTTTCCAGGCATAGATGGTAGTTGTTTATACAGCCAGGCGTTAGGATGGATTAGACTAGGGATTTTATAGGAGGGGTTGGGTTAGCAGAGCCAGCTGGACATTAGCATGTGTGTGTTCCCTTGTCATGTCATATCGGGTACAAAAATGCTATTTTTCTCCTCACATCAGTGTTAGTGTCTGGAGGTTACAGGTTCTACACCACTGATATCACTAGTTACCTCTTCAGTACGGTACTGTTGTGCATTTCACTCTTTCCTGTGCTCATCTTTGCTTGTGAATAAAAATTACCACCTTTGGTAACCCATAGCCATAGGCAACACGTTTCAGGGTCCAGTGAATTTCTGCTGACCGTGTCAAATCAAAACTAACATAAAACTCCTTGTCCCACCTCAGCAGTACAAAAATGATAATTTTTAAACACACGAAGTGTTTTTCAAAATTACGTATTTCGAAAGCGCAGCTGCCTGTAACGCAGATTTGGCATCGTCGAAGCGCGCTAAACGCCCTTCTCCAACTACAAAACGTGGGTTGGAGCTCATTTCCCTCCACCCACGTCTCTCATTTTCCAACGGCTCATGCAACTCTCAGTTCCTCGAGCTCATTTCTAGTTTTCCGTTCAAGCTGGCTAGAACTCGCTCTCTACCGAGAGGCGTTTCACCTTCAACTTTATTAGCTGACATTCTCAACCACAACCGCTCGACTATGGCTGCTACGCCGACACTTAACCGCGCGAACAACACCGTCGTCAACGACTCGAATATTTCCGACACCGATCGTAACGCCCGGGAAATGTCGGGCGAGCGCCGCAACAAGCGCCGGGCAGACGGCGAAACGTCCGCCCCAACAGCTGTCGACGTGCTGCTGGGCGGGCTCGAGGTCAACAAAAACGCCGAGCGGCACCAGCAGCACCCTTCGGCGCCTGTGGCGCCTGTGGCGCCTGTTGCGCCAGTGGCACCCGTGGCACCAGTGGCGAACGTGGCGCCACACGCGACTGACGCGGAGCACGCGCCTGAGGCACACGCGCCCCACAGGCAGTCGCGTCAGCGCCAGAGGCGCCGTACGGCCGCCTCGTCTGACGCGACCGTTGACCCGGACTTGACCCAGACGTTGACCCCGGACCAAGTCAAGGCGCTCCTGTCCCTGTTACAGCATCGACCCGCCAGCGCAATTGAAGCCGAAACTACACAACCGGCGGCATCAATTTCGGCTAAAAACGAAAATTCGAAAAAGGAGAAGGGAGCGAAAGGAGCATCAACACGCCGCCACAACAAGGAGGTAGCTACCAGCGTTCCCGAAGCCGCAGCCGACGACCACGACTCCGACGACTCTGACGACGACGCTGGTGAGGCTCCGATCAACGCAGCAAATGTCACATCCATGGAAAATCTCCCCCCCCTTCCTTCCACCACCCCCACCTTTTCGGCGGCAAACTTCATGAAGGCGTTCGTGCGCGCGAAGGCGGAGCCCCTGGAGGACGTGAGGGCCTACCTGAAACACGCGGAGTACAAGCTGCAGCACGACGACACGGCGGGCGGACTCGAAATGGTCATGAACGCCCTCGACTACATTTCGGAGCGTTTTGTGATGTTTCAAGTCGAGGACCACACCGACGACCGCGTGGCAAAGCGATTCAAGCTCTACCAACAGAAGAGTCTCCTGACTTCCCGCCCGTTCAAGCAGGCGGTAGCTGATGTGGCGGCTATGGATCGCGCGGAGGGCGCGTACGCTCGTTCCCACCGCGTTGGAGGGCATGGGCCGACGGCATACACCCCAAAGCGTGGACCGCCGCCCACGGGTGGCTTCCATGGCTTCCGTGGGGCGTGCTTCCGTTGTGGCCAGCCGGGTCACGTGGCAAGCGGCTGCCCGAGGAACGGGAACGGTGGCCAAGGTCCCGCACCCGTGGTGTAGGGGCGGGCCTTGAGCGGTTGCGCCTGTGCGCGTGGCACGGTGCACGTCATGTGCAAAATCCGTGGGCAACCCAAAGGGGTTAGCGATGGCGATTGGCCAGCCCTAGTGAGGGGTGATTGATAGGCTAGAGGCCTAGGATGCGGGGGAGGGAATTACAAACCTCTTGGCCCTTAGTATTAGCCCATGCGGTAGGGGCAAAGGCATGCTAGGAGCATGGCAATGTATGGCCCGTTTCATATAAGGGCGGACTTATTAAAGGAGCGATTTATGATTTTGGCTCATGATGAAAAAAAAAAAAAAAAAAAAAAGGGGAGAGAGAGTGAGAGCAAGAAGAAGATGAAGGAGAAGAAGAAGAGAGAAGGAGAGAAAGGGAGATGGAGGCAAAAAAAAAAAAAAAAAAAAAAAAAAAGGGGCGAAGATATGTACCGTACGACCCCAATCAATGGCCCTTGCACTCATCGGACGGGCAGCCATTGCCTTGGGTGAGCAAGAGTGAGAACAAAAGAGAGGGTGTGTGTGTGTATGCGAGAATGAAGAGAGGCAGAGAGAGAGAGAGAGGGAGAGAGAGAGGACACGAGAGAGTTCCTTCCCTCTCCTCCTCTTGTGGCCACGTGACCACGCGGAAAGACTCACACCCGCACCTTGGTTGGTGGATTGAAAAAAAAAAAAAAAAAAAAAAAAACCCGTACAATGCGGATGCTAGGGGTGACAAATGGTATTCGAATGGGTCAACAAGCACGCATTCATCACATGCACCGCCATTTCACGCACGAAGGCTGGAAATCATATCCATAGGAACCTCATTTCGCATTCCCGCTCCGTTGTCATTCCGCAAACATGCAGCGGCAATACGCCATGAGGTGTTCGACGACGACGATCCGTACGAATTCGCCGTCACAGACAAGACCGTCACGCAAATGCGCGGGCGGCTTCGCGCAACCCTCGCATGGTGGGGCTCGTGGTGCCCAAGTAGCCTCATCCTCTCGGTCATCGCCAACGGCTACTGGCTACCATGGAGCCACAACCCCCCACAACCGTTTCACGAGCGCAACCATCTCGGCGCGCACACACACGCGTCATTCACACGCACTGCCATTCGCGAACTGACAGATACCGGAGCGGCGGTAGCTACCCCAGCAGTGGAACTAACATGCATCAGCCCACTCAACGTGGTTGAGCAACGTGACAAATGCAGGCTTATTCTCGACCTCCGGAAAGTGAACGCGCAACTAATCATCCCCAAATTCAAATACGAAGGGCTAAGCCGCGTTGCCGACCTGGCACGCACAGGCGACTGGATGTTCTCCATCGACCTCAAATCCGGATACCATCACATCGACATACACCACTCATGCTGGACATTCCTCGGCTTCGAATTTGAGGGGAGCACGTACTCTTTCCGCTCATTGCCCTTCGGCCTCGCGACAGCACCATTTGTCTTCACACAACTCATCAAACAACTAGCCAGGCGCTGGCGCGAACAAGGCATCCGAGTTGTACCCTATGTGGACGACATCCTGTTTTTATGCAAGTCCAAGGCACATGCACAAGCAACGTGCCAGATGATAATCTCGGACCTCAAGATGGCGGGCCTGGTAATCAACGCGAAAAAGTCGCAGCTGTCACCGTCACAACACCTGCGATTCTTGGGCGTCGAGCTGGATACCAACTCCGGACAATTCTCCATTGGCACCGATCGACGAGCATCACTTCATGCACACATTCTCAATCTCCTGGGCGCAAGCAAAGCACGTCGGCAGGTCCCAGTCCGCCACCTGGCTAGAATCACTGGCACGCTCGCGTCAATGGCTGTCGCGCTAGGTGCCACGGCGCGCGCATTCAGCCACGCCATGTTACAAGCGATCAACGACGCGCCATCCTGGGGAAGCAGTGTGAGCATTTCCCCGTCTGTGGCCGAGGAGCTGCAATTCTGGCTTGAGGAGTTCGACAGACACAACGGCGCACCATTCCACGTCCGGAACAGTTACGACGCCGTAATCCACGTGGACGCCAGTTCCCACAGTTGGGGTGCCACTCTGCTCACCTTCCCTGGCGAACTCGAAGAAGCCAGTGCAGCCATGCCAGAACCATTGCACGCAACTTCCAGCACCCGACGGGAAATCGAAGGTGTCCTATGGGCCCTCCGAACGTACGCGAACAAGGTCCGACGGAAACACGTGCTCGTGAGGGTGGACAACCAAGGGGTCTTCCTCATCCTTCGCAAAGGCGGTTCCCGCACCCCCGACCTGACCAATGCTTGCAAGGACATCATTCGCACCTGCATGGAGCTCGGCACTCGACTAATTGTCGAATGGATCCCGCGCGAGCTTAACTCCCATGCCGACGAGCTGTCGAAACTGATCGACCATGACGATTACTTACTGAAGCAACCATGGTTCCGAATCCTTGATCGCCGCTGGGGACCCCACTCCATCGATCTCTTCGCGAACCATCGCAACTCGCATCTGCCACGATTCTGCTCAAAGATCCCTCACCCAGAGGCTACTGCGGTTGATGCATTCTCATGCTCATGGACAGCCGAGAATGGCTTCGCGTTCCCACCACCCCAGCTGATCCCAGCAGTCATCCACCACGCACAACGCACCCACGCATCACTCACCCTAATTGCCCCACACTGGACGGGGGCAAACTGGTGGCCACTCTTACAACCCTCCCCACCAAACTGGGCCCCGCACATCAGAGCGCACATTCCCCTGACGCACGGCAGCCAATGTTTAGCAGTAGGAACGCACCGCACTGCATTCTCAGGCACAGGACTGCCTCATAGCACGATCATTGCACTACGAGTGGTCTTCAACTAACCCGCCCATACGCCTGTGCGCAGACGTGTTGCCGAAGCTACAAGTCCAGCTTCTAAAGATGCTCTCCCAGTCTCGGGCCGATTCAACAATCCGAACATATGAGCCATACTGGGTCAAGTTTCGAGCCTTTTGTGCAAAGGTGAACCTCCCATTCCTCCCCACAGCGGACATGACCCTCGCGCTGTACCTGGTGTACGCGATCCAACACAAAGCCACCTTGTCCATGGTACAACTCACATGCTCAGCCGTGAGCTTTGCACACCGCATGACTGGGAGCATCTGCCCAACGATCGGACCATTCACCACTCAAGTACGCGATTTCGCAAAAAGGCACTGCCCTCGCCCCATGCGAGTGAAGGAGCCTGTCTCGCTGCAACAAGTCCACGACATGTCTGCCAGCTACCTGCAATCCGACAACCCAGGAGAGTTCCAAAAGGGGCTAATCCCCATCCTCATGTACACCGGATTTTTAAGATACTCGGACCTCATCGTCATCGAGTGGCAAGACATCCAGTTCGAGAACGAGGTCATGTGGATTCTAATTCCGTACTCCAAGACGGACCAAGCTGGAAGGGGCACATGGATACCCATCGCTGCAACTCATGACCCCTTTTGCCCCGTCCGCTGCACCCGACGACTCATCCAACTTGCGAGGTACAACCAGCAGTCCGCGGGGCCACTTATTCGAGTCTTTGGACGCGGTTCACCCCAAAGTGGCCAAGCAAGGCCGCCATCATACCCGACGATCCGAAACTGGTGTAAAGAAGCGTTCGGGAGAATCGGATTAGGAGAACAGCAGCTGGGCACTCACTCCTTTCGCAAAGGAGCAGCCACTGCCGCGGCAAACACCAGTGTGCCAGACAGAATCTTCAAACGACTGGGCAGATGGCGCAGCGACACAGCGAAGGAGATGTACGTCACGCCCAACGCCGAACACCTCGTCAACGCCTCCCGTCAGTTGCAAGATCTGGCATACGCCCCTTCTTCAGCGCAGCATGCCGAGGCACTCGTCCGCCATCGAAAGCCCCCGCTGCCCATGTCTCAGAGACCCCAGTTGCAATGAGAACGATGCCAAATGATCAGTATAAGAAAGCAAGCTTTCTAAATATGATAATTTTTAAACACACGAAGTGTTTTTCAAAATTACGTATTTCGAAAGCGCAGCTGCCTGTAACGCAGATTTGGCATCGTCGAAGCGCGCTAAACGCCCTTCTCCAACTACAAAACGTGGGTTGGAGCTCATTTCCCTCCACCCACGTCTCTCATTTTCCAACGGCTCATGCAACTCTCCCACCCCCCACCCCGACACCGAGGACATCTGCGACGCCGCTGGAACAGGAGGACAGACAGTTAGTCATATGATTGGTAGTACACACGCATAATGCAGGATAGCTAGTACAATGCTATGGTAGGTGGAATCAGGTCATGTACTAGCATCTATATTGTCTAGCTCGAGGTGCATGTTGTAATTTGCCAGTTGCAATGAGAACGATGCCAAATGATCAGTATAAGAAAGCAAGCTTTCTAAATCCGGTACCGTAAGAAGGACCCCTACAAAACCCCTAGGACAACTGCAAAATACACAGACATGACTGCCAGTTACCAGCACCCAGCCAGCCAACCAAGCAACCACCCATTCCAACAATGCTGCACACTGTATATGCAAGCAATGATGCATCATAGCCCCACCTCTCCCTCCACAATTGCCCAGTACTCGAGGCCTGATACACAGCAATTCACTCCAAGCCCCAGTAACATGCAGGTGGAGCAACAGCGTGAACCAGTGCAGTGCAGTGCAGTGCAGTGCAGTGCAGTGCAGTTCAGTGCAGTTCAGTGCTGTTCAGTGCAGTTCAGTTCAGTGCAGTGTAGCGCACTGATTCACAACACCAACGACTCATGATTCACAGAACCCTCCCAAAAGCCAAACCTCTCCCTTTCCCTCCTTTCCTTCTCACTCAACCATCTCCTCCACCACTGCGTCGCCGCCCCCCATCACCTGCGCCTGCATTCCATACATCCCCCCCACTCCTCCCCTCTCCCCACCCCTCACATCCCTACCTACTCCTCCTCTTCCTCCTCCTCCCCCTCCTCCCCCTCCTCCCTGGTCCCTACCCAACCTCAGAGCCGACAACATAGCCTCCCCAACAGCAGAAAACCCTCTCACCGTTCTCAAAACCTCTTCAACCGTACCAGCCTCGTCTACCCTCGCTTCGTCGCCCCACTCTGCCCCTTCCCCTGCCCAGCTCCCGTATCCTGCCGACTGCCCCAGCAGCGGCAGCACTGCCTCAAAACTTTCAACCTGCCTGGCCTTGGCATGGAGTGGGTGTGCGTCCGCAGAGGCAAAGGGGTGCCGAGGCGGGATGAATGCAGGCTGAGATGAGATGGAGAGGTTAGAAGCAGAGGCAGAGGCTGTAGTGGAGATGGGATGACCGTAGAGTAATTGCGCTGCAATGCAGAGCACAGAGCTGCGAAGAGCGGTAACAAACTGGGAGTCCGTCCATCCCTCGTCCTCGCTCCTCTGTCTCATCTCCACCCAGTCGTCCGCCTCTGCTGCTGCCAGCCATGCTCGCTTCAGCACTCGCACCGCCTCCTTCCGCTGCTCCCTCTGCCACTTCGCCGACCCGAAACTCCCACAGTCACCATCACCACCACCACCACCGCCACCGCCGCTGCCAGTACCAGCAGCAGCAGAATCCGCAGGAGCAGCATCAGAGGCAAGGCCAGTGAGAGGATCCAAAGGGGGAGGCGGGTGGAGGAAGGGCGAGGGGCCGACAAGAGCAAACACCTCAAAGGAGAGCACGAGAAGGGGGCGAGGGCCTGGGAGCAGTGCTGCTGCGAGCTCCAATGCGCCTATGGGGCCTGGGCCTGCTAGGCCCTCCGACATGGCGGCCTCCTGCAGGGCAGAGAGGGGATGCATACATGTGCATGGATGGAAGGGGACAGGGAGGCATTGTGGGGAAGGAGAGCAATGGGTACGAGGGCCTGGGAGCAGTGCTGCTGCGAGCTCCAATGCGCCTACTATGAAGCCTGGGCCTGCTATCCCCTCTGACATTGTTGATTTTGAGGCGCATAAAAAATCGCCTCAGAAAAACCTGAGGCGCCTCAAAAATCGCCTATGGGGCCTAGGCCTGCTATCCCCTCTGACATTGTTGCTTCCTGGAGGATAGAAAAGGGATGAATACATAGTGCCATGTGCCATGCGCATAGATGGAAGCGGACAGGTGTTTGTGTGAAGGGGGGAGGAAGAGTGTGAGTAAAGCTGTCCGTCCAACCAAACGCAGAGCCCTACAGGAACCTAAAGCAGCTCATGTCTGGGCATCAACCTTCCTACTCGCTCAGTATAAAAATTGCGGGTAATGAGACGACTTTTGAGGCGCCTCAAAAGTAAAGCTGTCCGTCCTACCAAACGCAGAGCCCTACAGGAAGTCAAAAGTCAACTCTCTACAGGAAAAGCAGCTCATGTCTGGGCATCAACCTTCCTACTCGCACACACTCACTCGCACACCCACCCACCTCCTCACTCTCTCACTCTCACCCTCTCACAATCTCCCTCGCTCGCTCGCTCTCTCCCTCTCTTGCTCTCTCACTCAGTAGCTCAAACCCACGCCCTCGCAACAACAGCCCGTCACCTGAATCTCCAGCAGCCGCAGTTCAAGGTCAGCAGAGAGTTTTTGAGAATTCACTCCCTGCAACTTCAAGGTCAGCAGAGAGTTTTTGAGAATTCACTCCCTGCAACTTCAAGGTCAGCAGAGAGCACAGTGGCTCGCTCGCGACGTTGACTTGCGAGACTAAAAGCCCTTATTCACTCTCAGACAGACTCTCAACAGCCTATCCTCCCCCCCCCCCCCAGTGCCCTCGCAACAACAGCCCGTTACCTGAATCTTGAGCAGCCGCAGCTCAATGTCAGCAGAGAGGACAGTGGCTCGCGACGTGAGGGACGACGGGTCTGAGGAGACAGGGAGAAAAGAATCAAGGCCAGAAGAAGGCACGGTGAAATGTCAGAATTGGTCTGGTCTGGTTTGGTCCGGTTCGGTCCGGTGGTTAGAAAAGGATGGAGAAAAAAACGAAGGGGAAGAGGAAGAGGAGACAGAACAAGGAGGGAAGCTGAGGGGAAACCAGGGCAAGGCAAATATCCAAAAAAGCAAGCATGTGCGGTGGGTGGGATACTTACCTGAAGCACCAGCCAGGAAGGAGAGTTTCGCAAGCTGCAGAAGCTTCTTCCTCCTCCTCAGCACACTCAACCCCATAGCCGCAACCTCCCCTTCCATGCCTTCCATCCCTTCCATCCCTCAGTCACATCTTTCCCATGTGCGGTGAAATTCTTACCTGAAGCACTGGCCAGGAAGGAAAGTTTCGCAAGCTGCAGCAGCTTCTTCCTCCTCCTTAGCACACTCAACCCCATAGCCGCAACCCCCCCTTCCATGCCTTCCATTCCCTCGTCCCCTCCCTGCTCCTTTCTCCGATTCTTCCCGGCTTTCCCGTGCTTGGCCTGCCGCTGAGCTTCTTGCTCCATCATGGATTGCGCGGCTGGGAAGGAGGAGGCGAGCGCGTGCAGGGTAGAAGCGGCCTTGGGGAAGTTACCCAAAAGAAGGTCGTGCAGCCACTGCAGGTGCTTGTGGTCCTGTGAGGGGAAGAAGAGGGGAGAGGAGGGAGGAGGGAGAGGGGAGGGCTGGGATGATTTTTGAGTCGACTCAAAAGCCACTGCAGGTGCTTGTGGTCCTGTGAGGGGAAGAAGAGGGGAGAGGAGGGAGGAGGGAGGAGGGAGAGGGGAGGGCTGGGATGATTTTTGAGTCGACTCAAAAGCCACTGCAGGTGCTTGTGGTCCTGTGAGGGGAGGGGGAAGAGTGGGAGGGGGAGGGGGGAAGAGGGGGAGCGGAGAGGGAAGAGAGGGGTAGAGAGGTGGGGAGGGGAGAGGTAGAAGGGAGGGACGAGCAGGCGGGGCTAAAGGACAAAGGGGCTAAAGGACAAAGGCGCTAAAGGACAAAGGCGCTAAAGGACCCGCAACTTAAAAGCAAGTCAGAAAGCAAGCCAGCAGGGCAAAACAGCGCAAAGCAAAGCAGAGCACACGGCAGAACACATTTCACCTACTCACCTCGAGGAAGACTTTTGAGTCCACTCAAAAGGTGACTTTTGACTTTTGAGTCGACTCGAAAGGTGACTTTTGACTTTTGAGTCGACTCAAAAGGTGACTTTTGACTTTTGAGTCAAAGGTGACTTTTGACTTTTGAGTCGACTCAAAAGGTGACTTTTGACTTTTGAGTCGACTCAAAAGGTGACTTTTGACTTTTGAGTCGACTCAAAAGGTGACTTTTGACTTTTGAGTCGACTCAAAAATCAGAGCACACGGCAGAACACATTTCACCTACTCACCTCGAGGAAGGACTCGAGCTCGGTGGGGAAGGGGCAGGGCCAAAGCGCATCATGCCGGTCAATCTCTCGCCCGCACAACCCAACAAGCAAACGAGCCGGCAAGCAAGCAGCGTGCACAGCAAAGCAAAGCAGAAGTCAAAGCATCTTCCCACACCCCTCACCTTGAGGAAGGACTCGAGCTCGGAGGGGAAGGCGGGGCCAAAGCGCATCATGCCGGTCGCTCGCCCGCGCAACCCAACAGGCAAACCAGCCGGCAACCCAACCCAGCAGGGCAAAGCAAAGCAAAGCAGAATGCAAAACATCTTCTATTCTGCCCGCCCGCTCACCTCGAGGAAGGACTCGAGCTCGGAGGGGAAGGCCGGGCCAAAGCGCATCATGCCGGCAGCGTCCCCCGCTGCTGTGAACTGTGAGAAGACAAAGAAGGTGAAGCGTCCCTCGGGACCCGATGGGATGTCCCTCTGGTGGTGGGGGAGGGTGGGGAGGGACGGGAGGGTGGGGGGAAGAGGGAAGGCAGAAGGGGTAGTGAATTTATGAGGTGTGTCAAGAGCAGGAATCGTAACAGCAGCAGCGTCCCCCGCTGCTGTGAACTGCGAGAAGACAAAGAAGGTGAAGCGTCCCTCGGGACCCGATGGGATGTCCCTCTGGTGGTGGGGGAGGGTGGGGAGGGACGGGAGGGTGGGGGGAAGAGGGAAGGCAGAAGGGGTAGTGAATTTATGAGGTGTGTCAAGAGCAGGAATCGTAACAGCAGCAGCGTCCCCCGCTGCTGTGAACTGCGAGAAGACAAAGAAGGTGAAGCGCCCCTCAGGCCCCGATGGGATGTCCCTCCGGTGGTGGGGGAGGGAAGAGAGAAAGAGGAAGCGGGACGAAGTGTAGATTGATCCAACTAAGCAACTCGTTCAATCACTGAAACATCCCCAACACCCCCCAGCACTCCCCAGCACCCCCAAGTACCCCCACGCACCCAGAGCAGCCCAGCCCACCATGAGTGCTTCGAGCAGCGACACGTCCTGCAGGTAGCGGCAGACGTGGAAGAGCGTGGCGTAGCTGCAGTGCAGTGCTGCAACACCCCCACACGCACGCACCCCCATGCACCCTTCCCTGGGCATCCCAGAAACCCCCAAGCACTCTTGGGCAACGTACCATGAGGGCTTCCAGCAGCGACACGTCCTGCAGGTAGCGGCAGACATGGAAGAGCGTGGCATAGCTGCAGTGCTGCCGAGCCAGGGCAAATGGAGCTGCTAGGGCGGCTCGCAGCGAGGCCGCGGGGTCCTGCGGTGGGGTGGGGTGGGGTGTGGTGGGGTGGGCGGGTGGGGTTGTTGGCAGGTGGGGAATGGGAAATGGGGGATGAAGCGAGGGCGAGGGAGAAGGATGAATGACGATTGGGGGAGTGGCGAGTGAGGCCAAGGGGGTTTGGCAGTGGGGCTAGGGAGAAGAGAAGCATGTGAGGAATGCAGTACGTAAAACGATTTCTGAGGCGCCTCAAAAATCGATTTTTGAGGCGCCTCAAGAAGGATGAATGGCAATTGGGGGAGTGGCGAGGCGAGTGAGGCCAAGGGGGTTTGGCAGTGGGGCTAGGGAGAAGAGAAGCATGTGAGGAATGCAGCACGTAAAACCAGAACCGGATCACGAGAGACCGTGCAACCAGAGCATAGGTAACCAGACCCCACCCAACAAGACCCCACCCAACAAGACCCCACCCAACAAGACCCCACCCAACAAGACCCCACCCAACAAGACCCCACCCAACAAGACCCCACCCAACAAGACCCCACCCAACCACACCCCACACAACCAGACCCGACAAATCCAGACCCCACACAACCGTCCGGCACATACATCTGATGCCTCTGCTGCTGCAATCGCCCGCTGAACAAGCACAGAGAGCAAAAAGTCCCGCTTCCAGAAGAATTCCCTCTCTAGCGCCTGCCGCTCCTCCTGCTCCTGCTCGCCCTCCTGCTCGCCACAACCCTCGCCTCCAACATATGAACGCTCCCAGGAAAAAGGATGCAGCACGAGATCTCCCACAACCACCAGACCCCACACAGCCAGACCCCCAACAGACAGACCCCACACTTACATCCGACGCCTCTGCTGCTGCAATCGCCCGCTGCACAAGCACACTGACTTGAGGCGACTCAAAAATCACTCAGCAAAACCCACAAAACCACACCACACATACATCTGACACCTCTGCTGCTGCAATCGCCCGCTGAACAAGCACAGAGAGCAGAAAGTCCCGCTTCCAGAAGAATTCTCTCTCTAGCGCCTGCCGCTCCTGCTGCTCCTGCTCGCCCTCCTGCTCGCCCCTGCCCGCCACGTCCCTGGCTTCCAATGCAGTGGCGAAGGCTGAGAGGAGCAGCGAGGAGAGGGAGAGGGAGAGGCGGTGCAGGAGAGAGGCCTGCTCCTCGTCCCATGCTGCTGTGGCCCTGGTGTCGGGTTGGGAAGGAAGGTGGGGAGGGGGAAGGGGGAGGGGGAGGAGGAGGAGAGGGAGGGGAAGGTGGAAGGGAGGTAAAGGGGAAAGGTAGGGGGGGACAGAGGTTGGCATTAGTCCCGCTTCCAGAAGAATTCTCTCTCTAGCGCCTGTCGCTCCTGCTGCTCCTGCTCGCCCTCCTGCTCACCCTCCTGCTCGCCCTCCTGCTCGCCCTCCTGCTCGCCCTCCTGCTCGCCCCTGCCCGCCACGTCCCTGGCTTCCAATGCAGTGGCGAAGGCTGAGAGCAGCAGCGAGGAGAGGGCGAGCGAGAGGCGGTGCAGGAGAGAGGCCTGCTCCTTGTCCCATGCTGCTGTGGCCCTGGTGGGTTGGGATGGGGGAGGGATGGGGGAGGATGGGGAGGATGGGGAGGATGGGGAGGATGGGGATAGGGAGGGTGAGGCGGATGGGGAAGGGGACGAGGACGGGGACGGGAAGTGGGAGGGAACAAGGGAGGGGACGGAGAGAAACGGGATTTTTTAATCGGCTTGTAAAAGACTAAAAGGCCATTCTGACGTCTTTATGTGGAGCGGAATGATTTCGACTATGGGAGAAGCACATAACAGGAGTGAATGGTTGGTGACTGGTGGAGGCTAGAGGGAGTTAGAGGAGGAACACAGGAGCTAGAGAAACGGGGAATGGATGAGAAGGACTGCATCCGGCGGGGTGTAAATAAGAAACTTCATTCAGGTGAGGTGCGGTCAGGTGAGGTGAGGTGAGGTGAGGTGAGGTGAGGTGAGGTGAGGTGAGGTGACGTGAGGTGAGGTGAGGTGAGGTGAGGTAAGTAACTCACTCGAGCTGAATAAGCGTAGCCAGCAGAGACCACAGCGCAGCCCTAACAGCAGCACTGCATGCCCACGGCTCCCACCGCTCCACCCACTGCCACACATCCCCCGTTCCTCCCCCTGCTCTCCGTTTTCTCCCTCGCCCCTTCCCCCTGCGCACCCCCCCTAGGTCCGACCCAGCCAGCCGCCCCACGTCCGGGTACCACCGAGCCTTGTCGGTTCGGTAGCGATCCGCCGCGCCGAGGCTGCCCACTGCTGCTTCGACAAGGGTGGCTGCCCGAGCTAGGTGCCTACGGGCTGCTGCTGCTGCTGTAGCAGATGCAGATGCAGATGCGCCTAAGCCTGTAGCAGCAGGAGCTGTGCCAGCTGTAGCAGCTGTAGCAGCTGTAGTGACTATCGCGGCCGTAACGGCTGTAGCAGCAGGAGTAGAGAAGTGCGAGGGAGTGGAGAATTGAGAGGCAGAAGGGAAGATAGGTGTTCCAGGGGCAGGGGTAGTGAGGTAAGCAGGCACAAAAGGAGAAGCTGCTGCTGCTGCTGCTGCTCCTGCTCCTGCTCCTGCTCCTCCTGCTTCATCAGCACCGGTTCTAACGCCCTCCTGACCGTCTTGAAGCTTTCCTGGTGTGAACAGAGAAGCTTTCTTCCCCGACCATGTCACACCATCAAAACCGGGAGTGGCGGCGGTGGCCGCAGAGGCAGCAGCAGCACGAGTACCCGCAACCCACGCCTCCTCCTTCCTCACTCTCTCCACCGCACCAGCCGCATCAGAAAACGCAGCAGCAAGCGCCGAGAAAAACTCCGGTCCAGCTTCCGAAACACGGGCGAAAAACACCTGGCTCCGGTCCCTCTCCAACAGAAACACACTCCCTCTCCTGATCCTATCCCCTGCGTCCTGCACTGCTCGCCACAGCGACGTTGAAGCCACCTCTGCTGCCTCCCTCTCTCTCTCCATCCGTGCATCTTCCTCCTCTGATTCTTCGTACCTTTCTGCTGCTCGTGCAGTGGCAGCAGCTGCCGCAGATGCTGACATAGGAGTGTGGTGGTGGTGCAAGGGTGAGGCGGCAGCTCTGGGTGCTGGGGACCGCAGGTACGGGGAGGCGAAGGGGGACGGGGAACCCTGCTTCTGCCTCTGCTGTTGCTGCTGCTGCGGCTGGTTCTGCTGTGACTGCTGCTGCTGCTGCTGCTGCTGCAGCTGCTGTTGCAGGTTAGAGGCGGTGGCGGCAAGAGAAGAGTGCAGGGTCCTGAGATGGGCCACAGACGCCAGCCGCTCTCCATGCTCCAGAATCAGTTGCAGGGCCAGGGCTGAGAGGGGGCGGGAAGAAGGGGAGGATACGGGAAGGGTGGGGCTGGGGAATGAGCGAGGAGTACAGGGTTTCGAGATGAGCCACAGACGCCAGCCGCTCTCCATGCTCCAGAATCAGTTGCAGGGCCAGGACTGAGAGTGGGTGGGCAGAACGGGACGGGAATGGACGGGTTGGGAAAAGGCTGTGAGTGGGGGGAAGAAGGGGATACGGAAAGTGGGGAAAGAGCGAGGAGTGCAGGGTCCTGAGATGAGCCACATTCGCCAGCCGCTCTCCATGCTCCAGAATTACTTGCAGAGCCAGGGCTGAGAGTAAGAAGGAGAGGCGGGAAGGGGCGGGTTGGGAAGAAAGAGGAGGAAAAAAGAGGAAGGGGCATCCAAGGGGAGGCACGCAGAACTTGTGAAGCAGTAACAAACAAACTCAAAAGTCACAGAACTTACGCTGCCTGACTGCGAGCTCCTGCTGTGCGCCCGACACCTGCAGGAACTCCAGAAACCGATCGTGCTGCCACTGCTTCACCCCCAGCTTCCCAGACAACGAAAACCCTCTCCCTGCCGCCCCCCCGTCACGTGCTACTCCTGCCACTCCTCTGTCTACTCCTCGCCCCGTACCCCCGCCACCGCCAGGGGTAGAACTAGTGGTGGTGGTGGTGGTGGTGGTGGTGGTGGTGGGAGGATCGTCCGCTCCCCAGTGCTTTGTGAGAGCGTCGATGATAGAGAGGCTGCAGCGCACAAATGGACTGGCCTCGCCCTCTGCCTCGAACGCGCCTGCTTGCAGCAAACGCTGGAGAATCAACGATCCGGATTCGCCTCCTGTCACTCCTCCTCTCCCACTTCCTCCTCCTCCGCCTCCTGGTCCTGTGATTCCCGTTGCTCCAGCATCCGCTGCAGCAGCAATGCTGGCCTCTATCCCGCCTGATCCCGCAGCAGCAGCAGACAGGAATTCGTCAAAGAGACTACTCACAAGCACTGCCGGCCCGCCCTCCTCCCACGCCTCCTCCTCCTCTCCCTCCTCCTCCTCGTCCTGCTCTTCCTCCCTCTCCTCCCTCTCCTTCCTCTCCCCCGCCCCTCCCTCCTGCCCGTCCATACCTCTCCTCCCCTCCATTCCTACTTCGTCCATGCCTTGGTCTCCCCCCTCCGCACCACCAGCGCCACGCACCCGCCCATCTTCTTCCAAACGACCCAACTCCCCGCTGCTCCCCCTCCCGCCTTCGTACAATCCCCCCCCAGCACTCCCCCCTCCGCCTCCGCCCTCACGTAACTCCCCTGGTCGAAGCCCCAACTCCCCCTTACCTTCCGCCACAGCCACTGGTAACGCGCACACCCCTCCTCTCTCCATCAGCAGAATCCAATCTCCCACCGGCTGCTGCTGCTTCTGCTGCTTCCCCTCTCCCTCTTCCTCATCCTCCTTCTCCTCCCCTTCCTCCTCCCAGTCTCCTCTACCCTTCCTGAACACCCCAGCAGCCAAAACCCGCCCCATAGACCCCATCGGATCAACCTGATACAGCTGCCTTTGCACCACCCCCACGCCATTCCCCTGCCCATTCCCCTGCCCGCGCCCATCCCCATACCCCGCCCCACGCGCTTCCTGCCTCCCCCTCGCGCCCTCCTGCAGATGCACCAGCGTGGCTGCCCCATCCCCAGAGAGAATCAGCACAGAGCCTTTCGGCCGGCCTCCTAGACGCAGGGAGAGTGCGCACATAGCCTCCTCCTCCTCCACCTTCGCTCGAGGCACCACCAGCAGAGGCAGCTGCTTCAACCTTAGCCGAAACTCTGCTTGCGACCCTGCTCCTCCTTCTCCCCCTCCTCCTCCTCCTGCCGCTGCTCCTGCCTCTGCTGGTGCTCCGGTCTGTGCGCCTGGCGACCAGGGCAGTTGAGGAGCGGAGATACTGGAGGGGGTGTTTCCAGGGGCAGCAAAAGCAGTGGACGGCGGGGGCTCGCAGAGGGGGCGAGGGTTGCACGGCAGGCAGTGGGCAGGGGCGGATGAAGGCACGATGCCAAATCGTAGCAGCCAGTACTGCATGAAGCAGCTGCCGAACCCCACGCTCCTGTCTTTCACGAGAACAGCTGCTAGCACCACCACGTCTACTCCACTCTCTCCTCCTCCCCTCCCTCCCTTCTCCTCCTCCCCTTTCTCCTCATCCTCCGCCGCTTCCCCCTTCCCGTCCCCTATGCCATCCTGCTGCTGCTGCTGCTGCTGCTGCTGCTGCTGCTGCTGCTGCTGCTGCTGCTGCTGCTGCTGCTGCTGCTGCTGCTGCTGCTGCTGCTTCTCCTCCTTCCCCGCTCCAGCCCCCTCTCCCCCCAATCTCTCCGCCCGTGCTTTAGCAGCCATTCTACGGGTCATTACCCCCCCAGGAGTCTCCGCCCCTCTACCCTCCCCTGCTCCTCTCTGCCGCCCACCCTTCCCCTGCGCCGAAAACGGGGTAGGGGGTTGACTGGGGGAAGGGGACGGAGGAGGCAGGGGAGCGGGGGCGAGAGAGGGATGCTGCTGCGGAAGAGAGAACGATACTGTCGGCTCTGATGCCACCTGGACGTCCAGAAGCCACGTGCGTTTCTGGCCAATCAGAGCCCTCTGCACGTCGGGATCCGAGAGCAGATCAACGGCCCAGATCAGCCGGCCCTTCCCTCCTAGCTCCTGGGAGATCTGCCAGAGCTCTAACCCTATAGCGGTTAGCAGCAGCACGTCAAAACTCTTAGCCGTTTCACTGCCCCCACCCATGCCTTCTCCTCCTGCACCTGTATCTGTATCCATTCTCTCTCCTTCCTCCTCATGCTGCTGCGCCTGCGCCTTCCCCACCACCTTAGACAGCCGTTTCGACCTCCTAACACCACCACCCACATCACTCCCACCATCTTTACCCTCATCATCACCAGTCGCACCACCACCACCACCACCACCACCACCACCACCAGCACCAGCATCACTACCCGTCCCGGATTGCCCTTTCGTCCATCCGCTATTTCCTCCCCCAGAACCCCTTCCGTCTCTCCCTCTGCCCCTCACTGCTGGCACCACCGTCAGCGACTGTACTGCTGCCACGCTGGCGCCACCTGGTTGCGCGCCTCTGTCCAAGCGAGAGAAAGCTACGTGAGGGCGGTCAGCGGCCGCAGAGGAGGAAGTGGAAGCAGTAGGGACAGCGGGAGCGGAGGGGGCGGTGGGAGAAGAAGACGAGGTGCATTCCACACGCCAAAGATCGCCGTTGCTGCACCCCAGAACGGCAACACACTCAACAACTGCATGTCCCTGCTGCTGTACCTGCTGCTGCTGCTGCTGCTGCCCTTGCCCTCGCAATTCACCTTCTCCCTCTCTCCCTGCCGCAAGTCTCCCACTGCCCTTCCCCCCCGCCCCTCCCACCACGGCCAAGCTCGTAACCACGTCCTTACCTCTCGCGGACGACCCAAAGCCCCCAGCCTTTCTCCCCACGTGCCCCATCCCCCACCCTTCCGGCGCCTTCCCTATAATCGGCTCAAGAGGAGCCGCCGCACTACCACTGCCAATAACTTTGCCACCAGCAGCAGCGGCAGCAGTGGCAGTAGCGGCAGGAGAAAGGACGTTAGGCCAGTACACGACGTACATGACGCGGCGGCAACAAGCAACCACACGCAACGCAACCAGCTTAGGAAAGGAATGAGAATCAGACGAGCCCTCACTCCTGCTGCTGCTTTGCCTATCACCCGCACCAGCATCAACAGTCATACCCATTGCTACATCCGTGCTCTTTCCTCCAGTCATCTCAGCATCCTCCTCCTGCTGCTCCTCCTCCTCCTCCCCCTCCCCCTTCCCCTCCGCCTTCGCCTCTCCTCTCCCCGCAAACACAGGCACAAGACCGACCAGCCACGTATGCCCATCAGTACCCCTCACCCTCCCTCCTCCACCGCTCCCCACCCCGCCACCAGCAGCGGCGAAATCAGCGCCGCCGGGAAGGGCGGAGCGGGGGAGGTTGAGAACGAGGCAGCGAGAGGGGATCCGGGCAGATACGTAGCTCCAGAGAAAGAGGCGGTGAGAAATCTGCACCCATGCGTAACCGGACGCTGGATCCAGACTGGCACGAGGGGCGGAGAAGGACGCTGGACGGGCGGAGAGGGGTGGAGTGCGGTGCGGTGTGATTTGGAGTGTGGGCAACGGGGGAGAAGGGGAACGGAGAAGGTTGGGCTGTGTGCGAGCGAATGGGCGAGAGAAAGGAAGCGACTGAGAGCAACGGGAGCGATGGGTATGGGGATAAACCCTAGAAGCATACAGCCACTGGTGGCAGAGCAAATACAGCAGATGCAAGAGAAACAGCGCAACTGCTCACTTGAATCGTGTGAGCGCACGGCCTCCTCGTGTGCGGCCGCTAACTCTCAGGCGCCTTCAAAGGTCACTGCTGAAATAACACGGCTCACCTGCATCGTGCGAGCGCACGGCCTCCTCGTGTGCCGCCACTACTTCCGCCGGCAAATCGCAAACCACCACAGGTTCTCCGCCCCCGCCTCCCCCCCCGATCCCATGAAACGCGGCCGCTTGTGACGGGGATGGGGCTTGAGGGTTTCGCTGTGAAGGAGAGATTCCCGCGGGCGACCTGGGAGGAGCGGGAGATGGATCAAATCGGATTAGGGTTTGACATCTGCCGTGCGTGCGTAATGCTGCAATATTACTTCAGACGAAAGAGGTACATAAAAACAATGTAAAGAAGCTCGGACGAAAATTCGACATTCTGGCTCACACCGGGTTGAAATGGAACGGATCGGGATTGGGTGAACAGAGATCGAAATTGCGGAAAAAAAAAACGATCCTCTGCTGTTTTTATTTTATATTTTGTTGTTATTTCTGTTTTTAGTCTCGAAGATCGCTCACCCAAAACGACCGGGGGCGGGAAATTGCTGCTGGTACGACGGGTTCCATGGGAACGGTTGCGGAGAAGCAGGAGAGGAAGAGACGAATCCCCCACCGAGGCCTGGCGATGCCGGCGAGCCGGGGATCGCGGAGAGTGCTGCCGTGACGTGCGCCGCGATCGGCGACGCGGCAGAACCTGCCGGCGACGGCGACGGCGAGTCGCGCGCAGTCGCCGGGCTGGCACGCCTCCCTGGCGTGCCGTACTTCTTGCTCCCAGAAAACATCGGCCCTAGCTGAGGGAAACCCTAGGTGAAAATTCAAGGAAAACCCCAAGACGGAGGGACTCTGAGAGATGCGTCGGTCGGCAGAATCACGCGGTGAAAACAGCGGGAGTGAAAGAGCGAGCGGCAATCGCGGCCTGGCTGACACGCAGAAGAAGAAGGGTTACTAAGAAACGGATTTGGACCAGAGCCCGCTAGATCGGGGAAAATAAGCGGCACAAGCGGCGTAGAGAGGAACCTTTTAAGAGAGGTGTCTACCAGGTCCCGAGTTCCGAGTCCCGACCGACACCAACATCACCAGATGCACTGGTGATGACGAAAAGCCATGACTTGAGTTGGGACTGATCAAGCCGCTGCGATCTGTGTGGAAAACCAGAACTGGGATTTGCGGCAGTGACTTGTTCTGGTAAGGAGTCAGGTCGAAGGTGACTGAATTGATTTGGTCCAAATCGGTTCTAATTTTATCTGGTGTGGTTTGGTCTGGTTTCATCTGAACTTTGTGGTTACGGTTCTGGGACGATCATCGAGGCGGCGGCTGGGGAGAGGGGGAGTGGGAGGGGAAGCTCGGGGGAATACTTTTGTAAATTGTGAAAGACGCGCGCGGGAATTGGTGGATGTCGGAAAATCTCGAGGTTGTTCAGAAACGAGCAAATCTCGAGGTTGTGAGGGATGCGAAGGATTTTGTAACGATGCGGGAGTGGGTTACTAAATGGTTGCCAAAAAAAAATGTTGGATCGCCTTCATGATCCAAAAATTTCCTGCTTCATGGGGCAAACTGTTGCAGTGTTGGGCTGTCCGGCCAATCTGCTTTCCCAGCCCGCTAGGACACTTTCCACACCATGTTCCTGCCGCGCGCGGTAGCGCGTCCGTCGGGTTCGTCCGCCAAATCCCGCGCGACGCTCCCACAGCGGCACTCGCGCACTCCGCCTTCAGATGCTCCCGCCATCAGCGGAGAGGTTGTGCGCAGAAGCGGAGATTTCGTGTGTGCCATAGCTGCAGCGGTTGGCGGAAAAGAGGGGGGCAGTGAGAGAGGGGGAGATGGAAGTAGCGTTGGCGGTCATGCAGGAGCGAAAGAGGAAGGGAAAGAGAGCGGGATACGAGAGGAAAAGAGAGTTAGAGGGTCGAGAGAGGAACCTCGGAGAGAGGAAGACGAGAAATTGAGAGGCGAGAAAGGGGTAGAGGCGGAAACGAAAACGGGTATGGAAGGGGAGAAGGAAGAGACGGGGAAGGCGGAGAAGGCGGAGAAGGACGAGCGGGGAGCGGAGGCGGAGAAGGAAACGGTTGTCACGGAAGGGACGGACGAAAAAGAGGAAGAGAAAGTGGAAAAAGAGGGGGAAGAAGAGAGCGAGGAGGAGGAGGAAGAGGAGGTGAAGGAGAGGAGCGTGCAGCAGAGAGCAGCGGAGCCGGGGGAGCCTGTGTGCGCGGTGTGCGGGAGATACGGGGAGTACGTGTGCGATGCAACGGACCTGGACGTGTGCAGCCGCGAGTGCAAGGCCGCGTGTGTTGCGGGGGATGTGCCACGTGTCAGAGGGAGTGAGGCGCCGGGTGGAGGACAGGGGAGGGTGGGCGGAGGAGGAGAGCGGTGTGGAAAGGCAGGAGGGGAAGCTGAGGGGCAGGGAGTGAGAGAGAAGGAGCTTGGAAAGGGGAGCGAGGGAGGAACTAAAGAGGAGGAAGAAGAGGAGGAAGAGGAAGAGGAGGAGGAAGAGGAAGTGGAAGAGGAAGAATGGGAAGAGGAAGAAGAGGAGGAGGGCGAGGAGTATTCAACCTTAGACACGAGCAACAGCATTGGGATGTCTCTTGATGTGATACAAAGCGGTGTGTCAGCAGCAATAGCAGCAGAAATCCGAGTACGGGAGGGCATATCCCTGCACGGAGAACTCCCAATTTCTCCACCTATCCTTGACTTCGCCGCACTGGCACAGCTCGGAATCAGTGCAGTCAACGCTGTCAACGCAGTCAACCCAGTCAACGCAGTCAACACAGTCAACCCAGCCATCACAGTCAATGCAGTCAACGCAGTCAACGCAGCCATGGAAATGATCCTGCTCAACCTGCAGCAGCGCATGGGAGTGCACACGCCCATCCAGATGCAAGGCATCCCAGCCATCCTCGCCCGCAGAGACGCCCTCCTCTCCTCCCCCACCGGCTCTGGCAAGTCCCTCGCCTTCCTCCTGCCTCTGCTCGCCCTCGCCCTCCTCCCCCTCCCATGCATAACCGGTCCCCGTGTCACGCCCACACCCATCCCCTCGCCTGCCCCGCACCTTATGGTCCCCACAAAGCTTAGTCATCCCGACTTCTCACCCGCATCGCAGCCGCTGCATCGCGTGAAGAGGAGGCGGGGACGTGAAAGGAGGATGGGAGGGGTGGTGGCAGTGGTGCTGGTTCCGTCAAGAGAGCTGGCAGTGCAGCACCATGAGAGCATCAAGCACCTGCTGAAGGCCGGCGCAGCGGAGACTTTGGGGGAAGCTGCTCGAACGGCAGTACAGCACCACGAGAGCATTAAGAAGCTGCTGAGGAGTGATAAAGCAGAGACTGATAGCGAGTTGAGAGGGCGGGATGGCCGCACATTTGGGGGAAATGCAGCAGGCATCATGCAGGTCCGGCCTGATGCGGTTCGAAGAGGTGCGGTGCGGTCAGTGCTGCTGGTGGGGGGGCGAGTCGACAGAGGTGCAGATGGGGCGGCTGTGGCGGGGAGTGGCAGGCGAGTGGAGTGTGGGAACAAGGGAGGGGGGTGAGGGAGCGGGGTTGCTGGGCGCTGGGGGGAGGAAGAGGAGGAGAGCGGAAGTATGGGATGGAGGGAGTGAAGCATTGGGAGAGGGCATGAATGCGGACAGGACAGATGGCAGAGGGAGAGAAGAGGGGAAGGGAGCGGTTGGAGTGGGAGGTGGTAGTGGGCGTGGAGGAGGGGAGCGGGGTTGTGCGGTGGTGGTGGTGGCAACGCCAGGCAGGCTGATAGAGCTGTTTAAACACATGAAGAAGGGGCTTCGAGAAGGAGTCGCTGCTGCTGCTGCTGCTGCTGCTGCTGCTACTGGTGGTGCCGTTGGTGCTGCTTCTGGTGATGGTGGCTCCGCTACTGCTGCTGCTGCTGCTGCTGCTGCTGCTGGTGTGGGTGCTGGTGCCAGTGCTGGTGGTGCTGCTGGTGGCATCAAGGAGGGAGTGGAGAGCAGCAGACGGGGCGAGCCTCCGGCAGCAGGGAGAGGCAGGGTGGTGGTTGGCTGGCGGGCGTTGTGGCGTGCGCTGAGACTCGTGGTGGTGGATGAAGTGGATGCCATGGTGCAGGTGGGTAGGGTGGGGTGGAGTGGGGTGGGGTGGGGTGGGGTGGGGTGGGGTGGGGTGGGATGGAGGGTGGAGTGGGGTGGAATGGGGTGGAATGGGATGACATTGGATGGGATGGTGCATCCCCTAACTACAGCTTTTTCCCCCTTAACCAGCCCTCCCTCTTCCCCGTTCCTCCCTCTTCCCCGTTCCTCCCTCTTCCCCGTTCCTCCCTCTTCCCCGTTCCTCCCTCTTCCCCGTTCCTCACTCTACCTGGTTTCCCCCTCTTCCCTGCTCGTCCCTCTTTCCCCCTCCCCCTCCCCACCCACCCTCACTCAACACCACAGCGTGGGTTCGCCCAGCAGTTGCAGCATATTCTCTCACAGCTAGCTTCTGCCACACACCCGGACGAGTCACACAAGGCAAATCCGCATCAGCATCACCATGCCACCACCACCACCAGCATTGTCACCGCAGCAGCAGCAGCACCAGCACTTCCAACATCATCAGCAGCAGCTGTGGTAGCAGCAGCAGCCGTCGTTCCTGGCAGCTGGTGCTGGCATCGGCTTCTGTGTCCCCGGCAGTGCAGGACATGACTTCATCGCTCATGCTCTCCCCCATCACCATCTCATGCGCACACACGCCCATGGACACCAATGGGCTCGCACTCACCTCCACCCATGTCAAGCAGGTAGACCAGCCCACCCGTCTCCTGAACTCCCGCTTCCCCTCTTTCCCCCCTTTCGGCTTCCCCCGCCCCCCCTTCCCCTTCCCCCCAATACCACGCCACAGTTCCCTTCCTCCGTCTTTTACCTCTCAAGCACCAATCCATGCGGAATGCCAGCCCTGAACGAATGCTTCCCCCTTCCTACATACTTGTCACGTCGCCACTTGTACGTGCAGGTTGTTATCTGGGTGGAGGAGAAGCACAAGAAGACAAAGCTCTGCGACATACTCTGCCACCCGCGGCACTTCCACCCGCCCGTCCTTGTTTTTGTCTCTTCCCGAGACGGCGCAGACCTCCTCTCCTCCACCATCCACAAACTCACCGGCCTCGAAGCAGCTTCCGTACACAGCGGCAAGCTCGCCCCGGATCGTCGTAACACCATCGCACGACTAATAACGGGGGAGATTCCTGTTGTGGTGTCTACGGCTGGAGTGCTTGGGCATGGGATACACATTCCCAAGGTGTCGCAGGTTGTGGTGTTTGATATGCCGGTGAATATGGAGGATTATGTTCATTTGATTGGTCGAGCAGGGCATGTGGGAGCACCGGGAATAGCCATGGCCTTTGTTAATAAGTCTTCACGGCCGTTGCTGCCTGATCTTGTAGGCTTTCTTAAGTCCACGGCGAATCCAATTCCGCGTGAGCTTGCAGTGTTAGCCCCAAGGTGATCTTTGTATATATTATAAGGTGTATTTAATTTTTATACTAGTACCAGATGCGAAGTACGGGTGCAACGAGTGTCCCTTTGAAGAAACACGGGTTCCCACTTCAAGATTTTGAATTTCAGATGTGGAACCTGGTTGACGGATTTCGTTTTATCCTTGCATCAACAAACGTGCACATACACGCAAACCTCACCAGACAAGGAGCACGGGAAAGAAACCACCATATGACTGAATTCGTGCCAGCCGTTGCTTTGTCATTTCGTCCTCGCGCGTCCCCCGTTCTCGCTCTCGCTAACGCTCTTGCTCTGTTTCCCTCGTTGCCATTACTACCCTTACTACCCTCTCCGCGGCTCAATTCTCGAGTCTTCTTTGCTCGATACCCATCTAGCACCAGCGTCGTCGGCGTCTCGAAATTCGCGAAGTTTGCGAACCCCGCGAAATCCGCGAAGTCCACCGCGGAGTCCGTTGGCAAGAAGAGTAACTACCTCATTATGGCAGTCACCGCCGCTTCCGACCCTGGCGCCAGCTTGTCAGAAGCGGAAACGAAATCGAATATAGACTCCACCACCTTCTCCTCCTCCTCCTCCCCCTCATCGTCGTCGTCGTCCTTCTGGAGCATCGACAAGCGCGCCAAGCAGTTCACCCTAGCCGTGGTGTGTCATGAGGGGAAGGTCCTTCTCGGTCGCAAGCAGAGAGGGTGAGCCCAGCCCAGCCCAGGCCAGGCATCACTGGAGGCATATATCTGATAGCTTCCGCTCGCCTTTTAATGGGACCGGCGTGTCGAAACGTCTCGAACAAATGCGCCTTAAGACGTTTTCCAAATAGGTGCACGAATTCTCACGATGATGCTGTTTTTGTCCTTTTTGTGTCTGAGAACCTCTCTTGGGCAGGTTCGGCAAGGGTCTCTGGATGTTCTTCGGGGGAAAAGTCGAGCCGGGCGAAGCCACGGAGCACGCCGCTGCACGCGAGGTATGGTGCCTTGAGTCCTCGTGCCATGTGCCATGTGCCGTGTGTCGTGTGCCATGTGCCATGTGCCGTGTGTCGTGTGCCATGTGCCATGTGCCATGTGCCGTGTGTCGTGTGCCATGTGCCACGTGCATTGTGTCATCTGCCATGTGCCATCTGCCAATTGCCATGTGCCGTGACACCATGCGCCATGTCAGCATCATCCTCTTCCCCTCCACTTTCCGTATCTGATCACTACCGTCTGCTCCCTCTCCTCCGCTTTCCTTCACGCCCCACTCCCCTTTTCCCCACTCCTCCTGTCCGCCATTCCCTTTCCACACTGTCTCTGCTCTCGTCTTGTTCCTCATCCTCCGCCATTCCCCTTTTCCCGTCTCATCGCAGCGCCATTCCCCCATCCCCTCACTGCGCCATCTCCCGCTTCCCTCGCCGTGCCATTCTGCCGCCCTGTCACTACGCTATGCCCTTCACCCGCTTCTCACGGCACCATCCCCCCGTCCCCCCACGGCGCCACCCCCTCCGCCGCTTCAGCTACAGGAGGAGGCGGGTTTAGTGGCGGAGGCGCTAGAGAAGCGCGCCGAGCTGCTGTTTCACCTGGACGGGCAGCCCAAGCCGTGGCAGGTGAGTGAAAACACACACACGATGCGTTCCGCGTGGACTCACAAACACAGCCTGGACGGGCTTGGAAAGAGCACCGTCCCTCGCACTATCTTCCATCCATGTGTGTAGTTGAGGAATTCGCCAGGCCGTTCTGAGACGCCTTAACTTATTTCCTCCCACTTTTTTTTTTTCCTTGTGACAGGTGCATGTATACATAGTGGAGAGATTTACGGGGGAAGTGTGTGCCAGTGACGAGATGATTCCACAGTGGTTTCCCGCCTCCGGCATTCCCTATGGTGCGCCCTGTGTTGACCCTTATGGCATGCATTAGCCTGTGCGTTACCACACATGCAATCCCAAATGCCTTGCCTCATGCAATCCCACATGCTTTACCACATCCACTCCCTTATGCCTTATCACATGCAACCCCGCATGCATGACCACATATAAGCTTGTGATTTCCGTTACACTGTGCCCTCACAATTCGCTTGTCACATGGCATGCAGGGGAAATGTTTCCTGATGACATCATATGGGTGCCATGTTTCCTCAAAGGTACGATATAGGGAATGCACCATTCCACACCGCACCACTCCACACCCCACCACTCCACACCGCACCACACCACACCACACCACACCTACACACCGTGCCACAGTACATGTTATGACATGGCATACGCCCTCTTAAAACGCATCCTTTGTCCACGTATCCTTTGTCTCCCTTTGCATGGGGTTGTCCCTGGTCCCTTGTCGAATCCTGCTTGGTCCGTTTTCCCTTGTCCTTGTCCCTTGTCCATTCCCCCAGGTGAAAGCCTGAAAGCTGAGTTTGTGTCCAGTGCAGACGGGATGGTGATGCGGCAACATCAAATAATAATCCAATCCTAGTGCAATAGCTGCCAACTGGAATGTGTTAGTTCTAACATAGTTGTGTACAGTTGATTAGATGATCACCTGATTTATTTATGTGTATTCCTCATCTAGTACATTATACGTATGTTGATGTTTCACTTGAACAAGACCAAGCTGCCAAGAGTTTGACGACTGCTAGTTTGTGGTGTAATACGGTACATAGGGTGAGCTGACCTGTAGGTTTTCAATGATTTGCTGAAACAATTCAACACCACCTTTGAATATGCGATACGATACTCTTAATGGTATACGATTGTCAGAAGTTCCTACAGTGCCCAGCAACGATAGCCCAGAAATCTCATTTCCACAAGCAGCAGCAGCAGTGCATTTTCTAAATCCCCTCATCCCAAAATCACACCATCACCCGGGCCCACCAGCACAAACCAGAACCAAGGGAGCAGTCAGGGTCTCTTCAATTCAACCTCTACCACTCTTCACCACTCTCTGACACCCTCCACCCACCTCGTTCCTCTACACCAACCTCCGACTAACCTCAGAAATCACCACCCCCCCTTCCCCCTCTTCCCCCCCTTCCCCCTCCTCCACGACCCCCACCGCGTCCCCTCCCCCCGAAGCCCCGGCCGCCTCTGCCTCCCCCTCCCCCTCTCGACTCCCCCCGTCCCCCCCTTCCCCGTCCTCCACCTCCCCTTCCTCCCCCTCCCCCTCCCCTTCCTCCCCATCCTTCACCTCCTCCCCTCCCTCCGCCTCCGCGCCCTCCCCGTCCCCCTCCGCCTCCCCATCCGCCCCCTCCTCCCCCTCTCCCTCCCCCGCCTTCCCCCCCATCACCATCAAACCGAGGTCGCTTAGCCATATGCCCAGGGGAAGATCCAAACCCTCCGCCCCTCCCGCCTGCTCCTCCCCTTCCCCCTCCTCTTCCCCCTCGCTCACCTCCTCTCCCACCACCCCTCCCGCCGCCCCTCCCGCCCCAATCACCCCCTCTTCCTCCCCCTCCTCCATCCCGACCGCCTCCCCAGCCCCTTCCCCCACCACCCCCACCACGGCCTCTACCCTCCCCTCCTCGTCCCCTCCCCCTCCCTCGCTTCGCACCGCCCGCACCGAATCCCATAGCATCTAAATCCCCATCCTCCTCCTCCCCACCATCCATATCATCCTCCTCATCATCCTCCTCCTCATCCTCTTCCTCCTCATCCTCATCCTCCTCATCACTAAACCCCTCCCCATTGTCATCTCCCATCTCCCCATCGTCATCCTCCTCGCCTCCCCCCATCTCATCCTCACTCTCACTCTCTGACAGCTCAAAGTCCTTCACCACATCCTCATCCATACCATCCTCGTCATAAGCAGCCCCGTTAGCAGCACTCTTGCCTGCCTTGCCCTTCTTAGCCGCTCCAGCAGCAGTCTCACGAGCACGCTTCTTTGACGCCTTAGCACCCCTCTGCTCCTCCTCCTCCCCTTCCTCCTCCTCTCCCGCTTCTCCATCCTCTCCCATGTCTCCCTCCTCTCCCTCGCTCCCCTCTCCGTCCGCACCCTCCTCGTCACTCCCAAAATCATCGTCATCCTCGTCGTCGCTGTCAGCAGCGCGCTTTCCTTTCTTGCCCGTGTCATCCTCCTCATCCTTGAACACAAGCCTGTACACATGCACATACGCACACAGCAACGACATACACCCCACAGAAACGGAATGAGCCGCCGTTACGAGCAGCAAGAGAGGGAAGTGGCAAGAAAGGTCATCATACCATGTTTGCTTGTTTGTTTGTTTGTTCCCCGATTTCTCAAAGGGAGTAGGGCAACGTCTAGAAAACTCCCAATTGCAGACAGGGAAAGGTCATCATACTCTGCGGGTTTAAGCTTCTGTCGCTTGGTCTCCACCTGCCACTGCATCTCACTCGCATACCGCACCAGTGCGTTGTTCCCCTTGCTCCTCTCCTCCTGACGGGCATAGACACACCAAGCAAAACCAAAGACACGTTGCAGAGATTGTCAGAAAGGGGAGGGAAAGGCGGAGAGGACGAATCAGAGGAAGGGTGATGGGAAAAGTGAGAGGATCAAATGAGAGTGGGAGGGAGAGCGAGGAAGCCTTCCCTGAGGGCAAGAACACACAGTGGCACAGTGGAAAGTGGGGGAGAGGGGTGATTGCATGGCAAATGCAGAGTGACTGTGAGAGTGGTAGTACCTGGAGGAACGAGGCGGCCTGGGTGATGTCTCTTGGGCCGTAGGACACCTTGTCTCTCGCCCTCTCCACCACCTCTGCGTTGCGCTCAATCTGATGCCAAAGGGAGGGCAAGAATAACGAGGTTGGTGAGAGGAGGTTGAAGGATGAATAAATTCCCCAAGCCCGCACCCCCAGTCTCTTACACTCCACCCTAGCTCTTTTCATCATCAGAAACTGATGAATCCACTTACTTATTCGCTACACTTCTCTCCCCACCTGGTCAATCAACCCCTTGATCTGCCGCCTGAAGCGGTCGACGCGGCAATGCTTGTGGAAGGAGCGCAGTTGGGTGAGTGGCAGCAGCAGCAGGAACAACAGCAGCAGCAGTAGCAGCACCAGCAGCAGCCCACCAAACCCTCAACCACCCACCCACCCACCAATCCATCCTCACAACCTTAACCATCCCCACCTGGTCAATCAACCCCTTGATCTGCCGCCTGAAGCGGTCCACGCGGCAGTGCTTGTGGAAGGAGCGCAGGTGCGTGAGCGGCAGTTTCACCTCAACTCAACCCCTCAAACCCCCTTTCTTCCTCGCTCCGTTTCACATCAGAAATCCCTCACACCCGCCCAGCCACCGCCCCACCCACCACCCAACCACAATCCACGCCCACACTCTCTTTACCCACCTGATCAATCAACCCCTTGATCTGCCGCCTGAAGCGGTCCACGCGGCAGTGCTTGTGAAAGGAGCGCAGATGGGTGAGCGGCAGCAGCAGCAGCAGCGGCGGCAGCAGCAGCAGCAGCAGCGGCGGCAGCAGCAGCAGCCCCCCAAACCCTCAACCACCCACCCACCAATCCATCCACACACCCCAAACCCTCAACCACCCACCCACCAATCCATCCCCACACCCCAAACCCTCAACCACCCACCCACCAATCCATCCCCACACCCCAAACCCTCAACCACCCACCCACCAATCCATCCCCACACCCCAAACCCTCAACCACCCACCCACCAATCCATCCACACACCCCAAACCCTCAACCACCCACCCACAAATCCATCCCCACACCCCAAACCCTCAACCACCCACCCACAAATCCATCCCCACACCCCAAACCCTCAACCACCCACCCACAAATCCATCCCCACACCCCAAACCCTCAACCACCCACCCACAAATCCATCCCCACACCCCAAACCCTCAACCACCCACCCACAAATCCATCCCCACACCCCAAACCCTCAACCACCCACCCACAAATCCATCCCCACACCCCAAACCCTCAACCACCCACCCACAAATCCATCCCCACACCCCAAACCCTCAACCACCCACCCACCAATCCATCCCCACACCCCAAACCCTCAACCACCCACCCACCAATCCATCCCCACACCCCAAACCCTCAACCACCCACCCACCAATCCATCCCCACACCCCAAACCCTCAACCACCCACCCACAAATCCATCCCCACACCCCAAACCCTCAACCACCCACCCACAAATCCATCCCCACACCCCAAACCCTCAACCACCCACCCACAAATCCATCCCCACACCCCAAACCCTCAACCACCCACCCACAAATCCATCCCCACACCCCAAACCCTCAACCACCCACCCACAAATCCATCCCCACACCCCAAACCCTCAACCACCCACCCACCAATCCATCCCCACACCCCAAACCCTCAACCACCCACCCACCAATCCATCCCCACACCCCAAACCCTCAACCACCCACCCACCAATCCATCCCCACACCCCAAACCCTCAACCACCCACCCACAAATCCATCCCCACACCCCAAACCCTCAACCACCCACCCACAAATCCATCCCCACACCCCAAACCCTCAACCACCCACCCACAAATCCATCCCCACACCCCAAACCCTCAACCACCCACCCACAAATCCATCCCCACACCCCAAACCCTCAACCACCCACCCACAAATCCATCCCCACACCCCAAACCCTCAACCACCCACCCACAAATCCATCCCCACACCCCAAACCCTCAACCACCCACCCACAAATCCATCCCCACACCCCAAACCCTCAACCACCCACCCACAAATCCATCCCCACACCCCAAACCCTCAACCACCCACCCACCAATCCATCCCCACACCCCAAACCCTAACCACCCACCCACAAATCCATCCCCACACCCCAAACCCTCAACCACCCACCCACAAATCCATCCCCACACCCCAAACCCTCAACCACCCACCCACCAATCCATCCCCACACCCCAAACCCTCAACCACCCACCAATCCATCCCCACCTGGTCGATCAACCCCTTGATCTGCCGCCTGAAGCGGTCGACGCGGCAGTGCTTGTGGAAGGAGCGCAGATGGGTGAGCGGCAGCAGCAGCAGCTCGGGGAAGGCGATGGAGAGGCTCCACTGCGAGGCGAAGAGCGCCAGCTGCAGCACCACCTCCTCCACCACCGCCTCCTGGAAGGTCTTCGAACGGACGACTTGCTTGGGCACCTGCGGTGGGGAGAGGGGGGAGGGAGAAGGAGAGAGGGGAAGGGGGAAGGCAGGGAGAGGAGGGAGTGGGGGAAGAAAAGGCAGGGGGGAATAGGAGGAGGAAAGGTGAAGAGGGAAGGGCAGCAGCAGCAGCTCGGGGAAGGCGATGGAGAGGCTCCACTGCGAGGCGAAGAGCGCCAGTTGCAGCACCACCTCCTCCACCTCCGCCTCTTGGAAGGTCTTCGAACGGACGACTTGCTTGGGCACCTGCGGTGGGGAGAGGGTGGGTGTGTGTGGGGTGAGGAAGGGTTGCGGAAGAATGCGGAAGGGTGCAAAAGTGAGGAGCGCGTGAGGAAAGAAGGGCCAGCTGCAGCACCACCTCCTCCACCACCGCCTCCTGAAAGGTGTTTGATCGCACGACTTGCTTGGGCACCTGGGGAGAGGAGAGAGGAAAGGGGAGTGTGTGTGCGGAGGGGAGAACCGGGGGAGGAAGGGAGGGGGAAGAAGGAAGAAGGGAGAGAGCAGAAGGCAGAGGAGGCAGGGTGTGTGGGTTGGAGAAAGGGAAGGGGGAAAGGGTGGGGGAGATGACACGGGGGAGTAAGGGTGGGAAGTAGGGGAAAGAGGAAATCAGAGAGGGGAGGTGGGTGAGGAGGGATGATGGTGAAGGAAGGGAGAGAGGAGGGGATGGGGGAGAAGTGCGAGAGCACGTAAGAGAGCAATTGAGAACAATTGAGAGCAATTGCTGAGGGAGCAAGTACATGAGTGAATGAGTGCAGAGGGTACCTTGAGCGAGGTGGCGAGGTTGAACATTGGCCCCCGAGGGAACGACTTTCGAGAACAAATGGGAGCGGGAGCAAGTGAGCGAGCATGTGAACGAACGAACGAACGAACGAACGAACGAACGAACGAACGAACGAACGAACGAACGAGCGAGTGAGCAAATGTGTTGTGAGGGAACCTTGAGCGAGGTGGCGAGGTTGATGCTCTGCACATTGGCCCCCGAGGGAGCGTGGTGCAGCTCCTTTATCTGTAGCACGTCCACCAGCACTGGCGCCACTGGCACATAGTGGCCTGGTGGAGGGCAGGAGGGGGGATGGGGAGGGGGGCGGAAGGATGAGGGCCAGGTGCAGCTAGTACAGATAGAAGTATCGGAACGTACAGCTCCTTTATCTGTAGCACGTCCACCAGCACTGGCGCCACTGGCACGTAGTGGCCTGGTGGAGAGGAGGGAGAGGAGTGGGGGAGCGAGGGTGGAAGGGAGCGAGGGAGGAAGGCAAGGGCAACTAGCACAGCTGCAACACTGAAACTGCTGCTCCTCCTTTATCTGCCGCACGTCCGGCAGCACTGGGCGACTTTTGAGACGTCTCAAAAGCTGAAACACTGAAACTGCTGCTCCTCCTTTATCCACAGCACGCCCAGCAGCACTGGGCGCCTCACTCACTCACTGCACCAGTGGCACTGGAGAGGAACAAAACGACACGAAACAAAACCAGCCTTACCAGTAGCGGAAGACAGCAGGGAGAGCATGCGCGTGCACTGGAAGCGGAGTGGCAGGTAGCGAGCGGTGGGAACAAGGCGGGCCACCCCGACTATGATCTACGCCAGCGGATACACCAGCGCCAGCAGCCTTACCTACCAGGGGCAGCCGAGAGCAGCAAAGCAAAGCAGCCATTACCTGTGGCAGAAGACAGCAGCGAGAGCATGCGCGTGCACTGGAAGCGTAGCGGCAGGTAGCGAGCGGTGTGCACGAGACGAGCCACCCCGGCTATGATCTGCGCGAGTGGATACACCAGCGCCAGCAGCCTTACCTACCCGTGGCAGGCGAGAGCAACAGAACAGAATACCTGTGGCAGAAGACAGCAGGGAGAGCATGCGCGTGCACTGGAAGCGGAGTGGCAGGTAGCGAGCGGTGTGCACGAGACGAGCCACCCCGGCTATGATCTGCGCGAGTGGATACACCAGCGCCAGCAGCCTTACCTACCCGTGGCAGGCGAGAGCAACAGAACAGAACCAGCTTTACCTGTGGCAGAAGACAGCAGGGAGAGCATGCGCGTGCACTGGAAGCGGAGTGGCAGGTAGCGAGCGGTGTGCACGAGACGAGCCACCCCGGCTATGATCTGCGCGAGTGGATACACCAGCGCCAGCAGCCTTACCTACCCGTGGCAGGCGAGAGCAACAGAACAGAATACCTGTGGCAGAAGACAGCAGGGAGAGCATGCGCGTGCACTGGAAGCGGAGTGGCAGGTAGCGAGCGGTGTGCACGAGACGAGCCACCCCGGCTATGATCTGCGCGAGTGGATACACCAGCGCCAGCAGCCTTACCTACCCGTGGCAGGCGAGAGCAACAGAACAGAACCAGCCTTACCTGTGGCAGAAGACAGCAGGGAGAGCATGCGCGTGCACTGGAAGCGGAGTGGCAGGTAGCGAGCGGTGGGCACGAGACGAGCCACCCCGGCTATGATCTGCGCGAGTGGATACACCAGCGCCAGCAGCGGGGAGCGACTGCCGTGTGACGCCGCGTCTAGAGGGGTTGCTGCTGCTGCCACCGCCACAGCTGATGCGGATGCGGAGGTGGAGGAGGAGGAAGGGGAGGGGGAGTGGTGCGGGTGCTGGTGCGCTGCTGCTTGCACGCAGAGCACGCGCGTCCAGAGGTGCAGGCAGTTGATGTACTGCCAGCAGTACACCTTGAGATATGCGTCCTGGGAGAAGCGGGAGGCAGAGGAGGGAGAGGGAGGCAGGTAAGGGAAATTTTTGAAAGTGAATGTTGAGGCGCCTCAAGAGGCATCCAGAGGTGCAGGCAGTTGATGTACTGCCAGCAGTACACCTTGAGATACGCGTCCTGGGAGAGGGGGAGAGGGGGAGAGGGGGAGGAGAGGGGGAGTGTGGGAAGAGGAAGAGTGCGGGGAGAGGGGGGGTGCGGGGAGTGGGAGGGGAGGCAGGTAAGGTAGGTGAGGGTGCAAGGAGACTCCTAGAGGCAATTGTTGGGCCGGCTCAACTGGCGTCCAGAGGTGCAGGCAGGCAGTTGATGTACTGCCAGCAGTACACCTTGAGATACGCGCGTCCTGGGAGAGGGGGAGTGAGGGGGTGAGGCAGGGGCGGGAAGGGTGACGAAGGTGAGGAGATCCCTTGAAGAGAGTGCTGAGGCGGCTAGATGGGCGCCCAGAGGTGCAGGCAGTTGATGTACTGCCAGCAGTACACCTTGAGATACGCGTCCTGGGAAAGGGGGGAGGAAGAGAGGAGTTCGGGGTGACAAGGGGGAGATCGGGGGAGGAGCGGAAAGCGATTGTTGGGGCGCCTCAAGAGGCGTCCAGAGGTGCAGGCAGTTGATGTACTGCCAGCAGTCTGACACTTTCAAAAAATCTCTTACTGTCACACCTTGAGATACGCGTCCTGAGAGGGAGAGAGCTGTGACATCAATACAAGGACCATTAGAGAGAGCTGTGACAAGAGGGGAGGGGGGTTGACCAGAGGGGAGGGGAGGTTGGGGAGAATGGGGGAAAGGGGGAGTGGAGGGAGGGGGTAGGGGTGAGGTAGGTAAGAGATTGTTTTACACAAACCAGGTAGATTATGAAAGAAACGTGCGTTGACTTAAATAGATGCACGGACAAATCAGATCGGATCGGATCAGATCAGATCAGATCAACACCGCACGCACCTTGGTCTTCATACTAAGCGCCCCTCGGAGCAGCAGCGCCAGCTGCCGGATCGACACAAACGCATGCGGGTAGACAGCCGCAGGGTCCGTGAGCGCCAGCTCCGCCACTCCCGCGCACAGGAACGCAATCCGCGGCAGCGAAGACGGCGACACGAACTTGCACTGCGCCGCAAACTCCCGGTACGCCTGCCTCACGATCGCCTCCACCCAGTCCGACGGCAGGAACAGCGCTATTTCCCGCAGCACCACGAGCGCAGCGAGCGGGAGTGACCCTTCCCCAGACCCCCAGTGGTGAATCGCGATCCGCACGAGCTTCTTCCCGATGATCGGGAAGCTTGCGAGGAGCGGCACGGACGGTTTCAGGCAGCGCAGCGTGAAGGTGAGCAGGCGGGAGTCTGCCATGGTGGAGAGCAGATGCACGGCCGTGGAGAGGTAGTTTCGGACGATCTGGCTGACTTTAGACCAGCGGGGACTGGCCTCCCATGGCTTTTCCATAGAGTCGACTCCTGCGCTTCCCCGCCCCCACGCGTCCGCCTCGTTCCCCATCCTCGCCTGCTTCCGTAGGAGAGACCGCAGCTTCTTCTTCCCCAGCCTCCCCGCGAATTTGCTGTCACCGCCGCCAGCAGCACCGTCGCGATCCCCCCCGTCCTCCTCCCCATCTCCCCCGCCCTTACCGCCCTTCTTCACCTGCCGCCCCTTGCCGTCGGATACGTCGCTGAGGAGGATCCGGACGATCCTGTCCGTCTCTTTGAACGCGAACAGGATCACACGGTTGAAAACGTTCCCGCTCGCGAGCCGGTACTGCGGCTTGCGCTCCCTCTGCTTCATCTTCCCATCTGCTGTCAACCCAAACCCCTCCTCCCCTTCGTCCCCCTCCTCGTCCTCCTCGTCATCTCCCCCCTTCTTCTTCTTCCCTCCGCCTCCGCCGCTTCCACTTCCGCCCTTCCCTCCCCCACTGGATCTCCGCACAACCCCAGTGAAGCTCTCAGCGTCGTGGCACGCAGAGTGAAACGCCTGCATCAGCTTCTTCATCGCGCCCTGCGATCCGCCGTCCATCGCCGCCTCGATCCAACGGTCCACCATCTCCGTGGTCAGAACCGGCAGCACCCCCGACTTGCCCTTCTTCCCCTTCCCTCCTCCTCCTCCCTTCTCCTCACCATCACCATCACTCTCATCCTCGTCGTCCTCCTCCCCTTCTTCCCCCTCGCCGCCTCCTGCTGCAGCAGCTGCTTTTGCTGAGCCCTTTTTTCCCTCTGCATCTTCCTTGAATTCCAGGAGGGATTGATCTGTTTCCGCTAGAAACTCGTAGAACGCAGGGTCCTGATAGAGAGTCAGACAGACAGACAGACAGACAGACACGGAGGGACAGGGACAGAGACGGAGGCAGAGATGCAGAGAAGGAAACAGTTTGGCACCCCTACTCACCGCCTCGAGATTGCATGGAACAGAGAAGGTAACCGCAGCCGAAGTAAGTGGACGAACAAACAGCTGCTTTTGAGACATCTCAAAGCAAGAACAGCTGCTTTTGAGACGTCTCAAAGCAAGAACAGCTGCTTTTGAGACGTCTCAAAACAAGAACAGCTGCTTTTGAGACGTCTCAAAACAAGAACAGCTGCTTTTGAGACGTCTCAAAGCAATAACAGCTGCTTTTGAGACGTCTCAAAGCAATAACAGCTGCTTTTGAGACGTCTCAAATCAAGAACAGCTGCTTTTGAGACGTCTCAAATCAAGAACAGCTGCTTTTGAGACGTCTCAAAGCAATAACAGCTGCTTTTGAGACGTCTCAAAACAAGAACAGCTGCTAGCTTCAGCTACTGTCTCAGCAACGATCTAAGAAATACCCTGCTAAAACCAGAAACCCTTTCAACTAGTCCAGCAACAGAGGAATTCGCCAACATTTCATCTCTTCCATCTCAACCCCGAGCACAATTATACAGCCCAGACCCACAGACCACTGTCGATGTCCTCCCCAATAGCCCCAGAAAATCCTGGAATTTCCAACAAACCCCATAATCATGATGTACTCCTGACCCGAAGGATCCTGGAACAACCTATTGAGAACAACGGACGGTACTACCTTCCCAAGTACGGTATGCTACAAAAAAATGCAGAACCTTTCCCTGATACCCACTTTCCCTTTCCCCTTGCCTCTACATTTTCTTAAACCCTGTCACCGACCACCTAGTAACTCTCCACTCCAGCGCTTACCTTCTTTTTAAGAGCCTCCAGCTGCTGCTGGTGGCTCTTCCGCTTCCTCGCCGCGTCCCCACCCTTCTTCTTTCCCCCCACTTTCTCTTCCCCCTCCGCCGCCTCCGCCGCCTCCGCCCCTTCCGCCGCTTCTTCCTCCTCCTCCTCGTCTTCATCGTCCTCCGCCATGCCGATCCGCGCGAGAGAAATCTCCTCAAACCCCTCCTCTCCTTCCAATGCCTCTTCATCCACCTCCGCATCTTCCCCTACCCCTTCCTCATCATCCTCATCCTCATCCTCCTCGCCCCCCTTGTCTTTCTTGGCACGTTTTGTTCCTCCTCCCTTCCCAACCTCCTCCTCTTCCTCCTCATCCTCCTCATCCTCCTCCTCTTCCTCCTCTTCTTCCTCCTCCTCCTCCTCATCCTCGTCCTCCGCTTCGTCCTCATCGTCGTCCCCGCCCTCGCCGCCACCCGCTAAGTCCTCGAAGTCATCCATGCCCAGCAGCTCATCCACGCCCAGGTCTTCGAGTCGCCTGGCGGATCGAATGCGAGCGAAAAGAATGCGAAACGAGTAACGAAATGTGCGAATGGTTGCGAGCCGGAACCAGATACGGCGACAAAAACATGCCCCACAAGGGAGGGGACGGGGGAGAGCGGGGAAGAACGGGGAGGGCAGGACGGGCAGGGGTGGGGAAGGGGGCAAACGACGGAAAAAGCGGGCGGGGAGGAAAAGGGTGTAAGGGAGGGGAAGGGACCAAAACGTAACCTGAATGGTGCCACCATCACCCATCCTTAAACCCCGATTGAGCCCCGCGATGAAATATCAGCACTAGCGAAAACCCTTTCAGGCGAAATCATGTTAGCGATCGTGGTTATGAATTCTCGACCCACTTCTTTTCTTTTGTCGGTTGCTGCAGCGGAAGCTTGGCAATCCCGAGGGCTTCTGCTGTTTGGGGGTTAAGTGAGGGCAACGAAGATACATGACGTGAGTAATAACACATGCGAAGCACCATTTAATGACAAAATGCTACCAAGACAAGACCTTACGAACTGGATGTGGGGATACGATCTCTAAACCCATGGATTGGAACTTTGAACTCCCGCTTGGGAATGGGATGAAAACGAAAGGCGAGAACGCGACGAGACGTACGAACCTTTCTGAATCTCGACTTCATCCTCGGGATTACTGGAGCCGCCGCCAGTGCGCTTGGCGCGCTGCTGCTTGATGACCTTGAAGCGACGGCGCTTCTCAATCTCCTTGGTGAGATGCTTGCGAACAAACTTTTTTGTCCGCTTCTGCTTCTTCGCCATGGCGCTGAGGCTTCGCGGGAAAAGCCTAGCGGCCTAGAGGAATGGCGGTGGGTGGATGGGGATGGTAACTAACCTGATGCGAATGAGGGCTTTGGGTTGGGATCAGTTTGAATGATGGTAGGCGTGATGTTGAGGTGAAGCGTTGGTTTCTCAAGGTTGGGTTTTAGAAGAGATGCTGATGATGACTTTTAACGCGGACATGATGCAGCTTGCCTCAACTCCGTTGCAGAAGCTCTTCGACATGATATAGCAATATTTTCCACAATACTCCTGGTTTCAGCGAGGACTTGACAATTTGACTTGACGTTTGTTCCTCTGTGTGCCACTTGAATGTGATTCAATCGAGCTAGCCCGAACTTTCGCGAGTTGTGGGTTTCGTTGTGTCGGTCGCCACCAGGGCTGACGTGTAACACTTCCTGCCTGTCGTTCCGCGATGATCAATCGCAAGGTGGATGTTAACCGTCCATCAATCCGTCCATCGATCGCACAGCTCGCGATTATCAACCGCCTGATCCAGCGCGCCCCGAATTTATCAACCACCGCTACGGAGTGGTGGCGATGTAGTCATAGCATCTCTGGCTGGACGCAATCGGCGGAGCTAATCGACGGCGTAGAGTGGATGACCACAAGAGTGGGGAAACGAACTGCAGAAATTGTTTCCCACCGACTGCCGGTGAGCATGGAATCGAGAAACGGGTTCTTACTTACCTAAAAGTCTCACGGTTTTCTATGAACAGTAACGTGTCGCTTTCTTCTTTGCAACACTTCACCCCACAACACGCCTCCGCAAAAAACACTCCCCAGCAGAGAGCTTCTGCCCAGCCCATACAGAATACAGTATCAAGGAGATCCCATAACCCAGAGAATCCCCAACTTGGTGCACAAGAAAGGTTCCTGCGCCTTTGTGTTCAGTTCAGTGTTGCTGCTGCTCGAAGGTCATTTGAGGCCTGGAGGCTAAGTCCAGGCTGAAAGCAGGCCGAGGCTGTCACTTGTATAGGAACGTCACGTAAAGGGGTATATACGCAGCACAGTTAGCGCTTTACGGGTTCTGTCGGGCGCGTCTATAAGTCAGGCGCCTGAAAATAGAGCGCTCCTCCTTATCTAGAACGGCGCCTTAGTGCGTGACCCTTGCCGGCTTGAAACGCTCAGTCTATTCTATTGGCACCTCCTGTTGACACATTTGTCGCGTGTGGTCACCGGAGCCCACTTCGAAACGCCAGCTCATTCTCAACCGCCTTGGTTCAAGGCAGTCGTAGCTGCTCGTGACGAGCTCCTTTGACTCGGGCGCGTCCGTTGAACACGATGCCCTCTCTACATTAATCTCGTTCTCGCACTTTTTTTCTAAAGCTACTTCTCCAGTACCGTTACCTTCGGCGCGGCAGAGCTCCGCTCCGCGTGAACTACTCTCGCGAGTCGGTCCGCGTCGCGCGCGCGAGGAGAGGACACGTTGCGATGGGCGCGCACGTGTCGCGACACGTGGACGAGCGGCTGGACGACCTGGAGGTGTATCAGCGCGCAGTGGCCGCCACGTTCTCGGAGCGATCCAAACCGCCATCCGACGGCGTCGACGCGGCGCCGGGCATTCAGCAGGCGCAGCTTCTAGACGCGTGCAAGGCCGTGCTGCAGGTGTGTTGGTGGGTGGGTGTAAGTGCGAGGGTGAGCGTGAGGGTGGGTGTGAGTTTGGGTGTAAAGCCTCCCTTACGTTTTTCCTGCTCCAGTAACACCACCTTTCGCCGCCACTCCCACCCTCCCTCTCTTCCACCTGCCCTCCCCTGCGTGTCCCATTTCGCACCTCTCGCCGTCCCCATGGTCTCCTCCTCCCCCCATTTTCTGTTCCTTCTCCCGCAACCATTTCCCCCTCTTCTCCTCTTCTTCCTCCCGCCATCTCCCTTCCTCCCCCCCTCTTTCCCCCTGTCAGCGAATATCGGCGGAACTAGATCCGCGCGCCGGCCGCGTCTGCCTCCGCGTGCCCACCCCGCGCGACCTCGACTTCGCGCTTTCTCGCCATCCCGCGCTCGCGCAGCTGCCCATGCTCTCCTTCGCGGAGTTCGAGCGCGTCACGCGCTGTGTCTTAAAGCGCGTCGCCGCGGATCGCGGGCGCCGCCTACTGCTCTTCGTAACAGGCGGAGTTATAGCGGTGCAAATGGCAAAGGGCACTATCCGTAAGGTTCCGCTCGTGGGGGGGTTGGTGGCAGCCCTAGTAAGCATCGTGTTCCCGACGTCCGTAGTAGGTCCGGCTCTTGGGGTGGCTGGGGCCTTATATGTGGAGCAGCCGAGGCAACTGCTGCACTGAGTGAGAAACGAGAGGGAAGGGGGAAGGGTGGGAAGAGGGGGAAAGGCGGAGGAGGGGTAGGAGAGGAGAGTGACCAATCAAAGGTGGACAACGGGCCATTTCTCCCACATTCCAGTCCCCCTCACTGACCATTTCACTCCTAGTATCATATTCAGCCCATCTCTCACGAAGTTTGCTCCAATATCCCGTCCTGCTCAACCATACCACTGTACCATCATCAGTCTTATCTGACAACACAACCGCTCCAGGGCTTAAGTTCCGCCTCTCACTCACCCATCCCAGTCCCTTTTATCCTCTGTGTCTTGCATATTCGCATCCACATCTAGATTCCCATGTATTACCGTATTCCATGCTTCGCCCTGCGCGCCTCATTCAGCTGATTGTCCCATAGTTTGCATTGTGATTATAGTGTATCATTTAGCATTAGGCTACCAGCTTGATCTGCTCACTGCCTCACCTCTTGTGGACAGTGCAGTGTGGTGCTGCTGGGCTGGGTACCATATTGTGGAAATAGTAGAGGAACTTTCTACAGGTACATTTAGTGCTGCATTATGTTTACAACATTCCAGGCGACTAGGTTGTTGTTTGGCTCTGGGGGGCAAACCCCATCCCTGCCCCTTTGCCACCCTGGCTACCCTGTCGGATCTCATAATCATTTTAGGAACTAGCAAAACTAGGACATTTCCTTGTGGAACTGCTTGGGGGGGCAACTATTACTGCAAATATTCCAAAATTGTCAAACTACTCCTGTACCTGCAATCAGAACCTTTTGCTGATGCAAATCTCTCCACTTGCATACACCTGATTCATTATCTTGGGATTTATTATCTTGCACAAATTTATGTGCACATTTGCTGCTTCACATACAATAGCAGAAGCTGAAACCTGAGTTGTAGTGATAGAGGCCTTGAAAGCTTGAGTACGCAGCAATGAAGAACTAGAAGGCACATACCAACGTAGAATGCAATGGACCAGGGTTTTATAGTCAAAATTAAGTTCATTATCATGTTCTGTAGCGAGCAACTACAGGCTTTTGCTAACCAGCATTCCTCAAGAGTCAGCAACACCCTCCTCGTCCTCCGCTTGTGCAGGTCTCACTCTCTGCCTCTCCTCGAAGGCTTTCGGCGCAGAATCAGCCACGGCTTCAAGCATCTCCTTCACGACTATTCTAAACCGCACTGCTGTGGCTTGTACGGGGGACAAAAGTCGGGACGAGGCACACTCTTCCCATGCTGCTGCGCCTTCAGAAGGGCATGACATGGACGAGGCGCAGTGGGAGGAGGAAGAGCATGAGGAATGAGCAGAGGAACAGGAGGAGGAATCACCCACCACTTCCCCAGACCCCGCTTCCCTCCCTTGCACGCCTGCCTCCTCCCCACTCGCCCTCTCTCCCCCTTCCTCGCGCCTCTTCCCCTGCTGCTGGGAGCACCGCAGATGCTGCCACAGCACCCCTCGGTCGCGCGCAAGCGACGTGGGGAAGGCGTCAAGGAGCTCACGGCACTGCCTGCCCACTGCAACGAGTGCATTATCTACATCCATCACCCACTCCTCCTCGCTGTCCTCCCAATCCACCCCCTCCAGCCACCGCTGCACCGCTGCAAACGCCCCCAGCAGCCGCGCATCCACCCTTGCATCCCGGTACACATACAGAGGCGTGTCATGCGCTGCTGCTCCTGTGGGGTCGTCCAGTCCCTCGTCCCCGTCCCCATCCTCGTCTCCTTTCCCATCCCCGTGCGCGCTGCTTCCACCCTCTCTTGATTCGTCCGGGGTTACTCTGCTGCGTTCCACCTCAGCTCCCTCCAAAGCCACCTGAACATACTCCTGGAACTCGTCGTCAGTTGGAGGGAACGAGTGCAGGGTGCCTGAGCGCGTTTGGTAGTACCTAGTGGCTCACGGGGAAAACGTTGGAGGGGAGAAGGGAAAGGAAGAGTTTTTACTACCCGCGTATTCTGTGTGGGAGAGTGGAGTGGGACTGAGAGGGAGGGAGGCGGAGGTGGGATGAGAATGGGTTGCAGAACAGAGGAGCATGCAAGAGCAGCAGTAGGGCAAATCAACTCAGGGATCACCCTTGCAGTTCACCCTGTCATGTGCACCACCAAGCCACGTCGCCCACCCCCTTGCAACACACCTCTGGAGGTACCAGGTCACGGCCTGGGTCATATCCTGAAACACGTCCACCCTGTCTGCAGAGTTTTCGAGCGGCACGAAGCCATAGGTGAGCAGGAAGTGGTCGGAGCTGTACTGCCCATAGTCTGCCACGAGGGGTGAGCCGCGTGCGATGGGGTTCAGAGCTACGAGCTCCAGACGGTCCTCATGCAGCCCTGCTGAGTACCAGTCCACGTTCGCCTGGGAGAGAGGGAGGGGGGGGGGTGTTGTGGGTGGGGGATGGTGGATGGCAGATGGAGAGTGGCGCAGTGTGAGGAATGTCAAATGGGGGATGGCGAATGGGGATTGGGGATGGAGGATGGGGGATGGGGGATGGAGGATGGGGGATGGGGGATGGAGGATGCGGCACGAAGCCATAGGTGAGCAGGAAGTGGTTGGAGCTGTTCTGCCCGTAGTCGGCCACGAGGGGTGCTCCTCGCACGACCGGATTCAGAGCTACGAGCTCCAGACGGTCCTCATGCAACCCTGCTGAGTACCAGTCCACGTTCGCCTGGGTGCGGGGGGTGCATAGAGGGTGGATCGCGAGTTGGGGTGGGTGGGTGGGTGGGTGGGATGGGGGATGGCATTTGAGTCAATTCGCAAGTAGCATGATTGATAGCGTGGGTCGTGGTTGAGAGTGGGTCAGCTACCGGGAGGCCATTTGAGGGGCCTCAATAGATTAGATGTCGAACCTTGTGCAGGCCGTGGCTGAACAGGTCAGCTACCGGGAGGACGCTCGAGGCGGCTCAAAAGGATACCGTACCTTGTTGGGAACGTGGTTGAGAGTTGAGAGTAGGTCGTGCGTACCTTATGGGGGTCGTGGTTGAGCAGGTCAGCTACCGGGAGGAACATGCGCATGAGAGCGTCGGTGCTGCCTTGGTGGCGAGTCGCAACGTGTGCAGGTATGCATGTGTGCCGTCCATGTGCACATGCATCATTGCTGCGTACCTTGTGCGGGTCGTGGTTGAGCAGGTCGGCCACCGGGAGGAACATGCGCATGAGAGCGTCAGTGCTGTTGTGGTGGCGATAATAGTGGGGTACGCATGCCGTTCAACAGACGCATGTGCGCCACACATGGGAACAGCAAACACATGCAACACACGCACGCAAGCACGCACGCGCATGCACACACACACACACACACACACACACATTCATGCCACAAAAAGGGGGGGGGATCAATGGGGTTATTTTATTTAGCTGTGGCAGAGGGAACATTCGAGGAAAAGCAGCAGGAGGGACGGAAGTGGAGGGCGTGGAGGAGGGATGGAGGAGCGCGGAGCATAGGGGAGCGGGGGAGGGAGGAAGGGGGCGAGTGAGAAAGGAGACAGCGGGGGGAGCAGCGGAAAAAGGGCCAAGAGGGAGCAAATCGGGCACAGTGACCTGCAAATATGTGCGCATAGCTTAACTACGCCTATCTGATATTGTTTCTCGTGCTTGACTCGAACGCACACACACGTCCACATGCCCCACACACAAACACATCCACACACCCACAACAACGCCCACAAAGCCACCCTTCCACCCACCCACACACCCACCACTTCTCCATCCACCCACTCATCCACCCACTCATCCACCTACCCATCCACACGAGGCAGCGAGTATGCATGCGTGAACACCATGGTCAGTGCCCATGCAAACTCAGGCCACGTCGCATGTGCTATGCCGCCCTCCCACTGCCACTCCCCGCTTACTGCCCCATCAGCAACACCAGCAGCAGCAGCAGCACCACCACCACCAGCACCTGACTTTTCGATCCTCTCCCTCTCCCTCTCGCCCTCCTCCTGGCGGCACATCTGCCACTGCAACCGTGCCTCCTCCAGCATCGCTCTCATGCGCCCCACCGTGCCCTCGTGCTGAATCTCCCTCTCCCACTCCTCGCCCTCCCTCAGCCCCAGCCACGGCAACCCCGCCCACCGAGGCAAGCACCGCAGGTACGGCCATGCCTTGCCTGCGCTGCCCTGCACGTGCGAGGGGATGGGGACACCAGGTGTGGAGGGGAGGGAGGGTAAAACGGGGAGAGAGCGGGGCGGGAGGTGGAGTGGAGGAGGAGAAGGGGGAAGGGAGGACACAGGGGTTGGGAGAAAGAGAAGGAAGGGGGAACCGCATGCGCTCCTCCTTTGGAAAGAGGGAAGGGTTGGTAACCCTCGTGGCAATTGATGCAACCGCCCCCATGTAACCACTAAGGGGCAATCACCGCGCCAAGGGAAATTAACCTTACTCGCTCGTCCACCTCACTGTGCTATTCCCGAAACTTGCTTCACCCTATATCCGGAATTCGCCTCACCTTGCTAAATTCCCGCAAGAGCTTGGCTGCCAGGTGCACTGTCCAGGGCGCATCAGGGTACGGAAGGGGGTCATGTTCTCCTTGCACCAGCGCGGCCGAGAAACGAATGGTCGCGATCACCTCTCCTCGAGCCAAATCGCGCGCTGCGCGAATCCCCCTCTCGCCCCTGCTCTCTTCTCCCCCTTCCGTCGGTTGCGCTTCCTCATTCCCCCCTGATCCTTCTCCCCATGTGACCCGCACCTTCCGGGAAGGACCCGTGAGCTGCAAGGCGGTGGGGTAGCGGGGTGAGGGGGAAGAGGCGAGGGAAATGGGTAACAGGAGAGAAGCGTGAAGATTGAAGGAACGGAGTGCGGCGAGGGAGAAGGGGAAAAGGAGTGTGGTGCGAGGTGGTATGAGGACAAGGGCTGAGGACAAGTAGGGTGCTTCTGAGGATTCTCAAAAGCACTCTGCAACGGCAGAGGACAAATCGGTGAGTTGAAGTATCGTTCTTACTTCCTTAGCCCCATTTGCGACAAGGTACGATATGAACTCGTTAAACTCGTCGCCGCTGCACCACCATTGGTCCGCGACGTCGTCGAAAGTCGTCGTCTCGTTGTTGGTGCTGCTGCTGCTACTGGGGCCACTGCTGCTGGTGGTGGCCTTTTCAGGACAACCAGCAGCAGCACCACTGCGGACAAGGGTCTTAAGGAACTCCTGTTCCTGCTGCCATTTCTCCCGCTGCTGCTGCTGCTGATTCGCGTCGCCGACGTCACCGGATCCTTCCCATTCTCGCGTCAAGTCCGCTGCGCTCACGCCGTCAACAGCTAGGCAGATGCTGGGAGCCGGTCGGTTAGCCGGCTGACTTGACTGTGCGGTTAAAGCAGCTGTGACGGCCAGGTGAGGAACTAGACAGAATAAGATGCTGATGAGAGCAAGCACGATTGGATAAGACGCACGAAACGAGGAAGCCCAGACGTCGAGACGCGACGACTGTGAAGGGAAATATGGAGATCTAGGATAAAGCAGGAGCGGCGCCATTGGATCTGATTTTCTTGCTCTTGTGACTGAGATTCGAATGGCGGAGGCGATTCGCAGGCCGAAGCAAGAACGTGCACTCTGCGTCGTCAGTAATGGCGGTCTTCAGCGCACCAACGTCGCTCTTCGCTCGTAATATGGCGCATTCTTGTTTTCAAATCAGGCTTTTCGAATATGAAACAAAGCGTTACAGATACAACGCATTCGCTTCGTTATAACAACGTCCGGTTAACCACATATAAACCGCACGCGCGGCAGGCGACAGGCTCAGACGAGATGCTCTGCTGGCAACCAGCAACGAGGCAAGTGCAGCTAATGCGAAACGGGGGATCGATCACAGGCACAAGCACGAGAGCACGGGAGCAGGGAGGAACAACTACTGATCTAACAACTTCTGTTGGCACTATTGGCTGCTTGATGGATTCAAATCCAGATTCGACGTTCCCCAGATGAGTTCTGTCTGGGCCTTGATTCGGCCCTTGGGTTCATGGTTGCTCAATGGTCATGGTTCAGTCGGAGGAACCCTGCGAGGCGAAGCCCTTGGGATTGGCTCAGTTAGATCACGGGTGTGAAAATGGGTTGAGCAAGGTGGAGAAGCTTATCCGGTGGTACACTTTTGACAAAAATATCACTTACCCTATTATGGCTTCTGCACCAAGCTTCAATTTCTAAGCTCTTCCAATATGGCGGAATCTCATATCAGGCTCATAAACAACTCTAAGAATCATCGCCACCTGATGTGCCCTTTGCATAGTTCAAGACCAGCTACGGTGATAGGATGCCTTGGCAAGTAATACTGTCCATTTACACCATTCAGCAAACCTGCCCGCTAACTGGACAGAATACAATGAGGTTGGCTGATGCGATGGAGTAGGAAAATACAACTACACGGAGGAGCTGGGCCCTAAACATCACCATGAGGCCACTCGGCCAAATTTAGAAATTAGAGACCTGTTGCAGATTGGAGGCTGCTATTGCTGGCTGCTGTGGCTGATGGTGGCTGACTGGATGCTGGGGATGCATGCCTGCTTGCTGCTGCTGCTGCTGCTGCTGAAACTGGTGGGGGTTAGCAGCCTGTGCTTGCTCCTGCTGTACTGGCTGAAATTGCTGTTGCCGTTGCTGTTCATATTGTTGTTGCGGCTGCTGCTCATAGTGCTGTGGTTGCTGCTGCTGATATTGGTGTTGTTGCTGCTGCTGCTCCTGATATTGGTGTTGCTGCGGTTGATATTGCTGGTGCCGCTGTTGTGGGGGGGGTGGTGGCTGCTGCTGCTGAAACTGCTGCTGATGCTGCTGGTGCTGCTGCTGCTGGTATTGCCCATGAGAATTTTGCTGAGGTGGATACTGCCTTTGCTGCTGAAGCTGCTGTTGCTGCTGCTGCTGCTGCTGTGGTCTATGGAACTGAGGTTTTTGCGAATTGAGCTGTTGACCATGCTGCCCCATTCTCCCTAGAGAGTCATGCGAGCCTCCAGTTCGATCAGAAGAAGCATCCTTCAGCTTCCTGCTCCGACCACACACCAACACCACCCACTCCCAGCACACACATAAAGTATTAACATACACACAAACACACGCACGCGCACTCACGCACATGCACGCACACGCACACACGCACACTCACACGCACAAAGGGAAGGGAGGGGGGAGGAGGGAAGAGATAAGAATGCGCTCTTCATCCTGTGCTGTACTTCCTCTAAACCCTGTCTAACACATCACACGGAGGGGAGAAAGGGGAGCTGCGCTGTTTCAGGACAAGCCCAAGCCAACATACTGCAGACATATCTTACTTGTTACTAGGGACCACAGCGCCCTTGGGATGTGCTTCCCAGCCAGGATGGTTCGCCAGCCATCCCGCCAGGTTCTTCATCATAGGTGCCGCTTGTCCGCTCAGCTTCCTCCCCTCGGCAGGGTTCCAAACCGTCACCCTCTCCTCGTCCCCCACGTCTCCCAGCCGCACCAGGTTCTTCTCAATCTCGGGAACAGCTTCCGGCTTCTTGCGCTTCAGGCACCTGAAGTGAGCCGCGTCTGTGCCACACCCAGCCTTCTTGATCACCGCGCACACCTCACACCGCCGCCCGACCCCCCTCGCTCTCTGCGCGTCTGGCTTCCTCTCCCCGAAACTCCCTTTCGAGCCCTTTCCTGACGACACTCCGCCTCCTGCCCCCCCTCCGCCAATTCCCCCCCGGGAGCCGCTACTGGCACCTGTGAGATTGCTCTGGCCCATGCGCGCACTGGAGGCGGAGAGCCCTCCATTGCTCGTCGCGACATTCACTGCCGGAGGTGCAACGTCTCCGCTCTCCCCCACGCCTTCCTCCCCCACAAGCTCGAGCCAGCCATTCTCGCCTTGGCTGGTCCCGGCTGCACCTACTGGCGGTTGAGCGCCTTGCTGTCGCCGCCGCTGCTGCGGCTGCGGCTGCGGCTGCGGCTGCGGCTGCCGCTGCGAATGGTAAACGTTAGTCGGTTGTTGTTGCTGCTGGTACGGGTTGCTCGGATCCTGCTGCTGCTGCTGCTGCGGTTGCTGCTGATATTGTGCCTGAGGCTGCGCCTGCTGCAGCTGCTGCTGGATTTGCCGCACCTGTTCTAGAGTGTATCCAGCGGCCAGCATCTGCGCGCGTTGCACGGCCTCCACGATCGCGTTGTTCGCGTTCTCCAGAAACTTCTTCCCATACTCCGCGTACTCAGGCCCGCGGCTCAGAAAGGGCTCGCATATGGAATTCAGATCCGCAAGCATGTCTGGAAGGGTGTACGCGGTCGAGGTGGCCTTGGCGCGAATAGAGCTGCGGAGGGAGGGACAATTTAGGGCGTGATTAAGAGGAGGAAACGAGACGAGGGAAGCACCGGCATGGCAAGGTGGAAATTGCGGAAGAGAGATCGGTACGGGAAAGCGAGTGAGGGTTGGTTGCGGAAGAGTAACGGGAAGAGTGGGGGAAAGAAGGGACTGCGGGATAAAAGGGACTGGGGGACAGAGGAGAGCGCAGGTTCCGGAGAGAAAGGATAGAGTGATCCCAAATCAAGGGTCCTTGTGAAACAGCATCGGAAGGAAGAACTAATAACTCGGATTCACAAAGAAAAAGGTCGGGGTCATGGGAGTTTGAGAGAGGAGGAAGAAGGCCGCAGATCAATCAGAACGGTTTGGATCAGATCGGAGGTAGCGGACGCTTCGATCCAGGAACGAAGCGGACGACGACGAGAACAGAGGACATCTGACGAGAAGAGTGAAAACGTACGCTAGATTGAGAATCGTTCCTTGATCGGAGAGAAGAATTCCTGGCTCTAGAATGACTTTCATGGTGTCCAAACGAGCCATGTCCTCCAATAGCTCCGCCATCTGCTCCGGGCTCAGCTGGACCGGCACTGCTCCATCTTCCTGTGGAGGCTCTCCTTGCTGCTGCTGCGGAGTCGCCGGCTGCTGCTGCTGCTGCTGCTGCTGAGCGTACTGCGTTGCGTGGACGGTCTGTTCCTGGTAAGGCTGGGATTGGCTCTCTGGCTGCTGGTAGCGTTGCTGTTGCGAGTAGTCTGGAACTGACGGTTGATACTGCTGCTGCTGCTGCTGCTGATATTGTTGCTGCTGATGATACGACTCCTGTTGCTGCGGTTGCTGCTGTTGCTGGTAAGGCTGTTGATGCTGGTGTGGCTGGTCTTGCCGGTATGGTTGTTGTTGTTGTGGTTGATGCTGGTACTGCTGTTGTTGCTGTGGGTACTCGTGTTGATTCTGTTGCCGATGCTCGACGGCATGCCCTTGTGATTGATCCGTCGCTAACTGTTGCTGGTTTTGGTAGTTCTGTTGATACGCCTGATTTGATGATGGCTGATAGCCAGCCTGCTGGACCGACTGATCTGTGTATGGCTGCTGCTGCTGCTGCTGGATCGGTTGAGCATGGACTTGATACTGATTTGGATGTGATTGGTCATGGTACTGATAATCTGGTGCTGACATGATTGACTGATGTCGAGAAAAGAGTATGGACACACAGCTACGGTCAGCAATGGCTACGCGGGACAAGAATCTCCAACTTGCGGTGTGAGATTAGCGGCGCGACTTTCGACGATATCCACTAAGAAGTACTAGCTGCGCGGTAGCAAACACTACAATATCTGGTCGGAATTGGACAAGTGCAAGACTAATATTAGTTCATCACCACTTCTTCCGAGAACTATGAAACCAATGAGTTCATAATACACATGAGACTCTTATTACGACCTGATCGATCAAGACTAGATCAGGTGGGGGTACGGCGTTTCCCATTCCTCGGATGTTGAGGTGCCAGAAGCGCACACTGAAGCTGGAGGGCCATGGCATGGCATGGCATGAAGGTACGGTGAAATCTTCGGAAAAAGGAGATTCGGAGAGGTTCGGAAGGAAATCTGCGATCAGTGAGTTCGGATGATGTGGTGCAGATAGGTATGCTGCATGGATGCATTTGTTGGGATAGGCAAGAGAGCAAAATTCATGGTGGTGACCGTGGGCTTCGAAATTGAATATTGTGAGTTTGGAAGGCTAGGTCATTTAGATGCCACAGGTACTGTACTCTCGGTCAAGTGGGCGTAATTCTCAGGATGTACTACCGGGACAGGCTGGTTTCTTTCTGCGGTTTTCTTTGTCCGTGTCACAACCGGATCCCATAAGGGTGCGTCAGATCCGTTGTCGGAAAAATCCGGCCGGCCGGATCTAGCGAAGGTTACACATTCACGACATTCGCAGGGTATTTCGTTAATTTCGCACAATCCGGCCACCTGATAAAAATTTGATGGCCGATTTGATGGCCGGTTTAGCATTCGACAACTTTCCGACGTGCAAACGAATCGAGAGTCGACCACTTTGTCGACTCGTCAGCGCTACAGTACCTATGCGACTTGGCCAACATACCCAAGCGACTCAACGTGTCACAAGGACGACGCGCACGGCGCTTTCAGCGCCGTTAAACAAGACCACATTTCGGGGTTGTGTCACTTCAGTAACAATACATGCGACTCCGTCGCACAATCCGGCCAACTGTGCGACCTGCAAATCTGACACTTTTGCAAACCGGCCTGTAAATCGGCCACCAAATCTGTCAGATTGCAACACCTTGAAAATTTGGCTGGATGTTGGTCGGTTTACCATTCGACCATTCGGTCGACTTTGGCGAAAAATATTGTCGACCAAAAGGGCGACAAATTTGCAGCCAAATCATATTGTAGCGGATCTGACGCACCCTAAGTACAAGCTCTATGTGCTTCGACGGGAAATTATCCAAGGCTTGTGCCAGATCTTGTCAGGCAAATTCCGACTCGTCCCAAACCAGTAGGTCCGGTGGGGGTGATGTGGTTCGCATTCATCTTGCGGAAATGCGTGACTGAGCTGGTCAGGTATTGCCCTGGTGGATCATGTGGATGGGCTCGCGCAGCCGTCGCCTATGTGGTGGTGGTGGATTATCCCCGCCTTCCAGGTCCCCCAGCTATGGATCATGGGGCACGATGACGTAGTGGTGAATGCGAGTGCATGATGGTTTTCGAGTTTGGTGGTGGGTGACAGGTGAAAAAGCGAAGCTCTCGAAGCTCGGTTCGGTTCGGTCGGGCAGGCCGATTTGCTGGGCTGGCTTGGTTGGTTGGTTGGGTGGGATTCACCAAAAACCAAAAACTTGATCATCTGCAAAACGTCATGCGGATGTTCACCTGATCAGGATTCAGAATGCGCGTCGCGGGACCACAACTGAGAAAATCGTCGCGCCCGCGGAACCACAGCTGAGAAAATCGTCGCGCCCGCGGAACCCCAAATAACAGTGCTAAACAGCTGTCGATAACCCGCTTGCTCGAAGTAGAGTCTTGGGTTCGCTGAAACCAGAACCAGGTGGTGTGCCACGACGTGTCACGCAGTTTTCAATGGTCGTCGTCATTCGTCAAGAAATGACGAGGCACAGCTTTAAATAATGCACACTCTGACCCACAACACAACATCCTATACACGGTATTAGAGTTTCTATCAGAAATAGTTGTGCAGTGAGAGAAACATCTTTTATGAGAAGGCTCCCCACTGGAAGCATGCATACAGTACACATTTATTGACACACCTCTATGTAACCTCTGCTCCTACGTCATAGCTATGTGAAGCTGGTCTAGCCTCTCGTTACTATTGCACCTGCGGTGCTGTACTGCTGCAGTCATTCTCAGTGCACGGCCTCTTCCTGGTGTAATTGTGAAGGCTCGCTGGCATCGGTCTGCAAACGCCCTCATGACGCGAGAAAAAGACTTCCCATTGGTGGTGTTGCCGGGACCTTGGGTGCTGCTGTACCTGCTATTAGAAACCTTGCTGTTTGTATCTGGACTGGTTTCATGGACACTGGGCTTGCCAGTGCCAGCAGCCTTGGTGTTGTCACTGTTCTCCATGCCTGCCTCGTTGGCGACGTCTGCAGTGCTGTTAGTGTCAGTGGCATTGCTGCTGCTGTTGCTGGAGCTTCCGCAGGATACTGGAACACTATCGCTGCTGTCACTGCTTGCAGCCTTGTCACTGCTCCCAGACTCCGGCAGAACAGCCAAATCCACGGAGTCATCATTACCAGGTGGAACCACAACGCTGGTAGTTGGAGCACCTCGAGCAGGTGACGGCCCAAACCTCCATCCCGACACTGGGTCCGAATCTGAGCCCGAGCCTGTGGGGCCGAACCCGCTGGATGGCTGAAGAGAGAATGCGCCCGAACCGCCACCACCTTCCAGCCTTGTCGCGGAACCCCCAAGAATCGAGGAAAGCGCAGCAATTGTGGATGCAGAGCGCGGACGAGCGAAGGAGCCGTGCCCACTTGAAGCATCAGTAGCTCCATCGCCTCTGCTGCGGACGCTGCCGCCTTTACTGCTGCTGGTTGCAGCACTGTGAACATGGATATGACGTCTGTCATTGACAGCGTTGACTTCCTGAGACCTTCGCACGTGCACAGAGGATGTCAGCGGCATGTGATGAACGGCTGCAGGAGGGAGCTTATGATGCACAGGAGGGAAGCCATAGACATGCGTGGGGTGCCGGGGCTGACTTGCGTGGGTCTGACGAGCCATCATTCCAATGTCACCAACGGTAGCAGCACCACTACCGCCGTTGATAGCGGGTCTAGCGGAGACGGAAGAGGTGTCCGCGGGCTCGCACGTGATTCCGTAGCGCACTTGCACGTGCGACCTGTACCCGTTGCCGCCACGGCAACTGCCACCGCCACCACCGCCGTCGCTGTCGCCGCTGCTGCCAAAAACACCGTCAGCGTCAGCGTCAAATGCGGAGTCGCTGGTGGTAGGGCTGCCGAGGCATGTGATGTCGAGTTCTGTGATGCGAATGTTGGCTTCGTCCAGCTTTCTGCATGACGCCTCCAGCTCTGCAATGGGAGGGGTGGGGGGGGGGAGGGGAGCGTCCGGACCTTGACGGATTAATGCCATGATTGGACACAGCGAGAGACACAATTGGACGCGGCGGGTGAGACACGGCGCGAGGCACAATTGGACGCGGCGCGAGACACAATTGGACGCGGTGCGATACACAATTGGACGCGGCGCGAGACACAATCGGACACGGCGAATGTCACGCGGCGAGAGACATGGAACAGCGCTAGCATTTATCCGACGAGGATGAAATTGCGAGAATACGAATCGAGCAAGTGACGAACTGTCCTGTCAAGAAGGGGAGGTGACGAAAGTGTCGAGGAGCGGAAGCTCAACTTGAGACATGATGAACTCGACACGGAGATCAAACGTTATCCAGTACTAGTACTTATAGAGGTCCAGACCAGCCTACCTCGCCAGTCGAAGGGGCTTGAGAGCTTCGCAGCTTCCTCGTCCGCGGCTGCAGACGGCATCATCATCATCATCCTGGTCGCTACATTCGCCCTTGTACCACCGGCTTCAGCGGAGCTAGTAGTATCACCGTTCGTCATCGGTGCCGCCGGCATAAAGACCCGCGGAACGGACGCAGCGGCGGCGGCCGAAGCAAATGGCGGCTGGTCCTCGCAAACCGTCATCATCGTGTTTGCCGTCAGCGGCATCATCATCGAAGTGCGACCGCTGATGGTGGTGGTAGTAGTCGACGCTGGATTGTAGTAGCTGTTATGACGCGAAGTTTGCACCGTCGACGCGGGACCCCCGGCGCCGTTGGTGTAATAGGATGATGGTGCCGCCGTTGTTGATGATCCTGAGCATGATGATGCTGTGTCGATGGCGTATTGCTGGTCCATGGCTTCGTACCCTGCGCGTCGTCATGAAAGCAGATGCACGATCATCGTGAGTGGACTTAGTTTATCTGACGGATGTTACAACGCGACGCAACACGACTTAGTTTATCTGACGGATGTTACAACGCGACGCAACACTACATTG